AGGTAAGCCCGAAACGCGGTGATTGTTTGTCTGTTATACAATTTTAAAAGAATTGATCTGTTATGAGTAACAGGTGAATGAATGCTGGACAATACTATTTTATATAGTGGATAATATGATATTTATATTTATATTGATATATAGTAATCATAACCAATATTTTTTAAAGATGCTATTTAGTTCATATATAATAACGTTATAATAAAATTTCGTTTTATGTTAAAATATACATTACATAATAATTTCATTTTATATTTCTTTTATTGATATTATTACAAAAATTTGTAATAAAAATTTAATAATAAAATTAAAATTTGTAATAAAATATTAATAATATTTGACACAAGTAATTTTATTGTAATAGAATGGAATAACATATTTAATATTGGCAAATATATTATAGTATAAATAAAATCATTTTTTAAGTTAAATTGAATTCGATATACGATATTTGATTCATATAGATAAAATAGTATTGTTTCGGCAAATTTAGAAGATGTTACACTTACATGTGTGTGTTTGCATAAAGTTGTATGATAATGCTATTAATATTACCATATATAGATATATAGGTACATAGTATATAAATATATATGATCTGCAAGTCATACAGAGAAATTTTGTAAATTAATCTACATGTCGCATATAGCATTTGTTTAAATTTTACTTTTCTGATAATCCCTATATATTCATCAACAATAAATTTGTTCAGGATAAGACAATTTATTTTTGTTGTATTTAACTACTATAAGTAAATTAGAAAAACATATATATAAATAAATATATATATATTATATATATGTGTGTGTGTGTTTAAAAAAATTTTCTCTCAGTGAATTCAAATGTTTCTTTCTTCTTTTTTTTAGTATTTTAGTAAAAAATAGATATTTTGAATAACGTAGTCTGGGAGAAAGGTTTCTAACATTTACGTTTTGATAAAAATTTTATTTATACATCTACTTCAACTTTATGGCTGTTACATTAACAAATTTTTAATGTAACAAAAACTTCTTTAAGAGAATGTTAACTACTGATAGTATTATATAAAATTAAAAACTTTACATTTTTGTTCAGACTTGAATAATATAAAATATTTTTCTTATATAATGTTGCACCAAGAAAAGTACTTCAAATAAATTATTAACTTAAAAATATAACCGACTGTTACTATATCATAGTGAAAAATTGGAGAAAGATCAGTTTTAAATTCGCTAAAAAAGTCGAATATAATTCTCAAGAAAAAGAAAAGGACAAATTTTCTCATCATACACGTGTTCGTGTTCGAGCTTGCCTCCATCACAATATATGCTATAGGTGCTTGGTTTTACAAGTCACAAATAATCACGATGCATGGTAACACAATTTAATACATGTCTAACATTGGTACATGACCTGTAGAAGCTGTGAAGATAGATGAACTGTGCTAAATAAATTTCGTAAAAAAAAAAACAAAAAATAAAAAAATGTTTATGTGAAAATATGATACGAGAAGGAATATAAAACATTTTGTTTGACTTTGTTCACAAATTAAGAATTATTTTTTACAATTTACGATTCGAAATTTTTATTACACATTACAAAATTATCTTTTTTTTTTATCGAGAATATGATCATTGTAGAAATATTTTGCTGATGCCGCACTTTTCTCTGAAATAAGTGAAATAGAAAAAAAAAATGACAAAAGAGCATCATAGCAAGAATATAGGTATATATACCGTTATTGCATTTGAATAAAATCGTCAACGATTTGTATTATACAAATGAATTGAAGTAGCTCTACTTGGAACCCTGAAGCCATTACATTTGATACTATGCGACTCGGGTCTCAAGAATAAGCCACTATTATTCCAGCAAAAGGATTCAAGAAAAGAAAATCAATGCCACTTGATTTCATTTTATATTAGCAGGCTGTATTTATTTGCAACCGGTATTGCAAACAGATAAAAAAGGAAAAAAAAAAAAGAATGAACGGCATTTTCAAACGATTTGTGATATACCTTGTAAACTTTTATCACAAAAAAGAAATTATTTGTATGGATAGATGTAATAAGTTACAGAATGTATTTAGTCATGCATAGTTGTATGTGATAAGATTATATGTAATGAGAAAAGTGCTTAAAAGTCGTAAGATATCGAAGTAATAATGGTATCTAAAATAAAGCTGCAACTAAATGTTTTATAAGCTGTTCGTTTGTTACACGAAAATCTTAAATTTAACAGGTTTTTACAGAATAAGTAATTTTGGACGTAAATAAGTACAGCTAAGATTAAAAAAATAATATATCCTTTCTGTTATATATGAATATTCGATCGATTAAAAAAGTAATTCCACAAAGGGATAACGAAGAAAAAAAAAATTAAATTCGTTTTTTTTTCTAAATTAACTATAATAAGATTGGAAATTGATGGATAATATTAAAAGGATGAATTAGACCATTGTAAAAACTATATAGTATGACATTTTATTGTGTGTGCTATACAAATTTTTCATTCAAATTTTTAAATATAAGAATTCTGTAATAAGAATTTTTTAAATGCTCGAGATGTTTGGTGACATATATGTTTCTTTTTGTGTTGATGCACTATCTAAATAGGAGTAATTTAATACTTATGTTCATCTCATTACAGTACGATAACACAATTTTATATCAGAAAGTAATTGATTGCAAGACGAATCTCTTGTTTTCTATAGAATTTCATTTAACTTGAAGTGAAGTTAAAGTAATACATTTTGTAAACTGTTGAATGATGGTATTAATCTTATAAGTTGTCAAGGATCATGTGACATATTTGTGAGTACTGAGTACGTAATTACGGAATGGTCCATCACGCGTGTTTGAATGAGTGGATGTATAAGTTAAGAGTTCTATCAGTTATTCATTATAACGACAAAAATATGTAAAGAGTTTAATAATACTTACTAATAAAATAAAAAATGCCACTATAATGATGCTTAATATTTTCAGTAGGATCATTATATTATAATAGCTGTTATTTTTCTTTTTTAATAAACACATCTGTTTTATGTACGATTATTACATAGACTTTCAACTTTATGTAATACGAAATGGTAATGGTTATTTATTTAAAGGCACATATCAGAACGCAATTATAAAAATTAGATATTAGTTTTGATATTTTCCTTTTTTATAGCGTTATATTTTTATAATGAAATTGATGTTTTACATAGTAATCAATTAAGTGTAATTTCATCATAATACCTGTGTTTCGAAACAAATTGGGGAAGGTGTAAAGATATAGAAATATGGCAACTACAAAATGATTGTATAGATTTTAAAATATATGTACATCATTAAGAAGTATAATTTTGAAATTTCAATAATTTTAAATGTGTTTCATTCTGTAGTTCTTACACAATCGTCGAAAGCGCTAAAATCAACAACTATGAAAAAATTTTTAATTGTTGAATACACATATACATATTTGCATAATATACATAAGTATAAAAGACTTTGCATTTTGCATTTTGATGATTTGACAGCACACAAAGTTCTCGTAGGAGATAAAGTCTCTATTCTATTAAATTACGCATGTATTCTCTATTATAATGTAATGAATTATCAACTTTTGACATTTTCTTATCAAAATTTATTTAAATATAAAAATATATTCTATTAAACTGAAAATGCCTTTATTTATCAATAACATGAAAGCAGTAGAATTTCATTATTCATTTAATATGTTCTATTGAATACATCGAACCATTAGCTCAAATGTTTAATTTCTCGTAAGCTATGTTGAAAATTTGGATCAAAATCATTGAAGATATAGTTGAAAACATCAGCTTTGAAATGCGTACGCGTGAAATGTAAATTAATTACTTAGAAACATAAAGTTTATTATATATTTTAATTGCGATCAGAAGCTATTCGATCTATTAAGTAGGATTTCTAGATCTTTATACAAGCATTTTATAAATTAAATTGAATATCAGAAGAAAGTTGAGGGTTTAATATCATGAATACAATCAAAAGTTCATAAATTAATTCTATTAATTTGTTCCTTTTGTAAATGAAAATTTGATCGATTCATGAGCATTGAAATAGCGTTGCGTAGCGGTAGAATTCGGGAACTAATTGCCATTTCTATTCTTGTCTCATACTATTGCTTTTCTTATCTTTTATGCCACATGTGCCTGCTTTTGTTACGTACTATTGCATTCCTTGTTTGGCGCATGACATATGTTTATCTTTATCATTTGTTAATGGTCTCTTTGTCTATGGATATGTAACCATCTATGTTAGTATTAAAAACAGTGACAAGAATATGCTACATGCTACTATCTATTGGATGAAACGAGAACTAATATACCGACAATAGATAACATATCTTAATTTAATTTAACATCATCACAGACGAGGGTCTCTATTATTATCGACACCGACGAGAGATATATGAATAGACCTAGCAAACGGTGAATTGGGGAATTACATCAAGTAAAACAAATTCACCGGTCTTAAACGTAGAGTGCGCTAAAAAACCAGTGATTTTTTTACTATGTCGGTATTTCAGATCCCCAGCCACGAAACCCCGTAAAGTGCTAGGTCTATTCATATACCTCGTCTGTAATATTTTCTATTGGTTAAGTAGAATTCGTTGATTTTCACATTTGAGAATGGATTCTTAAACGGGAATGATTTCTATATTATTTCACGTTAATAAAAACGTTTTCTTTTGACTAATTATTTGCAAAACCTGCAAAAATTCAGAGTCTAATTAATATTTTATTAACTTAAATGCTTGACTTTAAATGTTATCCTTTATTTCGTATTAATTGACAAAATATTATTTTACACGAGAAAATGATATTGATAAGAAAATAATTACATTGAAAGAAAGCATGTATCACACTGAAAGTGAATAATTTGGCGGAACGATATATAATTTTTCAAAAACCTGATTAAAAAAGAAAAATTATAACTGTATACACTGTATCTGTGGAACAAGGGAGGGGCAATAATCAACAGATAAATCAAATGTTTGAGTGAAATATGTATGTATATATATCTCGTGAAAAAGCTTTGACAACATTTTATTGTTAACCGCAGAAAAAGCCATATACACTTTCACACGAAATCGATCATAGTTTGTAATAATATCGAAAATTTATAATAATTGAATGTTGTACATAAATATAAAGACGACGATGTTGCACGTTCTCGTGTGTGCCAAAACTGTACAAAAATTATTTCGAACATCTTTCGCAAACGCTCGTTGAACAACTTATTACTCGGTGATTGTGGCATTTATATAACATTCTCTTTGTCTTCGTTCTTTTCTCTCCTCTGTAATTCCCATTCCTCTCCCCGCCGTTAATCATCTGTTTTCATTTGGTTAAACATCATTGTTCATCCCCGTTTCTTTAGTAAAACGACATACTAATTGCATTCTGAAGTGCGCTTGCAAGTTCGCAGAGCTTTTCTTTGACTTTTACATGAGATGCGATATATTTAAAATCGATAATCAAATACACGGCCGGAGCGGGTGGAAGGAACGATTTTTGGTGTTTTTTTGCGCTTCTATAAATCTATCTATCCTATGTACTTTTTTTTTTTTTAGCCGCGACGGTCAAGTGCCATATATATTTATTTATTTATTTATTTATATATTCATTTATATAATTCTTTTTTTTTTTTTGGTATTTTAATCGGTACTTTGAACGCAGCACGCGCATAAATTGGTTTTTTTTTTTAAATTTTCTCTCTTCTCCTTACATCGCGAATTATTACTGATTAACAACAGCGATTACATAGTATTTAGACGTGTGGCGTGCTCCATCTTTAAATCTCTATGTTTTTTCTCTCTTTATTATTTTAATGTTTATATATGTATTTATATATAATATACCTCTTTTCTCTAGAATTCCATTGCGGTAACATCGTTAACGCGACAAACATTTTTCGTTATCATTTCCCCCCCCACCCCTTTTCATCCTCCCTATTATATTGCTCTATCCGTTAACATTTGAGATCATTCCGATATCTGACTGCTCTTACTTCTGTTTTCCTCATTTCCCTTTTCGCTTTTATTTTTGTTTCTCTATTATTATTTATTATTCCCTAAACCGATTCGTTCGACATTATCGACATGTCAATTATGCATTTACCATGTTAATACTTATTAAATATTTTTTTTAATTATTGTAGATCACAGACAACTTGTTCTTAATCCATAAAAACAATTCAATTATTATTTCTTTCCATAGGTTATCAGTGTATGTTCGTGTATGTTATGTGTGCGTGTGCGCGTGTACACGTGTGTTCGTTCGGTGGCGTGTATCTGTGTATTGAATACGCGGTCGCAAAATTGCAATGTGACAAAGGATCGTGTCGAATGAGAGAATCACACGTGGAGATCATCTCAGGTAATTCGATGCTATGTTAAATACGTTTTACAACACACGGTTATTTTAAACGTTTCTCGAATCAAGCACCATAGTGAATCACCTTCCGCGTTTTTCTTTCACGGAAAGTGAGGAAAGTTTACGTGAATACTCTATGCTCTCGGTAATGCCGAAAATAACGTTGTTTCAAGCCTTCAAACGTAAGAAATCAATTTCGAGTTTCGTTGGTACCCAGGGTGCGACTATTTGATCGATACCCTCTACAACCGTGGAATATGCGTTTCATACATAAATCATTCCTTTGAATATCTTCGTACTGTCAATACTTTGTATTTGTTAATTTTAGAAAATTAACAAATTCACTAGCTTTCTGAGAAAAGAACCTATCTGTGATAAGATGGTTAATGTGTTGAGTGCGCTTTTTAGTTGAACAGTTGAGTTGCCATAAAGTTTCTATTCTCTTCCGAATACAGAAAAAGCAACAAGCGTAGTTAATATTAAACGAGTCATGCTTTTTGAAATAAGTTCCATTCAATCGACATCGTTTTGTCTTGTCGGCCCTTTTCTCAGAAAGCTTCTCTACTACCTTCGAATCACCGCGTTAAAACGTCATTAGAACAATGACGAGAAACAATTGGCCAAGTTAAACCGAGTTCCACTCGCTTAAGGAAAGACGAACACGAACTTTAGAGAGCGTTACTGGCTCCCGTAAAGTTCGTTCAGCATCAATTTTTGCCATCGATCTCAGGGATGAAGGTTCGCCTGTCCTGCGCCACCGGTATCGATTCACGCGCAGCAACGAGGCCGCGAAAAAACCAGCGTTACTTGTTTCACCCTCTGCGCAAGTGGCACCCTGTGTTCCTTTACGTAATCACGGGCTTGAGTTCTCTCTCTTTGCGCTCTTGCGCTACGACTGCCAGCTGTTCGAGGTCTATAATCATTTTGGAAAATGCTGCGTGCAACGTCCGACTGTGTGCTGCACGCAGCTGTTATTCAGCCCAAAGAGAGACACAAAGCGGGAACGATGACTTTCCGTCCCATCCTCTGTCGACCAACCTCTGAAAAATTGTATTCTTCCGCGGCAAACGATGCCTCGGATAGGGCTGATTCGTGCTGTGCGTTGCACCATTGATAAAGAACTGATATCGGTTTTGATAAAAATATTGCTCGTTACGGTGCTCTTTTCAGCCCGCGAGCAACATCGATTTCAACGTCGATACATCATCGGATTTTATCTCTTGAGCTCTCTCGAAGCATGAGCATATTTGCTAGTTGAAAGATAGGATCTGTCAGACTATATTCCAGGATCTGTCATACAGACAGTGTTTCGCGAGGGAATGTAATCGTCTAATCGTTGACAATTTTCATTGATATCATTGAATCGTTGAAAGAATAATATCTCGCGTAATATATTATTATCCATTATCATTCTCGTTCACAATGTCACTTAAGACACATTCATATTATATAATTATACTTATAGTAACCCGCTGATTCAGTCGAATTGGCAGAAGCTCAGTAGTACGAGCCGAGACTAGTCAGAAACAGCGCGAACCAGCCGTCTCCATCAATCGTCGGATTTTCGAACCGAACGTAACTTTTCTATCATATTCGAGCGGCCTCGAATGCCCTCGCCGTTGCCGAAAGAAGAAAGGAAAAACCGCGGGAATCGAATAATCGATGGTGGAAGGGCGCACCCCTCCCCTGAAGCGTAATTTGAAGTTCACCGTTTTACGTTTCGGTGAATCGCGTCGACTACTCCCGGATAGAAGCGACTGTATTTACGATTCACGGTGAAATGGACGTGTACGTGTACGTGTGCGCGCGCGCGTGTGTGTATATGTTTGTGTATGTGACAGAAGGAGAGTGAGTGAGAGAAAGAGAGAAAGAGAGAGACGGTGTATCGATACATGTGTGGTTCTGGTATTCGTTCTACGATGCACGTGGAGTGGCGTTTCTCGAATGCGCGTCATGATCACACAGCAAGCAGATTAACTTAGTAATACTTGTTAACTTGGTAACGGTACTCTTAATTCATTAATTTACTCGTTTTAAGCTTTTTTTTTTTTTTTTTTCTTTTTTAGTCCACTTGTGAGTAAACGCGACCGAGTTGTTCGCGCGTGTTGTTCGGTTTCTCTCCTCTTCAGCGTCCGCCTGTCGATCGTCACGACAGCCATTATTACATATCTACTTCCCCCCTCCCCTCCCCCGTCCCCCCGTTCTCTTATACGATACGTTTTTTCTTGGTCGTGTAAACCAGAGTCAGAGTCAGCCAGAGTTGTGCAAAAAAGGACTAAACGCGCGTGTATGTGTGTGAGTGTCTTGTGTGTGTGTGTGTGTATAACTTCATCGGGCGCGTGCTATCGGAGAAAATGGGCAGGAATACTCTCGCTCGACTTACTATCACGATGAGGAGTAGCGGATCGCGTGACCGTTTTTTACATATATTTGCTCTCTCGGCGATCGAATTAAATGGAACGTTCAACCCGTAGGAAAGCCCACTCGCCCCATTTCGTCTTCTATACGCTGGCCTCCGCGTGAGAATAAATAGTACTACGCGAGATTGCACACACGAAGAAACAAACGCCTGACCGCGATTGCGGGGTGTCGATGTCGTACAGGGTGTCCCCGAAGAAACTCTCAACAACGTGAAAAACAATCTGCCTCCCCTCCCGATATTATCCCGACATTACACACATCGCGCGACATGACGATCCGTTGAAAACACATTTTCACAATTCTGCCTGATATCGTGTTCCCTTGAATGGATCTTGAGCACGATCGTCGAAGACGATTTAGATACATTTATATACACGCGCGTATACAATGTTTTTTTTTCCTCGACGTATCGCGCAACGAGTAAATTCGAAGGCGGGGGGATTTGTGAAATTGTCGAGAAGAGGGATAACGCAGTTTAGAAAACGGTACGTTCTATATTCAAGTCGGTGGTAAGTTCGCATCGATCTCTCGCGATCGTTCGGGGGGGGGGGGGGGGGGAATTCCTCTCCCTGACAGCTCTCCTCTGATATTTTGGAAGTATCCTTTACGACACGACGAGACCCCGAGAGGCGTCCGGAATATCGGCAACGAATCCAAATGTAACGGGGTTGGATCCACGTTGGATCCTCGCCAAGCGGCCGATCGTTCGACCTCGGTGCTCGGCAATGATCGACCAGGCTAAAAAACACGAGCCACCGACGGATTTATCGATCAGCGGACCCGAGAAGAGGTCGCGTTCTTTAAACACGCGTTTCTCGCGACCACGGGCGGTTGTCGAGTAGAAAAAAGTCTGTCACAAAATATCATTATATCTCTATTGGATAATAATTAGCGCGCACACAGTGTGGGACAGTATTATATGCGATAGCGTTGTGGCGTATTATTAAAACACTCTCTCTTCCTTTCTTTTTTTTTCTTTTTTCTTTTTCTTTTTTTTTTTTTTCGTATCCTTTGCCAATGCACACTCTGTGGATCACGTTCCGTATCAATTCGAATATCTTTCTTTTCGTTTCCACCGCCTACGAGGAGAGAACGCCGACGAATATTTTTTATCTCTATATATTTTCTCTTTCATTTCTCTTTTCATTTATTTTTTCTTTTTTTTTTTTCTTTAAGTTTTTAATTGGACGTGAACGAACCGTCCCGTTTCCTTTACACAGTTGAGCATCGTACACCGTTAGTTAGTTCGATCCGTGGGAATACCTGAAGTTACCGGTCGCCGTTTCGCGACCTTTTCTTTTAAATCTATCATTCTCGTTTCCATCAAATTCTCGTTCCTTCATCTTTGGTAGTCGGTGAGTGAATATTGGCTAGATTCGCGGTCGGTAACTCGAGCAAAGCTACACACGCAGAGAGAAGAAAAAAAATTTCTCTTTTCCTTTGATCCTTCTCTCGTCTATTCTAGATCTCTTGTTCTTCGGTTCCCGCCTTAGTGCGGTTTCCAGGAGATGTTGTTCAGACCTTGAAAGTGCCGCTTCAGACTGCTGCCGTCGGCCCAGGGGGAGTCGAGATACTCGTCGTCATCGTCTTGCTCAAGTTTCTGAAACAACGCGTACCGGCGTTGATTAACCTTGTCGCGGCAATTTTTGCGTCGTGCGCGCGTGTGTAGTGTAAAATGCAAGAAAATGAAGCGGGCAAAAGTTTAGTTCGGACAGTCAGAGTCGACATGTAAATTTATCATCTCGTGACTTTCTTTAAATAAGAATTGTTTCTTGATATTCCCGTTTCCAAGAAAAGATTATCACGACGACGCGATGCATCGTTACAATTTACATTTACATCGATGGAAATTGAGAATTATCACATCTAGAAAAATCGATTCTTGCTTTTGTTGAAGAGAGTGAAGGGCGAACTCTGAATATCCCAACTATAGTGAATAGCGAATTAATTGATAACAAATTGATTACCTTTGGAAATATAAAGATTGCTAGAGTGCTTGGTAGAAGATTTTAATTTGTTGATTAATTCTTCTTTTTAGAGATTCGTTCACTGATTCATTCTTCGCAGGCACACAGACATGCAACACACGCTTCAATAAAGACAAAGTGTCATTCTCATAGATTTTTCCGTTTTATTTAATGTTTCGTTGTTTGCACAGTATGTGCTTTAGGAAGAAATCGTTTAAAAATCTTTTAAAATCCACCGACGCTGCTACAATCTCATTGCTTCGCTTGCACGCTGTGAAATAATTTTATCATCAATTTCACTGGCAGCCCAAGAGGCTCTTGAAGATCTTTAATGCCTCGAAGAAGCTCGTCGACGACGACGATCGAGAGATAATCTAAGTTTGCCGATGGTCTTAAACAGTTAAGCAAATGAATGCTCTCATAATCTAACCTCAAAGACTTGAAGAAGCGGACCAAGGAGACTTTGCATGGTTCGTAAGCTCCGGTATAAAATTCATTTGCGAAATACAATATCGCTTCTCCTCGATCTTATTCTACTTAGACTGTCTAAAATTTAATATCCTTTCTTTGTCCTAGTTTCCACAAAGATGGAGAACGGATAACACGCAAAATTCATAGATTAGTGATACGTAAACAAGAAAATAATTTTTACATCGAAACAATATAATGATAAAAAATTCTAATAGATATATTATAATATAATGTTTTATATATATATATATATATATAATATCTTGGAACATTCTAATAATTCTAATAAATTCACAAATCAGTGATATGTAAACATAAAGAAAGTTAATTTTTACATCGAAACAATATAATGATAAAAAATTCTAATAGATATATTATAATATAATATAATATTATATATTATAATATAACATCTTAGAACATTCTAATAGACATATAATTTTTAAATTCTATATTGCCCTTCAAAGAACCTCGAATATCATCGTCCCTACTAACTAAAATAAATAATTAATAATTAAAACTCATAGCTAAGATTATTACTTATTTGTTATAACTAGAATTTATACATAACTAAAACAATACATTTTATTAAAATTAAATTATTATTGAAAAAGGAAGAGAACTACATCCCTCTATTCGAAATATCCATCATCAACCCACTTTGGAAACTAATTAACGAATTTCCAATTTGTCTCCGCGATCTAATGACAAGTTCCCAATTCGCATCCACGCTCTAACGGCAAATTCCGAATCGATTGTTTGCGCGATGTGAAAACCGGACAAAAAACGAGCGTAACGAGAAGTACAAAAAAAAAAAGAAAAAGAAAAAAGAAAAAAGAGAAAATGGGACGAAAGGAAAAAAGAAGAGCAAACGATCGCGTGAACGTAAAACGATTAATCGTTTCAAGTGAAAAGGTGATCCCTTAATGTTTATCGGGCGCATGCTCTACTTGCTCCTCGAAACCAGTTCAACGCAAAGTGGTGCCCGTATTATTGATCAAAACGTGTACATGCTGTTCGACGTCGAAAATCTTCGAAATTACACGCCGGTTATCGATCATCGGCAATAACACGCGATTTCCTGGAGCAACGTTACGCGATCGTATTCGATCGAGTGGAAATTAGAATCCGACCAATCGGGTGGCGACGTTACGAGAGAAGAAAAAGCTAAATTCGCTCGCCGAAATGGGATAACGTGTAAACGTACGATCGTACGTTTTCGCGGGCATGGTGCCAAAATCGAAGGCACTTTAACGCTCAACCAGGGCAATCCTGTCGTTAAGACACCTAAAGGGACAATCCTACGATAACGAGTAACTTCATATATTAGAATGGATATTGAAAACGACCTTTCATTTCATCTGTAACTAAATCAGACTGATTGCAAACTTTTGTTGCAATAATTTTCAATACGCGATTGTTTTTCTTTCTTGTCTAAATTTTTGAAGCGACGTTCTTCTAAGAAAACCGCACAAACTAAAGTTAAGTATCTTGAAACTGCAAGCACGTTTGTGTTTTGGTTGAATTGAAAATAACGCTTTTCTTTTTTTTGCTATTAAAGAGAACCTAATTTTGATATTTTGTTACTTAATCCAACAATAATTGATCTTACCTCATTTGTAAAGACAGTGCTCGAATTCGAGTCGAGAAACGAAAGGAAATTAGAGATTGTACTTCAGTTCAGAAACTTCGAGCTTCCAATTAAGATTTCTATTGAATATTAATGGAAGAATTGCTACCCTGGTCCTCAGGAGTAGATGACCAGGAATATTCGTAAGAAAGAAAGTTGCAGGGTTGGGGGTTGGCCTGACAGTGAAGGGGTAAGAGCAGGTTGAAAGTGGAAACGGGGTGAGTTGTTGGAGTTAGGCTAGAAGCTGGGGTGGAAGTTGGTTAGGTCAGAATCGATGCCTGCGTCCTTGCAAGTGGCCTCACTCACGCATCTCGAGGTCGATTCACACGTAGCAGAATGGTAGCACGCATCGCGCTGTTGTTATCCAACAAAAATTAGTCCAGTAAATTAGAACCGAGAGAAATATTTGGAACTTTCTCACATCTTCGAGCTTCGATATTTTCTTGTAATTTTCACGCAAAAATTTAATTTGTTTTAAACGTAACTATTTCTCTCGACTGCCAAAATTTTCCAGTTCCATAATAAGTGAAGTAAAAAATTTTCATCTCCTTTTTTGTATACGTTTAATTTGAAATATTATTAATTTAAATGTATTAGTAATAATAAATATTATATAGATAAATATATGTATATACAATATATGTATATAGATAAATATATGTATATACAACGTCGTTTGTAATATAATACATCATATTTCTGACGTGAATGTTAAATTCATGTTTGATTTCGCATGACAAATGGATTATTTACACAATGTTATTTACATGATCAGTTGTACGCGATAGAAAATAATAATCATCGATGCCGTACACACTTCACAGAATGTCGCAACTGTGCACATTTCCGGGAGAGGCAAAGAGAAAGTCTGCCGGGAATTAATTCTGATATCACGGCCACAACTAATTACAAGCTGCGCTTCGAATTCTGACACGCGTCTCGTAAGACGAATTAATTACATCGCGACAGGTAAATTGATCGTCGCGGGATACCGAAAAGCCGATGGGAATTTCCCATTGAAGCGATTTCAGATGGATTTGATCAGCAGATGGATCGGTCGAGCGTTACCGATTGACCTCCTTATACGGATTTATCCAAGGAAAGTCAGACGACTTACGTTCGACGTATTTCCCAATGTCAGTTTTCGCGACCGGTAAATCGGTCGTTAAAAGCATTGAAAACACCATCGAAATTCCACTGTGAATTCAGGTCATCGATCCAATTTAAATAAAAAATGTACTACGAGCCACCTCCCGCGAAATTGATCAATGTTTTCGATTCGTTTGGAAATTTTGTCGCTTTAACATTGCAAGTTACTCGTACAAATTGACTACGGTGTACGATTATCTGTTTGCTTCTTTCTTTTCTTTTTTTACTTGTAAAGTGATTATTTGAATTCGATTGCTCGCCAGACACCCTTAAGGAAGAAGCACTTCCGTAAGCTTCGGTAGCAATTTTTTTGGCAAGCCAACAACGCTGTTATCTTTTTCTTGCCCCTGTCCGCGACGAGCTCCTTTCTCCGCGATTCCATTTCTCCCGATAAAACAGAGGAGAGCTAACAACGAGCCCGAAGGGGAGATTCTTTCTTTTCTGTTCTTTTCTATCCGTTGGAAGCGCAATCGCGGCTGTAAACTCGATGAAAATCGCGCCGTGTCAGATGGTTCGATTTTCCAACATTCACTTTTGGAATAGGTCAACGAAGGAAAAATTTCCTTTCATTCTTTTCTCCTGATTAATTTAATTTGCATAATCTCAGAATTTCCATGCTTCTAGTCGAATACACATATTCTGACGCTGTTCAGGAAAATACAGATGTTACGTTTTACATTCAATCTCCGAGCTTCCATACGTTTCGAACATTTCGGATTTTCGTGAGAACAGATTTTCTCATTGCTGTTGTTTACGTCGCCACGGATATTCGTTATAGATGAATTTTCTACTCTTGCGGCAGAGTACCGTTTACGAATTTTCTCTCTCGAGCAAGGTGAGAAAGTAAAGTAGATCATAATTTTCGTTATTCCCGGCACTCCCGTGTAATTCTTTCCACGAGTCAAAGCTCCCATCCGTTTATAGCACAGTCGCCGGGAAAAACTCCGGCGACTGGTAGTCTGGCAAATAAAGTTTCCTATTCCCCGTCCGCTGGAACTTTTGCTATTTACGCGAACGGCGTAATTTCATACTTTCATAATTTCAACGCCCAAAGATCGGAGAAAGATTCGCCTGGCTCTCCTCGGTCTCGACTCGAGAAACTGCGAACTGACGGCGGAAAAATTATCGCGATACCGTCTACGCTCGATTTCAATCATACAGAAAGTAGCAAATCCATCAGGTTGTTGTTTTTTTTTGTTTTTTTTCTTTGGAAACTGTCTGCTCACTTTCGAAATCAATTTCTTGGAAATTTATATTTCCGTTTGCGTGTTCTGTTGATTATAAATCGTAATGGCAAAGGCATGTCTGCGATTGAAACATTTGAAATATTATAACGAGGAAAAGAGGGACAAATTTTTACTCATTTTTATGTTTTGCAATATCTTTCGTAACGAAAGAATTGGCACAATATTAATTATTATATATGTATACAGTGGGGTGCAAAATTGAGTCAATAACAAAAATTTTTAAGAAAAATATTTTTTATTGTTAAATAAAGTATAAAAACATGAAACTAAACTCGACTATCTGATTCTTTATATTTTTAGGAAACTGAAGCTATTTTTTAACTTTTAAGATTAGATATCTTTCTGGTTGAAAAAAACATAGAATCAATTTTGCACCAGAATCTTTTCATAGTCAGATTTATGATACTAGTATATATATATACGGAAATTTGAGTGGAAATATGATAAACAACATCCAACAAATTAAGTAAAATTCCTCAAACGACGATTAAAATCACATTACAGAGCAGTTAAATTACTAGATTTTCAGATGTGCATGCCGAGTTAAGCATTGCATAAAGATTGATTTTGTTCTATTTGTGTACACACACACGCGAGCATATTTTAAACCAGAGAGAGTATCGTGAAGGTTCCCGCTTTTATAGAAGATAGTCTGATATTTATCGATATTCTATATATGTTACATATAAAAATTCAATAGTGAAAATGATTTGATAAAGAATATTCCTGGAACAAAGCGTATGCACGTGTGATATCCAACGATAAACGATTTCTTTTATTTATTAATTTATTTCACGAGCCGCGACAATTCAAGTGAAAGAAGAACTGAAAAATTACTGGGAAATATTTGTGCAATGTGTAACGAAATGGAAACCCACGTTCACGAAGTCAATTAAACGGGCGGAACAATTTCGCGGAAGTACATTAAATAATAAGCGAGTTCAAACATGGAGGAACGTCCCGAATTTCCACCAAGTTAAACATTATTACTGCGCTTTCACATTGCTGAAAGCAAAGGCGCTTGAACGTTTGCCCCCGTGTAATAAGATTCCGTTCGAATTTGTACTGTGTGTGTATTTTATTATTTCTCAACAAACACGATCGTATCTCCGGCAGATCTTCTTCCTATTCATTTTTAATCTGTTTTTAATCTGCCACATCTCTCGCTGATCGATCGTTTGTTTGTTTCTGTATTTTTTTACAAATGAGAGACAAATGAAGATGGAAAGCTACGCGTGTAAAATGTGTTGGAACAAGACTCTTCGTTATCCAAGGTTCAAACTTCGAGATCCACTTCGCTAAACTACTAGGAAGAAACTAAAAATCCAAAACTCGGCCAACTTTATCTCTTAGCGGACTATTCTACAAGTGAAAAATCAAGCTACAATACCGCTCTGCAGAAAAATTGCGGAATAACCACAGGAGAATTCTGCGAAATTTTCACGACAGAAAATAAAAGAGAGAAACGTAGAAAAAAAATCCACTTCAGCCATCAAAGTAATTACGAGTAATTAGCTATTGTCAATGGAGAACAAGTGTATAAGTACCTTTCAGAAGAGTGACAATTTTGGGGGCTGAAAAAAAATCCCTTTACAGCGCTTTTAAAGCATCTTCATCATTGTGTTTCTCATTCATGAGCGTTGACAAAAGGTAATTGTGCGTCGGAGTGATTATTTTGATCAATAAAGTTGTTCCACGGTTTTCTTTTGTTGTCTGTCTCGCGTTTCATTCTCAGATTTTTCTTTTTTTTTTTTGCCGTGCGTTTCACTGTTATTCTTCTCGTCTTTCTTCTTCTTCTTTTTTTTTTTCCGAAAGAAAAGTTCTACTGCGATTTTATTTCATCGAACTCTTAACCTGAATTCCATTCACGTTAAACCCTTTGGTACTCCACCGGCGCTGTTTCACATTCATCATGTGAAAATCGTTTCTTTCACCAAGAAAAATAGTCGGCAGAAAAAGAAAGAAAAGTGAGTGAATAAATTTAGGCTTGAGAATGTTACTTTCCTGCACTTTTAAAGATTAATTCTAAACCCGGATTCTGAATTACTGTTTGAACAATGGACTCACTTTTGAAATATTTCCCAAACACTTCGAAGTTGAAAGATCGTTCAATTAAACTCTTGCGCTTGGCAACTGGTTCGCGGACCATAACGAGTGACCGGACCATATGATACAATAACTCGTCGCTTTCTTTTTCTTTTGAACTCGTCGGTATGATAACACTGGATAGAAATGATTAAGAAGTAATAAACTTATCATTCGTTTTGCCTTAAAACTGAGATAATGTTGCAATTTTGGAACAAAAAATTCTCGACGTGCGCAAGAGATTGAACTAACCGCAAAACAGTGCATATATTCGAATTAAATTCCATATCATACGCAATATAATAATAACAATAATAATACTTTACTTTACAATTCAAAAAAAAATCTACAGATCGAAATGGAAAACGTCGAGTCGAAAATTGAAGACAATTGCAGATTCGCCGAGAGTTTTCGAATATACTCTGGTATTTACCCTATGAGCAAAGATGTATCAACATGTGACCCTTCGTGAAATTTCCATCCCTCGATCATCTCCCATCGTTCAGCCTCTCTGAAACGCTCTGTATCGTCGGATCTCTGCGACAACGTTAAAGATCCCCGGGCGCACAAAGGATTAAATACGATGTACGGGGTTAGGCTGGTCGATCGTCGTGCGGAAACTTCGTGGCTGATGGATCCTATTCGGATTTGATGGTCGCAGGCCGCAGTGTTTGCGTAGCTGAGGGGAGGGAGTGATCGGATATCTTTGGTTTGTCGCGCGCCACCGGTGAAATTGACCGCGTAATCATCCGATATCGACGCTTTGTCGAGCCTGCTGACCGTGCGCCACGGATATTTATATACGATCCGCGAGCACTCGTTCATCTCGGCCGACGTATTTTATGCCTGTTCCTTCGCACAAAGGCCGCTCGATACTCGTTTTCCCGACGACGACCACGCGACTCTTCCCCCTCGTCACTTCGTTCCAGCTTTCTCTTTCTTTCTTTTTTTTTTTTTTTTTGCCCCCGCGCGGAGGAATCTCGACGATTTCACTCGACGGTTTCACACCTCGATCGGGATCGACGCTCCGCAGGATACGAGCTCCGCCTTTTATGGATTCGCGATAGAATGGACTGAAGACGCTCGAAGGAACGAAACGATCTTTGCCTTTTATTGTCTTTTCCATCGCCGATGAGAGGGAATTCTGATGGCAGCGCGTGCACGAGAGAGTGCACTGGGATTTCAACGTGGATAATGGTACACGTATCTCCTCGAAGAGGATATCTTTCGAGAGATCTCGCTGGCAACGTTTCAGGAGCTGCGATGGAATTTTCACCCTTTGCGCTGGCAACTTGGTTCGCGGACCATAACGAGTGACCGAACCGTGTACAATAACTCGTCGTTTTCTTTTTCTTTTGAACTCGTCGGCGCGATATCACTGGACAGAAATGATTAAGAAGTAGCGAACTTATCACTTGTTTTACCTTTGGGACAAAAAGGTTATCCACGTCATTCCAACGCAAGAGGTTAACATCGACGTTGAGATTCGCTTTGAACACGTCGAATGGCCAATAACGGTCATGAAGGTTGATCTTTTTCTTTTGAAAACTTCACAACTGCAGCGAGAGAAAAGAACGATGGACAATTGTCCATGTTTCGAATAGAAAATTATTGTAATAGTTGTTCTATGAATAAAAAATCAATTTAAGTCGTAAATTATTATTCTTTCAATTGTCAATTCGAATAAAACGAGCCTCGCTTTTAACTTTCCAGTGAGGCGCGTGCAATGAACAAATCGTCCGAAGAATTTCGGCTTATACTTCTTCTTCAAGCCTTACACGAAAAGACAATTAAGCATTGCATAATCGCAACTTAAATATCGCTATTCTGTTCCTACGAATATTATAAATAATATTTATTATTATATAATAAATAAATAAATAATAAATTAATGAATATTAATGAATATAAATAAATAATAATTAATTAATAATTTAATAAATTAATTAATGAATGTAAATAAATAAATAATAAATTAATGAATATTATAAATTACAAATTTATTATAAAATAAATAAATAAATAATAAATTTAGGAGTATTATAAATTATACTTTCATCAACTCTGTGTATTTTCAAGTTTGTTTTCCTGTCGGAAACGTGCAAACGTTTCCCTCTTTTTTTTACTTAGTAACGAGCAAATCATTGGGGAATGATCGCTTCGTGCACGAAGAAATCTCGCGGTTAAAACGATTACTTCGTCGGAGTTTAACGATTCTTTTAAACCGTGCACGACTAGTTTCTGTTGCTAGATTGACCGGAAGCCCCACGATTCGAGTAACGTGGTATTCTAAATACCAAGGCGAACCGCTTAAAGCCGTTCAAGTGTCCCATTAACCACGCTTATTTTTGCTCGAGTGAACCGTAACCATTAGCCGCGGTGTAACATTATTAGTCGTAACAATGGAAACACTTGATCTTCGATAGAGGTAATCAGTGAAACACGGCTTTTGTTACACGGTGTTATAAACTCGCGTATGCTGATCTCACTTAGAATTATAAAAATTTCTAATTTCTCTGTTTTCCCAGCGATTTCTAGAAATTCCTAGGAATTTTAGAATTCGTTTAGGCAGAACGTAAGTGCGTTTAATAGTGCGTTGAATCTTGAAATTTGTACGTCTTAGAGATCGAAAAATGTAGAATGTTTCTTAAAACTCACAATAATCAAACTTTAAATTTGTAGATTTTTGACTGAGAGATTTGATTCAATTATATATATATATATTTTCTTTTTTTACAGGAGAAGAATTAACTGCAAAAGCGTTTCTAACTATCATGGAACATATACATTTACACTCACATCAATCCCAGACATTCTCGAAACCACAAACAATTCTGAACACGTGGAATATCGAAATTCCTGACCAACTTCAAAAAAAAAAAAAAAAAAGGAAACACGGTTTCCTCCAACCAACTCTTATTTATCGTACATGATATGCAACGTGGAAGAGAGACATATTTGGAAGAGAAACAAAGAGAAACACGAAAGGGAAAGATGTTTCGATGATGTTAGAGGTTTACACACGCTTACCCCTGAATCGAGTACGAGTTGGGTATCCCGTCCAGGCTTTCCCTGCTGATGTCGTCAGCCATGGCGACTTTCAGCTGATGCCCAAAGCTTGCTAGGTCTTCCCTGAAAGCCTCGCTACCGGGTGTAAGGGCGCCGCTCGTCAGTGGCAGGGGTGTCGCGTTGCTTCCCTCGCCCTCTCCGCCGTCCTCGCCCTCCTCGCCGCCCACGAGGACCACCTCTTCTTCGTTGTAGATCTTGAAGTAGGCGATGGTGAGGTATATCACCGAGATTATGAAAGACGGTATCGGAATCGCCATCGCGTACACCAGATTCATGTACACCTGCGGGAAACAGGTCACGCACATGGAGGCCTCGCCAACAACCGAAGCGTTTTTCAACGTCCACTTTCGCTTTCGTGCGGCACTACCCGAAGGAAGCACGCGTACGTACGATCTTTGTACGTGTACCAAAGTGATTGGGACTAGTAGGAGTTTGAAGAGAGCACTCTTTGCTGAAATTTTGATGGAAGTTTCTTGGAAAATTAAGTAAGTGAAGAACTCGTTGAATGAGTGAACGTGTTTCCCATTGAAATCATCGACACAGATTTCTCCGACAATATTTCATCGACTCTAGATATGCTCGACAATAATGACATTGACTGACAACAACATTTGACAATTGCATATTGCCAGAGACGTTGTCTCAGCTTGCGTTCGAGCTATGGCCTTTATTGCCTACTAGTATATTGAATAGAGTTATAATCATTCTTATTGTCAGTGAAAATAGTTAATTATACAAAAGTGTCTCGACCATATCCAGAAAATGATGGTATATTATCAACTAGAAATAAAAATATGACTGTATCTAACCTAAACCTTGCGTTATCATTAGAAAAACAATGATGAACAAATATAATAAAATGTCATCGGTCGGTATCAGTTGTCGGTTAATACTGTCGGTTAAAACTGGAGTCGATGAAAACAGTGTCGAATGTGACCCGTGAAGTTTCGATCCCGTGAAAGACTATCGGAATGTCGACAAATTTGTCTTGAATAATTTTGCCGAAATAATTCGAGGACAAGATTCCTTCTAAAATCTCGATCTCACTATCATTGTCCAACAGACAGATAGTATAAACGCAGCAATTTCACCCAAATTTCAAGTAAAATCTCGTTTACATCTGGAAATCCAACGAATTTCCTCCGGTGGGCGTCTGGACGTGTCTCCAGGGTGTCGTTAATTTACGAAATTGACACACGTTGGAGCGCGGTGTGGAATGGCAAGCTATTCCGTCGACGGATCCACGATGTTATCGCCGTTCTTTATAAGGCCGTTCTCTCTCTCTCTCTCTCTCTCTCTCTCTTTCGTTCTCTCGCTTCTTGCCCAGTTCTCGCGGGGAGGATTCAATTCCACCCGCAGCTGGAAGAGCGGACGAGCGAGAAATTTTCTTTTCTTCCGGGACAGCAGCGCGGCACTAGTTTCATCGGGTACGATGGTTTCCGTCTTTGTCGTCAGGCCGGGCATTCAGCCCGCTTGAAACGCATTGTTCGTCACCGTGCAGGCGGCTACGTTTCCGTAAACGTAACGGAATTCCACTGTGCTTGCCGCGCCGCCGGAAAATCGTTTTCCACGCCGTGATATATACCGCCGTTGGATCCGTTCTTTCCAACTCTCGCAACGCCTGTTTCTTTTTAGAAACTCGCCCCACCTTCGAGCTATTTTCCATCGACGCGATTAAATATTCCCAACATCGCGTTTAAATTTTTTCTACACGTACCAGGTTTCAAAAAAAAAAAAAAAAAAAAAAACAGAGTAACAGAGTTTCGGTATTTTTATTTTAGAGACGATAACGTTGAGTTTTTAAATAATTTTCAGGTTTCGAAGTAAAACGATACATCGTCTGGATAATGCTGTTTCAAGAATTTTATTTAAATGACATTCAAGCCTGATTGTAGTGTTTCGAATAGTTTGCACCATTGTGTAAAATGATTCTGTAATTTTCGTATCCGAACGTTGTGTTGTTAAGAGTGTACACGAGTGAGAAATAATTCGCTTTAATTATTCCGTCTATCATCTAGAATCCATTTATGAACAATATCCATTTATTTTTATACTCGATTTCCACGCTACTCGAGAATCTAAGTCGCTTACTCAAAGAAACTATAACGCGAACTAGAGCGTCTGTTCTTCTCAGTTTCAGTCCCTCCACCGAGACAAATTGCCACCGCGCAAATTCCATTGTGCAGTTACATTCTCGCCACTTTTCAATTTCGTCTTTCTTGATAATATCAGGAAGCGTGTCTCTCCGATCGGAGAAGCACGAGCACGCACGGTCGTTTCTCTTCTTCGTTTCTTCTCTTCATTCCCCCCAATCGGAGTGGCTCAGTGCAATTGCCATCAATTACTCGAAGCTCGCGATCTCGTGTCTTTACGTCCCAATTAAAGCAGATACCCGATCTCCGTTAATAACGAGCTCTGTTAGGTACTTAACCATTTATGGCAGAGACGTTGCTCGCTGCATAATGCACTATGCCCTCAATAGGCACCTGCAGTATCGATTCACGGCCCCCGGCGTTCCTGTCTACCGTAAACTTGTACGAAAGTCACACAGGTAAAGACCACTTTCGCGTGACTTGTACGTGCAAGCACTGAGACGGTAGATCAGCGACGTCTAGAACACGGTGACCGGGTTACACCCTGAAGAAAACGAACACGTCACTGCGACGAGATTCGATTCTTATTTTGTTCGACTGCCTCAATTGCCGATGTTATCCTCTTCGTGTCCACTTCGCGCTTTTATTTGTGAACTCGTGTTGATTAACACGATATTTGCCCAATTATCGAATGGCGAATAACGTCGTGAAATCGATCATTTCTACTTTTTATTCGTTGTCAACCTTACACTGTGACTTACACTGGAAACCTTGATATTGACGAACAATGTTATCACACTTCACAGTTATTAGGAATTTTCCATTCTGTGCCAAGATTTTGATTGAGAATAATTTTCAATTCGTAGGTCACGATTGTAGTCATACAACAGAAGCATAATTTGTTGACTATTATCTGGAATTCGATTGTTATATATGGTTAGATTACAGGCGATGCAATTGAGATGGGCCTGTCTGATCACAAACGGCGAGATCTACTTCAACGTTCGAGAACTTTATAATTTCTGATTTTCCTGTGGTATTTCAATTTCTGTTTTTTTTAAGTTAGATTACCAAGATTTTGTTCCATGTTCAGTTTAGAAATGATTTTCGATTTTTAAGATTGTAGCATGTTATTTCTTTTATCTTAGTTTCATCGTTACCTGTAGTTTCCATATCGTATCAGTGCATCTTTCAAATATCTATCTGCATATCGAAGTAAGATCAAGATTCGAGAAGAACTCTTACCATCTGTACTAAGTTTACAAATGCAAATAAACCCATAGAAGTCAGTTCTTTCGAGTCGAGAAGGACAGCAAATGAAGAAATAGGGGAGGAAAAACAAAGAGGAAAGAAAGTACAAGGGCGTGAATGCAATGTCTGGCAACAAAAATTAATTCTTTCTATGAAACTTGCATACATGTAAAGAATTAATTTTCCTAGATAACGTATTCATCTTGTGCTATAGACTGTATGTAGGGTGTGACAACACGTGTTATAGGACTGGATAGAAGGTTACTTTACATGCACAGGTAAATCGAAGATCCAGAATCGAAAGTTTCCACTTACAAAACTTCGTCTTGGTCAAAAATAAAAGCTTGTCAAGTACACGTTCTCACGAATTTGGCAAATTCCCGACTGGATGCAAGTTGGCAAGACGTTATTCCACTCGCGAATATAGTAAAAATATAAAAAAATATGCAAATCGAGAGTGAAACACACAAATCTGCCTGTCCTTCGTTAAAATCCAATTTCTCTCCAAGTGTTGTTAATCAATTTTCAATGCGCACTCGACAAACGTCGCGACGTCGAATTCTCAGACGGTTGAAATGATCAAATCGCAGATTTTCGACTTATCTTTGCACGCGTCATAGGATATATAATAATCTCCCATATAATAGTCTAGCCGCACTCAACACACACGAAACACATACAGTACGAAAGAATAGACAATCGTAGAGACCTGCCACATGTCGAGGTCGCTGATGACTATCCCGGGGTCCACTTTCGAGTAGTAACAGCTAAAGTTCTGCCCTATGTTGGCGTACTGCCGGTAGAAAATACTGCAATTCAGCATTGGAGGGTATCCACAGCCTTTTACGTTGGGGAACAGCTTGGCCCCGGTGAAGTACCACTCGGAGTCGTTGCCCATGAGCCCTGCGAACTTCGCCTTGTTATCATCGCCAGTCGTCTCGACCGAACGAAATCAGTCGACAGACATTCTCCCGTCAGAGAGGGAGAGAGAGAGAGAGAGAGAAATAAGTATGTACGGTGACAAACGGGAGAGAATGGAGGGTGAAAGTGGACACATTGTTAGTAGAAAGTATTTTTCTCTCTCAGAGAAGCTGTTGACAATGTGGCCGCTGACGTTCGAGAGTTTGAGAGTTTTCGCCGGCTCGAACGATAATGAATTTTGCCGTTTCGTTAGTGGAACGTGTCGCACGGTGGCTGGTTGGTCCGCTTCAACGCGTTGCAGCGCGCCCGACCCTTAATTTGTTGCTCGGGTCTTTTGTGACATGCTTCCACGAGGCGCGTACCATTTCTGGCATTTCGGAACTAGGTCGAATTTCCACGTCGCCGTGCGAAATTGTTGTTTTATTACCGTTGAGAATAACAGTTTTTCACTGTCAGTTTGGAACGCGAGTCGGGCCAAACGACGACTCGACGTATTGAAGATAGATTTCGTACAGATAGTGCAATGATCAAAGTATGGAGAAGTTAAATTTTTTTTTTTTTTTTGGTAGACAAATACATTTGGTAGCAAAATACGTGAAATTCTAATCAAATGAAAAACTATTCGACCGTAAATTTAAATTGATGCTGCCAATTACGAATTGTGAAATTAAAATTAGAGAATAGAACCGATCTGATCTACTTATTACTTGATAAAATTGAAAAGATTTGACAAACCCTCGCGTGAGAGTACAAAGAAATAAAATTTTCAACAATTCCCATATAGAAGAAGACCAAATATTACATCAAGAGTGCGATACAAATCGATCACGTTTTTATAACGTTCAAAGCACCGTCACGTTTCCACCAAACGGTAGATTTTCCTGTTTAACCTTCGGCGTGATATGAATTTCCGGCCTTTTAATTGTTAAACCGATCGTCCAAGAAACGTACGTTTGTTCCTTGTATGTATAGGGTGGTCAATGAAAGACTGAATGACATAAAACAAAAATAACTTTTGCAAACACATGTTTTTTTAATTTTTTATTATTTTATTTGGAAATATAGTTAGTGGATTTTCTTCAGTATTTTTTTCTATAACCTACAAATAAAGAAAATAAAAAAGATTGAAACTGACTTTTTAATTTTTTATTATTTCATTTGGAAATATAGTGAGTGGATATTTTTCAGTATTTTTTTCTATAACCTACAAACAAAGAAAATAAAAAAGATTGAAACTGATGTTTTAATTTTTTATTATTTCATTTGGAAATATAGTTGGTGGATTTTTTTCAGTATAACCTGCAAACAAAAAAGATAAAAAAAGATTGAAATTGATGTTTTAATTTTTTATTATTTTATTTGGAAATATAGTTAGTGAATTTTTTTCAGTATTTTTTTCTATAACCTACAAACAATGAAAATAAAAAAGATTGAAACTGATGTTTTAATTTTTTATTATTTCATTTGGAAATATAGTTAGTGAATTTTTTCAGTATTTTTTTCTATAACCTACAAACGAAGAAAATAGAAAATATTGAAACTGACTTTTTAATTTTTTGTTATTTCATTTCGAAATATAATTAGTGGATTTCTTTCAGTATAACCTGCAAAAAAAGAGAAAATAAGAAAAGATTGAAAATGACTTTTCCAAAGCCTTCGGTTTTTCAGTGGCCACCCCATGTTGAGTTGATATAATAACCGTTATATCGTCGCATTAACGAGTAATAGTGAAGATGTAAACGGCAGAGCACGTCGCTCTGTACCTGTAGGGAAGGGTTTCGGCAGTCCAGCATCGTCGTCCTCGGCGAAGTCCTCGTCAAGGTCCTCGACGTAATCGTACTCCCGGAGTGAACGCTCGTAACGCGGTTTTCCCATCGTCGTGCTGTCTTCGTCATCCTCGACACCTCCTACCGCTCCGCCTCCCTCACCCTGTCCATCGCTATCCTCGGACGTATTAGTCGGTAGCTTGTAGTTGACGCGTATTTGCGTGCAATCGTACAGCTCCTTGGTGCAACCCTCTCTACAGGATGTCCATGAGCAGTTGCTCGTACCTGGACTCGAATTGGATCGTTCATGGACTTTCGTTGATTGAAGACGAACGGGGTTTACGGGGGTTTACGCCAGAGTACGAAGAAAACCGTGGACGGCCAACACGACAGAGAGATCGGTGCACGCCGAAAAAAGTGATACGAGTCGTTTAGAATCGAAGCCCCTAAACGTGAGATCTTGAGGAAATTACTTTCGAGATTTAGTTAGCACTGCAGCCACGTAGCGTAACATTAATCAATAGAGTAATTAACAGAGTATTAATAGAGAATTTATCAAAATACATGGTACAAATATCCTTGCTTCAAGCTTGGAGCAACAAATTCAAATTTATATGTCCGAGTAATAACTTTCTCAAACAAAATTCGAATTTTGCTCACATTATTTATTTATTCTTTCGCACCACTGAGGTTGCGATTAATCGTAATCTTCAGAGAAAGCTGCAATGCTGACGAGACGTGTGTATCTTTGGGATCTTCCTCAAGAAAGTAATTCTCATTTAGAAGTCTCGATTCGAAAAATTTTGTGTACCTCTTACGAGAAAGAGAGAGAGAGAGAGAGAGAGAGAGAGAGAGAGAGAGAGAGAGAGAGAGAGAGAGAGAGAGAGAGAGAGAGAGAGAGAGAGAGAGAGAGAGAGAGAGAGAGAGTATCTTAAATTGATGCAATTTGTGTGAAAATCCATGGAGATAAGTGGAATCGAAGATCGAAGAATTTTTCAGACATCAAAGTGAAATTTGAAAAGCTTGTGAAAGTATTCATATTTGAGGTGATAGACGTTTGAACATTGATTACGTGCGAATCGTCGTGTTGTATGCAGTTTGCTGTTTGTTCCTGTTACGCGTACGTTGTTTTAGATCATTTGATCGTATAAATTTATGAAATAAATTGAAAGATTAAAGGTAATTGGCACGATTGATGGCGTTTAATTACTCAATTAGCAAGGCTCGAAGGAGCACTGGATTTGATTATACGTTTGGTTACAGTTAATACGCACATACAATACATGTTGATCGTGTTCATTAAATAAACGTTGAGAAACTGGATGTTTGAATACTCGAATCAAACTATAAATTGACAACAGGTAATAAAGTAATTGAAACAAAAAAAAAAAAAAGCAAAGATTCTAATTCTTCTCGCGATATTTAACCTCTTGCGTTGGAATGACGTGTCACAGAGAATTTTTCGTCCCAAAATTGCAATATTTTCTCAGTTTTAAATATATTTCAGTATAATCGAACACACAGGCAAAACAAATAATAAATTTATTACTTCTCAATAATTTCTATCCAGTGATATCGTAATACCGTCGAGTTCAAAAAGAATTATTGTGTACGGTTCGGTCACTCGTTATGGTCCGCAATCAGTTCGCCAGTGGTTTAATCGACAAACTTGCAATTTAACCTTTAGTACGAAGGAAATACATTTCATTTGTAAGTGAACAGGAAAAGGAAACGGCAAACTACATAGAACATAGAACACACGTAATTCGTATTAATAAAAACGCTGTAGACGTGTAGTGAAACGCATACAATTTTTCGACGTGCATCCGCGTGATACGAAGATATATATATATATATATATCCAGACATAAACGAAAACGACGACAGTCAGAAGACACAGACGGGGCAAGTGTGACAGAACCTCAAGAATAGATGGAACAAATCGAAAGAGAAAGAGATAGATAGATAGATAGATAGATAGATAGATAGATAGAGAGAGAGAGGGAGAGAGAGAAAGAGTCGAAAGACAAGGGGAGGGAGGAGGGGAAGAAACGAAGTTGGTTAGGGAAGAAAAATGCACAATGACTTTCTCGAGATTCTCGAGAACATGAAAACCGTAGCAAAAGTTCTCGACGTGGTCCCTGAGGCAGGTTACGAAATCCTTGCCCTGACCTCGTCTTCCTTCTCGAAACTTTCGCGAAGGGAAACTTCAGCAATGATGTAGTTGACGTACCGGGTCATACTTTTGGATAACGTCCAATCTCCGGAGTTACCGTTCATTTTTTTTTGTTTTTTTTCTTTTTTCATTCTCACGAAGTCAGATCAGATTCAGGTTAGGTTAATCACCGACTCAAAAGCCGACGATTTACAGAAATCTAAAGCAATAACCTCAGATAAGGAGAACGGAAATTTCCAACCGAATAAAATATTTTTAGATTTTAGACTGGAATTTCAAACGAATTTTCAGATTGAAATTGAAATTGAAATTGAAGAGGCCTGTCATTCATCGGGTAGAGCCATTCGCGAGGTTACGTGACGCAGAAATTACGGAAATACGTCGCGGTGATAACTCGAATGGTTAATTAACCGTAGTTGCGAGGTTGTTTCCCGCACAGAGACGAACATAATCTAACTTGGTGCATTTTCTTCCCTGCGCAAATTCGCCCCCTCGAGTTCGTGTTCTCGCTGAAATCCTATTACCAGGCATCAGCCACGTGTAATAATCTTGGCGGTAGTTGTCGCTGTCACTTGTTCAATTGCATTCGAAGTATTTGCGCCGAACGAACAATATTATCACCTTGGGAATTAAGCCTTTGAAGGGGCACTTAACGAAACTCAGTGATTCGACATGTTACCCTGTTGAAAAATTGATGTACAACGTTCGAACGTTAAAATTACCGAACAGTATAGAGCGAAATTAAATAAGAAACAATTGTAAACAATCGTATTGTAATTGATTTTCAATTTCGAATAAACAATTTGATTTCAATTAGAATTTCTAATAACTGTAAATTTCATTCTGTTGAACATGTCAGTTGGTTCAACTTTTATTGGTATATAAATATGGTATATAATGGTATATAAATGGAATAAATTTTAATATAATTGGTATATAAATGGAATAAATTTTTTCAATAAACGGATAATAAGTGCATGTTCAAGGACTTCGTGTATATATATATATACAGACACATCCATAATTACATAAAATTGATACCAGACAGAAAACTTGTAGATAGTCAAATTCAGAGACGACAAATTCATGGAAACAATAGAAATTTACGAGAAGACGAAAGGTGCATTAGAGACATCTAGAGAGAAAGAGAGAGAGAGAGAGAGAGAGAGAGAGAGAGAGAGAGAGAGAGAGAGAAAGGGTGGAAACCACGACGATTAATGGAATATTAATGGAATATGCGACTGTAACCAACGATGATGACATATAGTATCCACAGAAACATTCGCATACACACATCAGCTTCGGGACAATTGGAAATTGCATTCGGTGTATATACACTCGAAAAGTGGAACAATACGTTCTAAATGCCTGGACTATGAACTTCAAGCAAATTTGCCCGACCTGGTAAAACTTTAATCCAACGCAATTGCACTTCTAATTTCTATCTGCGTTTCGTATTTCACATTTCGCTCATTCTATTGAATTATCGAGAATTGTAAATCTCGTAGATAGGTAATTCTGAAAATATGTTATTAACTAACTTCGAAACTGCAGTGTACTACATTTCGTAGATCGTGTACGTCTAAATCGTGTTTACACGATATACGTTTCAATCAGGATTTCAGGTCTACAGTCTGATTCCCTGAATTTTAGAACCGTGTTCACTAATTATCTAGTTTCCTTTATCGAGAACGATTACTGACAATCGACAAGAGAAGTGAAATATTTAAAAAAATTCTACTTATATTGCTCGACGATTAAATAAAAATCCAAGATCAGAAATTAACAATTGTCGTGCAGAAATGTTGCCGTCTTGAGGAGCAAAATTTCGAGCAAACCGTTACTTTCTTAGAGCTCGAAGCCCTCCTCGTCGCTACGCGTCGGAATCGAGGGTTGAGATTTTTCACTCTGCGGAGGGAAACGAGTACATACGATTTCCCCGCTGCTCTCTAATTAACGCGTCTAGACGGCATCGCTGCGAAATTATGCGAGCACGTTCGCATTTACCTGATAAAATAGGCCTGCAAATTGGAAGCGCCGACGTTATCGATATATCGACGTAACAGCGTCGCTAAAGAGGCACTAGACGGAGACGAGGCTAAGATCGACGCAACTGGTGTCTTTGTGTTCACAGCATTCGAGCCGGTCCCGAGCAATCCGAACCCCTACGCCTACTGCCAGTAGTGTTCCCTCTTTCGTCACCCTTGTGCTTACACTTCAGGTCCTCTGTCGAATGCCAGCGGCCGTAGGCCACTGGCATTCTCCAACCATCGAGTACTCTGACGTCTGCTGCTTCACGCGTCTATTTATGTGTGCTTTGCAACTGCGAAATAATCCTCCGAACAATTTCTTTTTTCCAATTTCTAAATGCAATCGTACGAACGTTTCTTCTATTATATTATTTAATTTTTGAAAAAAAAACTCTGTGTGTGTGTGTGTGTGTGTGTTTTGTAACGTGTTACCAGAGAAGTACGTGTACCGTTGATTCTCTAAAAAAAAAAGTGAAAGAAGATCAGAAGAGAGGCTCAGAAGAGAATTTTCAAGAAATGGAAAGTAATTCGATTGAAATGAAAAGTAAGTTCGAATTCTGAAGGTTAATATTCTGTATCTACGTTAATAAAATATTGCGACATGTTAAAATATTCCCGGTTGTAAATTGTAAAGTATAATTTTATTGTCAATAAAGTTATCAATTTTCTATGGACACCTCAATCGACGATTATTCAATTTAACGGGCTAACGATACCGGAGAATTATATACAATCGACTTTAATCAATCGCGAATGGTACTACACGATTTAGATTTTTTATACACGTTCGTTGCATTAATATTTAAATTCCGGATATTTAAAAAATATCCGGATGGACAGGGACGAATGTTTCCCCGAACCGTGAATGCGTAATATAGCAACAATCGATCGCGTATTTTGCAACGATGAAATATTAAGGCCGAGCAATCGATACGAGGATACTTGCGAACGTCCAACGAATTATTCAGAGAGGCGTCGAAACTTTTGCACGAATATTTTCTATTCTTCCGGGGGCAAAAAGAAAAAAAAAAAATAAAAATAAAAAAATAAAAAATAAAATAAAATAATAAAAATAGATTCCCGTATAATATAATTTCCCGGTGAAAATCAATACGATGCGAAGGAAACACTGTCCAGATGGATTATGATTGTCGCGTGGTTGTTTTCTTTTCGTGGCATTCGAAAAATTGATCGACACGCGGCTCAATCGTTTTCACAGTCCACAAAGCTCTCCCGTTCTATCGACTCTTTCTCCCTCTTGTTTTAACCCCTTCTATTTAAGTCTCGTTTCCATCAACGAAATCAACACCACAACGTCCGCTGGAAATATCGACGGAAGCCAGACCCTCGTTTCTGGTTGAATTTAAACGAGGACGCGAGGAACGTCGATACCTTTTTTCCCTTACCCTGCCACTGAAATAATATTAATGCGTCGTCGCTTCTCGTTACCATGCAACACGCGATCGTAATTTTCCCGATGGTTTCTATCGTTACATAAAACATATGTATGTTTTATGTAAATTCTCGTCCGATGAATTATTTTTCTTTCCTCTCTCGAGTGCCTTTAACATCCTCGTTATTATTTGTTCTTTACGTTTTTTTTTCTTTTCTCTTTTTTCTTTTTAAATCAAGCGAATAAATCGATAAGCTACCACGTGTAAAAGCAACACGCTTACGCGGTTACGAGAGTACTACGCGTATGTAGTTGAACGTGTTGCTCGCGATATCAAGCGCTCGTAATCGAAATGAATAATCGTTCCGTAGTAGCGGCATCGATGGGTATCGCGTTGCATAAATAGCGCCGCGATAACCATTTGTCAGAGATGCATATGAACGGAGTGAGCATAACTCCGGGGGTGTGTATTTCATGTTTTACGGGGGTGCACGTGTGTATCGTCGGAGGTTCTCGTGAAGAACAGACGAGACGAGTCGGGACGATATTAGAGTACAAACATAAATACATTCTTGCGGATTTTCGCGGTTCAATTCGCTGGCGAATCAATTGTCTTGCGTGTTTTCACTATCGCGCGAGATTTCTCGTATTTTCATGATACTTTCCGGTGACGTTGTAAAAAAAAAAAAACATTTAGCGGATAAATTTACATATCGAATATCCAAGCGATTCAATTTTTCAAGTTTTCAAAACAGATTTTAGTCGAAATTAAAAGTTATCTTCGAGAAACGATGATACGACTATAAGAGGCAAATTTTTTTTCGAGGGACGCAATTTTATTCAGCTGGATAACAAAGATTTTCGCTGATCGGAACGAGAGAATCGAGTATGAAAAAAATTTTCATGGAAAGAATTTGCCAGAAGGATATTCTAATTTGGCACTCTTTCGTAATAAAAAATACATACTTTTCAACGGCTCAGTATCCCGTTGAAACGAAACGAAACGCGTCCTTTTTAGTGGAATTTGCTTCTTTAACCTCTTGCCACGCACGTCGAGAGCTTTGTGTCCCCGAAATTGCAATATTTTCTCAGTTTCAAGTATATTTAAGTATAACACAGGCAAAATAAATAATAAATTTATTACTTCACAATAATTTCTATCCAGTGACGTCATACCGGCGAGTTCGAAAGAAAAAGAAAGCGACGAATTATTGTATAACGGTCCGGTCGCTCGTTATGGTCCGCAGTCAGTTGCCAGCGTAAGTGGTTGACAGAAGATACGATGCGTGAGTCGAACGTCACGACGCCGTTTCGGAAAATGTCCCTGTATATTTTCATCCTTCTTTTTTTAAATAATTGACGAAAGACAAAGGTCTCCGAGCAGCGAATCTGGACGAATCTGGACGTTTGAATATTAAATTAAATGTCATTGTCTTCGTATCCACGGCTTCGATATGTAATATTAAATTCATCGTGCGAACCGTCGAACGACCGTCCATCAAAACAGCGCTCGTCTCGGCTGGAAATAGTTTTCTCAATCATTCATGCAAATCGTATATTCCGACGGTGACCCTATTTCGTGAATTGGAACGAATCGATTTATATATCCTGCTGTTTCTTTCACGCGTGTGTCCCGTCTTCTCTGCGATTAGAACGAAAAAAATTACGCGGAATTTCTATTTTAAACCAACGCCAACTCTGAATTCACGAGGATACACTGTCGCGAGACAGTTTCAATCGAAACACTTTGAACAGAGGCGAAGCTCATTTTGCGTTTTAAAAGGCTGATTACGACTTGTCAATTAGAGAGATATTCGGTTTCCAATTATAACGCTCGACGTTGGTTTATTTGGAAATTAATTGTCAACTCTGTTACTCCGTTCTTGATTTGCAATATCATTTGTTACGAATTTACAATTGCCGCCGATTCCATCGGATCGTTTAAGAAATGTTTTAGTTAATTAATTTATCGAGCGGCGTTATCAATTAATCGGACAATCGAATGTTAATCGAACGTTTCGAACAAGATTGAGAAGTTACGTCGAGTTTTTGACGTGTGTCATTCGATGGTTGCATTTTTCATGAGGCGTCGTAAAAGATTGACCTTTTAAATATATTAATCACGTCCTTTATATTACATTCTGCTTTGAACTTGGTATAATTCTGATCGATGAAAGAAACTTCCTAAAAAAAGGAAGTTTCCACTTTGTTATTTTACGTAATAATATTTTAAAATAATATCGTTTTAAATATTTTCTAAACTGTAGACACTGAAATATCCGATCGAAATGACACGTTTGTACACAAGACCAAGTGTCAAACGAAAAGGTCTTTTCTTCTTAATATCAAGAAAATATTTTTTGGATATTCATAAATTATTAAATATTTAGATATCACTTAACAATATTTATAAATATTACAGACAATAAAATATCTCAGATTTCTATCTACCCTTCAAACTCTGCTTTTACAAATATTTCTGCGAAATGTGAAATATACTTTTCTTAATACTCTGTATCAACTAACCGTGCATCCTTGATGCAAATATATACCGAATACTCATTTACTGTTTAATATACAACACACACACATATGGCAATGTGTGACTCACACCATCACATAGACGAGGAATTATCGAGAAAATACGAGAGGATGGAAAAGTAACGAGTACAGAGAAGAACACGTTTCGTGTCATCACAGGCGTTGCTTTGTGTAGATCAAAGAGGCCGAGAGGAAGAAACGTATGAAATAGATGGAGGAGAAATTATTAACTTCAAAACGAATGAAGCACAACCACGATAAGAATCGATTTAATTATATCAATGGAGTAATGTTAATTACGACTACGAATCTCGTTGAAAAAAGAAACAAAAAGCTATAGAAAGAGAAACAAGGAAATGTTTAAATAATTCAATTTAGAGTCAACGGAGCTGAAGAACACCGACAAGAAATTTTAAAAATTAATCTAATTCAATTATTTCTAAAGATTTCTCTGGCTATTTATTTCTCTGAAAGAATCACGACGAATCGACAATTATTAAACGAAACAAAAAACGAATTTATATTTAAAGAATTACTCTTGGTATGATAAACTAAGAGTCACCTAGTTTGAAAACTTAAATTAACCTTCACAGAACACGCATCACAACGAAACTCGAGTCTACGTCCAATATTAACAGCTAACTGCGAAACTTTGTATGCGACTAACAGGAAATTGCCAACAACAATTTCGATCTTAAATCGATAATCAATCAACGCGTAGCCCGTGTGTCACACAGTCTCTGCTAAATTTATTTATTTTCGAAAGAGGAAAATGTACTCGAGGACTACGAGTACTCCAGCTTCAACAGACAAAACCGATTCGACGTATTCGAGACAGCTGATGCCGGAATTCAGGATCAAATTCAAAAAATCGATCGTTCCAGGAAGAGACAGAGCGATATATACCTCTAAGAGAGAAAAAGTGGTAGAGGGTGGGAGGTTTTGCATGCAACGACACAACGAAAGCGAATACCGAATCGGACGAATAGAATTTGACGAATGGGGTGCCGATTGTTCACCTCGCCTGGACTCAACGTCGATGGTGACGCACTCGGCTGGCCGAGTGTCGAACTGCATGAAGATGGTGGTGAAGGCGGGGTCGATGACGAAGGGGACCAAGAAGAGGAAGGCAAAGAGGCTGAAGGTGCTGAGGAGGATGAAGAACGCTGTTGTGTAGAACAGCAGCTTCTGCAGGAACGTCTGCTTCTCCTTTTCCTCCGCCATCTCGGAGAACAAACGGCAGTGCTCGTTTCAGGGATGCACCTAGTTGACGTCGTCGTCGTCGTCGTCGTCCTCGGCGTGCTCGCTGCCCGTCGTCACGTTCGACGTCGATGAGGCGAAACGATCTGCGGATTTGTCTCCGGTTTCACACTTTTCTCTCTGTATCGCATTTCGAGAGATCGAGCTTCTTCTCTGGCCGCTTATAGATTTAGAGCCGAGCTTGTTGTTTCGAGCAAACAACCTCGAGGGTTCTTGTGGTCGACTGAATTACTATTTTTCGTCAGAGGGGGAGTTACTTCGAGCCTTCTCCACTACGACTACTTCCGAGTTCTAACCTCTTTCGCTGGAATGACGTGCCACGCACGTCGAGAACTTTTTGTCCCAAATTGCAACATTTTTCCAGTTTCAGGCATATTTAAATGTAACCCAGGCAAAACAAATAATAAATTTATTACTTCTCAATTTCATCTGGTAATATCATACCGACGAGTTCAAAAAGAAAGCGGCGAATTATTGTATACGGTTCGGTCACTCGTTATGGTCCGCAATCAGTTGCCAATTGGTTAACCTCTTGCGCTGGAATGACGTGTCACGCACGTCGAGAATCTTTTGTCCCAAAATTGCAATATTTTCTCAGTTTCAAGTATATTTAAGTATAATCCAGGCAAAACAAATAGTAAATTTATTACTTCACAATAATTTCTATCCAGTGATATCATACCAACGAGTTCGAAAGAAAAAGAAAACGACAAATTACTGTTTACGGTCATTCGTTATGGTCCGCGAACCAGTTGCCAGCGCAAGGAGATAACGTCTGAGTGAGATGATATTTCTAACCTTTTTCCTAGTCGTAATTAGCTGAAGATTATTATAGAATTTTAATGGTTTAACGAACGATAATTCAAACTCATTTCGTTTCAAACTTTTGAATTCTAGTGGATCCGTTAACTACTTTTGAATAATAGACGTCGAGACATGAAAGCAAAGTGTCGTAAGAGGCCTCCCGAAGGCGTCGTCTAAGTTTCTTCTTCGAGGATTCTAAAGTAATGTCTGCTGTAACTTCGCGCTTTTTACAAGTTTGTTTCTGTGACCCGTGTCACCGGTGTCGATGTGCCGTTTAAGAAAAATTTGGATTCGATAAATCACAGATCTCGTAAAACTTTGTTCATTTATATATTTCAAAGTATAATGTTGTCCATAGCTGCATTAAAAAAAGAAAAGTAGAACAACGATAAGAAATTTTAAGATTGTTAAAGTTGTTATCATTAATCATTGACAAGATTCCAAGATTCGCGTAGAATTAACACATTAAGGATAGACAAGTTAATTTCTAAAGCAACGGAAGATACATTTAACAATGTTTTTGCGTCTAATCGTGATAAACGTTTTGAGAAACGACGTAACAAAGGGCAACCAAACGTAAGCACAGATCGAAATGAACTTTCTCGAGCGACAGAGACCTTTGTTATCCTGCAAATAAGGCGGAACTTCAGCTATTCGGATCTCCAACTATCGTTCGCCCACCTATCCATTTATACAAAATTGGTATATGCCAATTTCGCAAACGTTAGACGCAAGAAATTACCATAACAACGAAGCAGCGATGCGATGCGCTACGAGCTACGAGCCTCCCATTTCCATCTGCCTGTAATAGAGCCGGCGAATAATTCTATTTTGGATCCCGTCACGCTCGAAACTTTTACGGTATTCCATCTATCAGGCGTTGCATCGTCTTTTTCGAGAAGTTTGCCAGCGCGACGACAAAGTTCAACCACTCTTTCACCGACTGGATTACAACGAGAAAACTATGAGAGAGAGAGAGAGAGAGAGACAGAGAGAGAGAGAGAGAGAGAGAAAATATAAACTCCTCGCTTCGATTGTACGAACTTTTTGCTTTCGCCAACATGTGGAAATAAATAAGCGGATTGTACTGTTTGATTCAAAGCTAAGAAAGTATTGTATCGCGGAGAGTGGGATATTTTATTCGCAATATGATTTCCGAGAGAGAGAGAGAGAGAGAGAGAGAGAGAATCTTTTCGAGAATCAAGAATTTAGATTGTTGAGCGTGTGTCGTCATTTATGTTGCAACCTTATTTGTGCAATATATAATGATGTAACATCATATAATTGCACAATCGTTATTTATGTGGCAATGTCGTAATGTATAATCATGTATAATAATCATTGTTATAACGTTGTAATGTTAAAATACGTGATATATTACGCGTAATGTCACAGCATTGTTTCAGTATAACGATGTATCATGAACTTGTAATGTCACTAATAATGTCACTAAGGCAAGCTCTCTCTCAGTGAAATCCCGTTTCAATCAATTTGCCAAGTCGAATTATTTAAATTTTACTTCAAGAGGACGAAACGTCACTGGAGGCAGCATTTAATGAAATTTAATGAAATACTGCTTCTACTAGAAGAATATATCCCTAACAACCCTATCTTTAATCCAAAAAATGATTCGACAAATAATCGAGTCGTTCGACTCGACAATCAACTTCCGCTTTGTGGAAGAAAAAGTGGCCTGCGTGATCTGCAATTTTCTAACCTGCTTCGAACTTTCCCCGCAACGAGAAAGAAACCTTCGTGTCGTGTCTCGCGCTTCCGGAGATCGAGAGACATTGGCTGCCGTTCATTGGATTCCGAGAGATTCGCGTAACAGCAAACTTCCGGTGGCGGGCGTAGCCTGCCCTTAATGCCCTTCGACGAACGTTCCATATCGCGCAAACTCGTCTTAACTTCTTGCGCTGGCAACTGGTTCGCGGACCATAACGAGTGACCGAACCGTACACAATAATTCGATGATTAAGAAGTAATAAACTTATCATTTGTTTTGCCGGGGTTACATTTAAATATACTTAAAACGGAGAAAATGTTGCCAAATTTCGGGCAAAAAATTCTCGACATGCGTGATATGTCATTCCAGCGCAAGTTAACCACTTGCACTGGCAACTGATTGCGGACCATAACGAGTGACCGTATACAGTAATTTGTCGCTTTCTTTTTCTTTCGAACTCGTCGGTATGATATCACTGGATAGAAATTATTGTGAAGTAATAAATTTACTATTTGTTTTGCCTGGGTTATACCTAAATGTATTTAAAACTGAGAAAATATCGCAATTTTGGGACAAAAGATTAACACGTCATTCCAGCGCAAGAGGTTAACCAATTGGCAACTGATTGCGGACCATAACGAGTGACCGAACCGTATACAATAATTCGCCGCTTTCTTTTCGAACTCGTCGGTATGATATTACCAGATGAAATTGAGAAGTAATGAATTTATTTGTTTTGCCTGGGTTACATTTAAATATACTTAAATTCCAGCGCAAGAGGATGAATAAATCCGGCGAACATCATCAAACACACGATCTGTGTCGTACATTCTCCTCCTGACTCTCTCTTTCTCCGCGTCTGCCTCCGCGGATAGACTCGTAAACGGAACTTCAACTGCACCCGTCTGCTTCCGCGCACTTTAGGCCGCAAACTACGGATTTGTTTTATTGGATTGCCCTGATTTACGGAGCGCCGGCTTTACGGAGATAAAACTTAGCGGCGAGCCTCGCATCGCGTTGCTTCTGTCTCTCGTCTGCTTTGCTCGCGGTTGAATAGACCGCCAGCATTATCTCTGCCGGCACTTGCAGACGGTCCTCGTTCGAGAAACTCGCGATACATCGAACGCATGGCGCGAGCAAGTTCCAGGGTCTCGTTTCACGAAGTTATGTAATTGTCTTGAACTCTAGCGTGGATTAATCGGGCAATTGCCGAGAGGGACGAAAGTTTTTACTCGTGAGTTTTTTTGTTTCGTCACACGACACATATGAACGAAATATAATTTCTGAAATTACTGAATTTGCACGTGAAGAAACGAGACCTTCTAAAAATTCGAGACGCTTCGTCGAGATGTTTCGTCACTTGCACGCCGTTTAATTAATTTCTGAGCTCTGTTCCGTCGTTGCGTTGAAATTACAAGTAAGAGAGGAACGTAGGAGAATTTTAGGTCGCCACGATACTGTTGGTAATCGCTTTTTCGGGCCACGATGCAAAGAAACTAGATTTCACGGCCACAAAGTGCTCTGTGTTCCTTTATTGACTCGACGTGCCTCGTACCGGCGAGTTACGTCAGAGAGAGAGAGAGAGAAAGAGAGAGAGAGAAAGAGAGAGCTCAAAGGAGAATTTTATGCGAGATCATCCTCACCGGGTGTCCTTTGTCGTTTTACATTTTTGCCCACTTTTATACCGCCCTCCTACAGAGGGGAAAGAGAATCTTTGCCTATATTTAGATCTCCTACAACTTTTTGCCTTTCAACCGCAACGCTTATTACCGCGAACGCGTCGTTATTTCAACGTTCCCTTGACACTGAAACTTGTCAAGTACCGCAAATTTAGAAGCATCTCCGCTGAATACGATTTAAACGATAAAAGAAGCATTCACGCGCGAGCGAAGCCCTCCCATTCATCGAGCTCTTTTCATCGAGCCGAAACGTACGCGAGCACTCTGGCTCTACTTTGTTTCAGATTTCTAATTCGATTTTAATTTTTTCACCCCGAAACATGTGCAGGTGAAAACGAATTAACCCATTTGCATCCGTAAGCGGAATATTCCGCACATGGCGATCGACATCTATCACCAAGCGCGGACTATTCCGCGATCGGCGATCTTCATTTATATGTCAGTCGAATGCCGTTGATATCTCAACGTAGCAGCATAGGTAGAGTCGTGATGCAAATGGGTTGAGGAACTTCTCCTGTTTCGTTAAGTATCAGTACACATTCACTCATTCCGGATTCGTCGAGCTGGAATAAAGTGCCACGCACGTCGAGAATATTTCGTCCCAAAATTGCAACATTTTCTCAGTTTTAAGTAACTATTTAAATGTAACCCAGTTACAAAATAAATGATAAGTTCATTACCTCGTAATCATTTCTATCCAGTGACGTCGTACCAACGAGTTCAAAAGAAAAAGAAAAGCGACGAGTTATTGTACACGGTTCGGACACTCGTTACGGTCCGCAATCAGTTTGCCAGCGTAAGGGGTTAAAGAGAAACTGTTCTAGCCTCTGTTTTGCGAGTGGATCGTTTCAGTTGTTACGAATTTCGAAATCCGTGGCAGACGGCGCAGATTACGAACGACTCGAGCTGGTTCTACGCTCCCTACGAATGATCAAATTGTTGCTCCAACTGCTTCGCGACAAAGGCGAGACTGAGAGTCGAGAGGCAGGGGAGAAACAGAGGTACTCGACGTAAATCAACATGCTCCGCATTAAGTGTCCACGTTGATTACGAAGCGCGACCATGTTCGTACGAAAGGGGAAGTATCCGATCTGCGAAGGAGCTGCGTCGGTGGTTGCAAATGGAAGCAGCCAGCCTGCCTCGTTAACCAGCAATTAGAATATGCTCGGGCGTGCTTTCAAATTTGCGAGTTCGCCTCCCGCATCAGCATGACTCCCTTATCCCTCCGCCTCTTGGTCCGCCCCTTTCTCAATGAAACATCTCGAGGATCTTTTCAACGACGAGAAAAGGAAGAGAAAAACGTAACTGAAGGTTTACCAGAGGTTCGACTCGCCTGATTTCCACGAGAAATACATACATATCGGATTCGTACATTTTCCTACGAGTCAAAAGAGTTTCGCGACGTTTTCTTTTTTCTTTTTCTTTTTTTTTTTCTTCGTCTTTCTCAGTCGACCATACAAGGTTCACCCTTTTCACGTGCTACCAACAATCTTCACTTTGCAAATTCGAAGCAGCGAGAATCCATTCGATGGGTTCTACCGTTCGAAACTGGGCCAACCAGTTTGGCCTCTCGAAAAGAAATCCGGTCTCGGACCGGAAAGTTTTCGTTGCGAAAGCTTCTGTCGCTCGTCCGATAGTCAATGAGGCGGTACGACATTTTACGAATTATCGTTACAAAGAGACGTAAGTAGATACGATCCTGCGATACAGCGGTAACTTGGTGTGAACCGCGACCACCACCCCCTGACCCACTGTCTGTCCGCGAAGAAGCACCAAAAGGCGTGTGCGTGAAAAAGCTCGCAAGACTGAGAAGAAGCTCGATCGTTTCCCGCGGCGAAAGGAAGGGTGAACGGTTAAAGTACCCCCTATGAAGAAAAAGAGAAATCGTCGGGGCTCTGCGCCCTCTTCCTGTGCCCCCGCATCCTGTCCCACCTTCTCCTCTTCCCGCGTTCCTCGCTCGCTCGCCTTTCCCTCCCTCCTCGTCGCTCTTCGTCGCCTACTTCGCCGCACTATGTCACACTGTCCACCCCCGTGCACATTTGTCGCGCGATCTTGCGAACCACCGCGCCTCGATCGAACCGAGATGATTCCGCCTGATTCCGCTGAAGCACAATCCTCTCGGGACCGGACGAGAACCAGAAAGACAGAGAGAGAGAGAGAGAGAGAGAGAGAGAGAGAGAGAGAGAGAGAGAGACAGACAGACAGAGACAGAGAGAGACAGAGAGAGAGAGAGAAAGAGAGAGAGTAGGACAGCTCTGGCGAGTAACTTTCAGTCCACTGATCGTGGCTGCCACCTCATGATCGTCGTTCTTTTATCTCTCCTTTCCCTTCTTATCCCCCCTGGTGGTTTCCTCTCTTCCTCCTCTTCTCTCGGTTTCTTCTCTCGTCGCACGAGTTGAACGAGATCTCCGATGGCCGACGATCACCAATTGTTCCGTCGATCGTCGCGTATCTCTCTCTATGTCAATCTTCGACTGCCATTCGAGCTTCCATCGGCCAGCTTCACACGACACGGTGTACAATAATATATGTGTATGTATATGTATATATATATGTATGTATGTATGTATGTATGTATATAACCGCGGGAAATTTTCGTCCTGGCCGCGGCGCCGACGGATGCCGGGCTACTGCAGTCGGTGGAGCTTTTGGGCGAGCTTATTTTCCAGTGACGCCAGCGCCACAGTGGCATCTGGTGGCATCGACCGCCGCCGACGCCGCCAACCGACGCTCTACGCCGACATCGTCGACACCAGGGCGTCCCCTGACTGAGCTTCGCCTCACCTGCTCCTTTTCTTGCCCAATCTCGCGCCACCATTATCCTTTCGTCCCTCTTACATTCCTTTTCTCACACTTCTTCCTTCGCGTCTACATCTAGATTTTCACCTCCTTCCCTTGGCTCTCTCATCGTCGGCTCGTGTTGATTTCATAGCGTTGAAATCGTGAATTGTTACGTAAATTCGTATTCGCACGATTGGAAGATTTATTTTGTCTGGTAAGTGTCACGAGATTGGTATCCATACTTCGGTTATTTTGTGTTTCGTACACCGATCAGTTTCAAACGAAACTTCGTGAAATGGTCGTTAATTTTTTTTTACAAACAACGAATTTGCATATATTTCCGTAAATCTGTAGGATAGATGCAATGAAAAAGAAAATTTTTAATTTGCACAATTTGCGAAATCAGCAAGAGAAAACAAAAAAATCGGCAAAAATATACAAGCAATAAGTATTCGTACAGTTTCTGCTAAATTGTTAGAAATTTAGGAGAAGAAACATAATTTAAATGAATTTGACAATAAAAAAAACTAATGTACACAGTTAATTATGTAGCATAAAAGCAAAATTTCTGCGATATAGTACAGTATAAACATATAGCGTGAAAGCAAAATTTCTGCAATAAGTATAAAAAATCTGCAGTCGAGTTATAGTTGGATCGTACGTGAAATTTACATCAACAATTCACGAAGCGTCAGTCGTCAATAGTAAATATCGAGCCAGAGAACGATACAAAGACGTATGTATGTACGTACATAGTTTCTTGGTTTAATATCAATTTGGCAGAGAATAAATCTTTCGATTGAATTGCATCGAATATTCGAATACTTGTACTGCAGTGATACTTCACAATATCGAAATTCCTCTTTCTTTTTTTTTCGAGCCAGAAAAAGATGAAGGGAAACAGACGAAGGTTCGATTGAATCGTCGATCGAACAATGCTGTTCGAGGGGAGAAGAGCCGTGATGAGATTCTAGTCGAAGCTAGGAAGACGTATTTTTCGTGACTCTCGACCGGAAACACTCCAACGAAACTGGTTTACCAAGTTTCGCGAAAGCAGCTAAGGATGATTTAGCGCCAATCCTCTGCGGTTCTGCTCGCGAGCATTCAGAATGATACATTTCGCGACACGTCGGGCATCTATTCTCGTAGCGAAACGCTCGTTTCTTTCCGACCAACTTAGAGAAAGTCGGCAGAAACAGGCTTGTGGAATTTCGACTGTTATCGTTTTGGAAACGGTAGGTTGCTTTGCAACAAGATTCTCCAACAAGGCTGGAAATTGGCCAGGGAATTTTAATAGACGTCTGACATTTAAGGCCGAGCATTACACCGCGATTATCGATAGCTGGGCATCGATGCCTTCTAAATTATGTAATACCACTGCAGAGAGATAGATGGAACTTACGCGCTGATAGAAATTCACGAAATTAAGCACAGCTGAACGATTTGTTTAGCCGAGAGAAAGATTAAAGACAACAAATAATCATAAAAGAGACAGGTGTTATTTGTTAATGTTGCTTGATTTTAAATTTGCTAAATTTTATGCATTTATTCAGCTTAAAGCTGAATTTCAATTTTGCAAATTTTACTGTAAAACATACACCTGGAGAAATTCATTTCGAACAACCAAATTATAAACCAACGTTAAATTAAATTAAATGAAGAACTAACTCGTTTGTGGAAATCAATTTTCTGAACGAGGGGAGAGATATCGAAGATCACGAAGGATGGAAAGATATGGCAATGAAACGAACATCAACGGAAAAGAATGGAAAGAAGACGAGACAAAGTAAAGAGAGATGTTTTATATATCATCTCTCGATGATATGATTCGGTAACGAGGCGAGAGAAGTTTTTATCCCCGGATTGAGATGAAACTGGAAACGGAGGGATGGTTCATCGTGCATGCACCCTCCAGGGTTTCCCTAATGACCCAATGCTGATGCAGCCGCGGAGCCTCGGGACAGAAACCAATAAGAACCGGTCTAGCCGGAGTTTGGAACAGTTGTAAATCGTTGTAACGAGGTTAGCCTCGTGCAGCGATGTTCGAGACGAGCCTGAGAAATTAGTTTGTCCGGCACGGGTAAATCGATCCCCCGCGCCACGAGTAGCGTTTCATTTATGAAGGCTGGCTACTAGCTGTACCATTAATTTGATTGCCTGATATCTGGTGGTTACGGCGAACCTCGGAAGATTCGGCTGATTCGAAAACTGGATCTGAACTGTGAGATGACTTTGAGATCAAAATTCACAAAAGAAACATTTCATTTCATTTCTAATGCCGAAGTTTCAAAATATGATAGTTGAAGTATCGATAATATTTTCAGGACGAATTTAAGTGGATATTTAATGAAAAATTAAAAATTTAAATGAATTGTGTGAGTTTATTATCGTTCTATTTTTCTTACTGGATTGCTTCATCTCTTATTTCCATTTAATAAAACACATTTTCATGGGTTCCGTCTCTCGCTCTCTCACACACGCAGTCGTAAAAATACAGCAGACAAATTTTCGTTATTGGTATTTTTTGGACAGCATTATATCTACAAATTGAGCGATGTAATATTTTGTGATGAAAAAGTTTCTTTCAGATTATATAGATATGATATATAGCGGATTATGGTATAAAAATTTGGTAAAAAATTGAAATATCCCCGTGTAACGTTAACTGATCTTGATAAAAATACAATTCAAACATTTCGTTTCAACATTTTGCAACGTCCAAGTTGGAAAAAGAAGAATAATTATCTTATTCGTTTCATCGGTTTCCTCTTCCAAATTTCACGTCATAAGAAAATACATTTCAATTTGTCTCTTTGCTGGCAGATTAAAATATCGATGCTTGATTATTACACTAGTCTTGATCACTTTCTAAAAGCTAAAGTAAAATCGCGCAATGTAATACAAATTTTCCATGGATTGCCAATTTTCTTTTCGTGTTTCGACCTAAAGAACTACTTCGCGCTGTGTCGTAACGTGCGGATCGTATCGAACCAGCAAATACGTTCTAATCTCCGTTTCCGTCTACCGATGAACAGCTCGTTGGTTATCGCGCTTGCTTATTCTAGCTACTGTCAGTCAACGCCGCGCTGGTTAAATAGTGAAAACGCCATTAAGAGAGATGACACCATCTCCAGGTCGCTATGATTATCACGATTCACGACGTCTGCGTTCCGTCGCTTCTACGTTTCCCGGCGTTTGAAACGTGAGACTAGAATGAAACTGGGACGAGACTGTTGGGAGGTTTTCACCAAACGTCTACCTCCATCGTTGCCACAATTTATGAAAGCGAATTTTTTCACGTCGTAACACAGCGACGAAAATTCTGCTCTCTTTCACGATAGTGCTTCGTCTTAATTATTGCAGCGACATATTGAGTTTTGAGACCAGGAAATCGGACGTTGTTGCGTTTTACGTATTCTACGATTAACGAAGAATTAATGTTCGACTACGAAGAAGTAAATTATTTACTTTTGTAAGCTTCTTTGTGGCAAAAATGTTTCAAAGACGTTAATAAACATCAACTTTTCTACGTTTGAAGTTGTGGAACTGATGCTGTCTTTGAAAGATTCGTAATTTACTTATAATATTTAAGAAACACATAATGTTTATAACATCACTTGTAATATATATGTATAATATGTATATGTAATAATGAAATACCTCTCATGTCGTATTTTTTTACTTGTGTTCACAAAACCATTGAAACGATAGAAAAAAATATGAAAAATAGAGCATAAAAAATAGATTTTAGCTACTTTACGTTTTTTCCCCAAAATAAACCCAGTTAGAAACGTATATTATGCTTATCAAACGAGCCAAACCTAACTATCCCAAATATCACAAAAAATCATCAATGATTTCCGGCGAAATAAATATTCGCAATACTGTCACATACGATCAAACCAATCCAAACTACGATCATCTGTACACGACAAAATTATAGTTATCACTATATTCAATAACTATCAAAAGTCTAACTATCTGAAATATCACGGAATTTTAGCAACGATATCCGACGAAATATTCGCAACACTGTCACGTACAATCAAACCAACTCAAACCTCGATCATCTTTATACACCAAAATTGAAGTTATCATTATTATCAATAACTATCAAAAGTCTAACTACCTGAAACATCACGGAATTTTAGCAACTATTTCCTATGAAATATTCGCAACACTGTCACGTACAATCAAACCAACCCAAACCTCGTTCATCGTTACAAGACAAAATTGAAGTTATCATTATTATCAATAATTATCGAAATTCTAACTATCTCAAATATCATGGAATTCATCAATGATTTCCGACGAAATATTCGCAACACTGTCACGCACGATTAAACCAACTCAAACTTCGATCAACGTTACACGACAAAATTGAATTTATCAGTAATTATCGGAGTTTTTTGACGGAACATCATGGTAAGCAATTGGAGCAGCTTGTTCTGGCATTGCTCGGTGATAATTCCTCGTTCGAAGAAGAGCCTCCCCGCACTCATCGTTCGTTAGCACTCGAATATCAAGTACCTGAGCGTTTAGCCTCTAACAACAGACCATACAGAGAGAGATCGATCAAAACAAGCCCACAGGACGTTGCACTTTGAACAATGTCGTAACGAACCTTCTCATTCCCCGGTGAACCGCTCCGCCTCGTCGTATTGAAAGTGAAGTGCGCTCTAAGCACACTCGAACCAGCTAGGTTTGTTTCTTTATTGATACAGACTGCACGACCGGATACTCTTGCTCTCTCAATGATTTGGAATATCGTTACAGCGACACACTTTTCACTCCCTTTTTCCCCTTTTTTCCTTTTTTTTTTTTTTTTTTTTTTTTTTTTTTTTTTTTTTTTTTTCTTTTCTCAACAACGTATTAAGCCACGGGGTTCGATTTTTCTCGACGTTTCGCATCTTCCTCCCTCTCTCTTTTCGTCCTGTTCGTTATCGATTTCCTCGATTCCATTCCTGCGATTTCTGATTGTTATTTATTTGTAATGGGAACCGTCGCGAAATGAAATTCTCGGAACGCCTTCCAGGGAATACGAAACTCGCAACTTCGTGTTTCCTACTTTCCCGTTTGATATACCGTCTCTGGAGTGTTTCAGGACATAGCATTCTCTCCAGCTTTGAATAATCGAATGTTCGTTCGACTGGAACGAACGAGATGTACATTGGATTAAATTTTTGCAAGTTCGTACTGCTTCTGAACACGACTGATATTATAATTCGGTACGGAGACTTCGTTAGACACGTTTCACTGTAGAGCAAGTGAAAAGATACTCTCGCATAACACGTGTTTTATAACAAAACATTCGCAAAAGTTTATAACTCCTGCAGCTTCCAAATTTGAACGATTCGTACCTTCTTACAAGTTCCAAATTCAAAATTACAATACGAGTTCAATAGGAATGCCAATTAATTAATTATTTCAGCACACATTCGTCATTAAGGATTTTAAAATAAAATTGGCAAGATACGATTCACTCGTACGTGCTAATAATATATAAATAAAATATTTTTTATATATTAAAATATAGATAAAATAATTTTTATATGTTAAAATATAAATAAAATAATTTTTATATATTAAAATATAGATAAAATAATTTTTATATGTTAATATATAAGTAAAATAATTTTTATGTGTTAAAATATAAATAAAACAATTTTTATATATTAAAATATAAATAAAATAATTAAAATAATTATATATAGAAAAATAATTTTTAAAACCCAGTCCAAAGATTAAAATTGATAGGTGTGCATGAATTTGGTAGTCTATTAATTTCAATCGACAATATCCAGTTAAGAAACTTACCAGGATCGTGTCAAGTAATTCCGTTTCGTCTCGACGAATGAATCGTTTCCGACTAAACTGGGCTAACGAGATGTACCTTCGCCTTCGGCTGTTTATCCTTTCCCTTCAGCATCGTTCGAGTACGATATTTATTTAGAGAGGATGCGATTCGTCGCATCCTCCTTTGCTCGCTGTCCCGTTAAATCGTTATCAGCGAGTTTCGTTTCCGACGCGGAACAGGGATTGGTATTTACTCGCGAGCTTGCGAAGAATTCTAGTTAACTAAGGCTGCAAAATAATCTACCACCGGGAGTATTGTTTCGGAGGATCAGTGCCAGGTGTGACGCCACTTTCGTTCAATTGTGCTCGCGAACTGGATGCGATAAGTAAACAGCGCGTTGTTCTTGCTGCCGACTGTTCAACGTTTGCGCAAACTGACAGAAACGGGATTATTAGGAAACACCGCGCTGCTCCGTGGCCATCTGGCGCAAACGTGTTTACGCGTGTGTAGTTTTACGATCCTCGTAATTTTACCAAGTATATTTCGCGATAGCAAAATGGTTTCGCGCTTGGTTTGTTTGGGTTCCTTTACAGCTAATTAATATGGTGTGTTAAAGCTGCTGGAATTTTTTCTTTAGTGGATATGTCACATAATAAATTGGATAAGTTAGTGTAATTCAATCTCTGTTGAAGAGATCTGCCTGGGAATAAAATCTCGTTAATATCGCGACGAGAACCGATTTATGATGACTATGATGTGTGAAACTCCGGCTTCAGTAGTACGAGAGAAGCATGGTCAGCCGAGAGAGTCTCGTAAGTAGAACGTGTTTACAGACTGGGCGTGCAGGTTTCGAGTGTTCGTCACTCTTACGGTATACGATATTTTAAGCAAATACTTTATAATCACACCACTAGGTTTAAATATTATTTTAACAAATGATAGTAATAACCTACGGAGTAACATTTTGACAATCGAGAAATGTTCATATTCAGAAAATATCAATGGAGATAATATCGAAAGTACGTGACTTATAGTAAATTCTTTTGTTTCAACTGTAATCATAGTACAACATCAAGTTCAAAGATATTTCACATGATGTCTAACATTAATCCTTTGAAACATAGGTTGTGTGTAATCATTTTGCTCGTATTTATTCACTTAATTGCACAACCTCGTAATTTGAAGAAAATAACTAGCTTTATGTAACAGAAAGAAAATAAAATTGTTTCTTGAAAAGAATTCCAATTTTTTTTTTGTGAAATAAATCCCACCAGGCAGGAGGCGTGTGTAATTTACGTCACACGTTAAATGTATCATCAACAAGAAAATACCATGAACATTGCTGTAACCTGGTCTCACATTAAACTCGTGAAACCAGTGTTCACGATGTTAATAACGTTCTTTTTCCTCTGACAAACGTGAAAGGGGCGATCAATCGTCTATATTAGCTTGGCCAACAGAATTGGCCTCTATTTCGCTCCTTTCATCTCTCCCTTTCCACATACCTCTTGCTCTTTGGCAGAAGAAATATCTACCGCGGTTTTCGGCGCCCGATGGACGAATGGACGCGGCGAAGGAATTCGTTAAGGAAGAATTTTTATCACGAGACACTCAGAGGTCACATCTCGTCGGTCGATTCTATCCAAGAAAATTTCAGGGAACGACCTTCTGTTTAATTATTAAGTCGAAGGAGAAAGAGGCCTGGTTGAAAAAGTAACAACTTTTAACTAGCTTTTAAAGTTCTTTAAGCCGGCTAGTTGAAATTTATACGCGTAATCCTCGCTGCCCTCGAGCACGTCCGCTCGCAAATAAACGTTAAGAGATCGTTTAAAGTTGCAAAAGTTCGCATGCTTCGAGAAGAGGTATCGAGTGATCGCTGTTTAGCGTTATAATAGATTACGGTCGACGTTTGCCATTTTTTTTCTATGGACTCTCATATTTTACGAGATAGCTAATCTGGAAATAGGAACGACTACGTTGAAAAATGTCAATCAGTCTGTGGAATGAAGAAAAAGGAATTAAATTATCCTTTGAATCAAAGAAAATATTTAAAAACCCACTAAGAATTAGGCATAACTTTGACAATTATGACGTTTGCCATTTTTTCTATGGACTCTCATATTTTACGAGATAGCTAATCTGGAAATAGGAACAACTACGTTGAAAAATGTCAATCAGTCTGTGGAATGAAGAAAAAGGAATTAAATTATCCTTTGAATCAAAGAAAATATTTAAAAACCCACTAAGAATTAGGCATAACTTTGACAATTATGACGTTTGCCATTTTTTCTATGGACTCTCATATTTTACGAGATAGCTAATCTGGAAATAGGAACGACTACGTTGAAAAATGTCAATCCGTCCGTGGAATGAAGAAAAAGGAATGAAATATTCCTTTGAATCAAAGCAAACATTTAAAAACCCACCAAGAATTAGGGATGGCTTTGACAATTACAAAAAATGTGGAACAAAAGGAAAAAAAAGGAGAGAATTAAAAATTCTCGTACTTCTCAAAGAAAACTAAAACTTGGAGATCAAAGAGCACTAAAAATCAGAGAAGATTAAAGAGAACTAAAAATTAGAGGTGACTCTGACAATTATGAAAAATGCTCTCTATTTTGGCCGTGTTTCGAAATCGAAGGACGCGCTCTGGGAGGAATTCCTACGGCCAAAGATTTCACAGCGAAAAACAAACGGAAACATCAGCGAACATCGGCGAGAAAGTTGGACGTGGCGGAAGCGTCGAGCGCTGGACAGCTGCTTAGAGAACGCGGTAATATAATACTGACCGAAATTCCGCGCGCGGCTCGCGACGAATCACGTGGGTGGAAGTCAACAAGCCTTGTAGACAAGGATGTCAGGAATTTTGGTAATAATCCCCGACGAATTTCGAGTATTCGCCGGCGGCTACCATCTCCGGATGTGACGAATGGCTGCCACCGCTGCTCACTGTCTCGATCGATTCGAAACGAACCGTGCCCGTGATGAAACTTATCTCGTCGGGATCTTACTCGAGGTAAAGCGTTTTTTTGACTCCGAGAGAGAGAGAGAGAGAGAGAGAGAGATTGAACAACGATTCCGTGTTCCTCGGCGCGAAAGCCCGCGGCGCGCGACGAACGCAAAGGAGACGACAAAGGGGATGAATCGCCATTGTGTGAGACGTACATTGTTACCGCGGCTCGGCTATGACGGAAGTCACGGCAGACAGAGAAAAGATTGGCCTTAGCAATTTAACCGGTGTCGTTTCTGAGAGAGGGGCGATTTGTTCTTAGGGCGACGGTTCCCGCCGGGGGGAAATTGGCCGGGAGCCAATGAACCGAAATGTGGGCCAAACGTCTTTCTCGCATCCGTGCACGTTGTTCTACGGATATTCACTGATAATCTGCCGACCCAACCCTCGCGGAAATATCCGATGCAAATGACGCCTGTACATCTCCCACGTTAATTGTACATTCTGCTCCCGATCGATCCGCCATGCCCTTTTTCTCCTCCCCATTTCTCCGGACGTGCGGGCTCACAATCCGGCAGAATCTCGTCGTTTGAAAGAAACCAAGTGATCTTCTTTCGTACGGAACGGAGATGTTCCGTGTCGTCAAATGACAAAATAAATTGTCAAAAGAGACAAAACTTGTCGATAAAGAGGATCATTTGACGTTTGTGTCATCGCTTCCTTTTCAAGGAACTAAAATATTGAACGAAATAAGTATGATCCGATGTTTTATAGTATGGTATGGTATGTTTATATACTATAAACTATATATACTATACACTATAAACTATATACTATATATACTATAAACTATAAACTATATACTATATATACTATAAACTATAAACTATATACTATATATACTACAAACTATAAACTATATATACTATGGTATATTAGCATATTATAGTATATAGTATTTATAGATTAGATTAGATAATTTTATTTTTCGGCTTCACAGCCATGAAAGTGGACTTGGTTTACATTTCTCTCTTTTTTTTCATTCTCTTTGTTTCTCTCACTCTCGCTTTCCACTCTTCATATCTGTTATATACTCTACCTACCCCTATACTTTTGTGCTATACTTAAGTACAAGTATAGTATTTATAGTATATTATATATATCATAGTATTTATAGTATAATATATTATATATATTGTAGTATTCATAGTATATATTATATATATTATAGTATTTATAGTATAATATATATATTATAGTATATAGTATTTATTATATTATATAATATATTTAGTATACATATTATAGTATATAGTATATACTATATGTATAGTATATAATAATATGTCATTACTTCGAACAAACAGATGATTTTCTTAAAAAGAAGAAAGTAAGAAGACAAAGTTTTCGACAAGCGACGATCGTTTTTAACAGATACATATAACGCTGGGAACGTGTCACAAATGGGACATCCCTCCACAATACCTGCACTGTCCACTGAATTTATTGATAATCCTACGACTAACTGACAGTGTGTCAGATGCAAATGACGTTGCCGGGTCTTCGTCGTAGCTGGTCTTCCATTCGCTCGTGTCTGATAGCCATTCCGCCATCATTTCGTTCTTTCCGACATCTGGCAACTTTTTGAATTCCAACTTCTTCCCTTATTTCACTGCCGTTACGAGGGAAACTTTCTGCTACAATCCCCCGCTATTAATCCTTCCGGAGATTAAACTTTGAAAAATTCGAGCCATAGTTCCACGCTCTGATAAAATTCTTTTTCAAACGAGCTGTTTAAATTAATGTTGTTTAAAAAACTTTTTTTTTTTTCCTTTCGTTGAAACAACGGTGACGGAACGAAATCTCGCGGATCGTTCCGAGCGTGACGAATTCTCGGTGTACAGCAAGGATTCCGTATAACTGATTTCACGGAGAATCCGCATACATTACGCGATGCGTCAAATGCAAATGACCGCCGATGAATCTACGACGCTAAGCACGGTTTGGCCGCAATTAGAGGTGATCTCGCGAGGTGAAATCGCGAACGCAGTGTGACGAGTTGGGCGATTAAAAAGGTACAACGTGCTTTAACTCGAACGTGTACCTTGGACCTTTCCTCAATAACTTCGACCGTGACGAATATTCATAAGGGGCCAGACGAGCCAACTTTGTACAATTTATCATCGTTCCTGCATTCGGCGTTTTCTGTTTATTATTCCGTGCATTTCTAGAAGGTTGTCGCATCTAGAAGTCGATGAGAGGAAACGTTACTACGAGAAGATATATTTTTAAAGACATGACGTTTCATAAAATATAAATAAACGCCTGTTAAAACGTGTGTTGCATCTTAATCGACGATAGATCCGATTATATCGTTCGGTTGTAGATGACTGTAGAAATTTGTGTCAGATTACTAAAAAATTTGGGACACTTTAAAATTCTGTTCTGTACTTTATACTCTTCGTGATATGTAAGAAAAAATTCGATTAAATTAGATGATATCAAAACTTAAATTACTCCCAGATGGTCGCCATAGGATTGAAATTATATTCTTCATGATGTGAAAAATTCAATGAAATAAATCACCTCAAAACTAGCTAATTTAATCTCAAATTGGCCTTAAATGGTACCTAATGGTTTCCCAATGATACCGATTGAAAGTTGATATTTTTACACAATAAGATGCTATTGAGAACACGTTATATTTTCAGCGACGTGTAAAATAAAATTCAATTAAATAAATAATCTCAAATCTAACTAATTTAGTCTAATTGGCCCTAAATGGTACCCAATGGTTTCCCAATGATACCGATTGAAAGTTGATATTTTCACGCAATAAGATGCTATTGAGAACACGTTATATTTTCAGCGACGTAAAATAAAATTCAATTAAATGAATAATCTCAAATCTAACTAATTTAGTCAAATTGGCCCTAAATGGTACCCAATGGTTTCCCAATGATATCGATTGAAAGTTGATATTTTCACACAATAAGATGCTATTGAGAACACGTTATATTTTCAGCGACGTGTAAAATAAAATTCAATTAAATGAATAATCTCAAATCTAACTAATTTAGTCTAATTGGCCCTAAATGGTACCCAATGGTTTCCCAATGATACCGATTGAAAGTTGATATTTTCACGCAATAAGATGCTATTGAGAACATGTTATATTTTCAGCGACGTGTAAAATAAAATTCAATTAAATAAATAATCTCAAATCTAACTAATTTAATCTCAAATTATTCCCAAATGGCCCCCAATAGTTTCCCAATGATACTGCTTCAAAGTTCCAAGATGCTGTTAAGAGTAGTATCTTTTCAAAATCCAAAAGTGAATCATCTCAAACCTCAGTAAAGCGAAAAATCGCGACTGGCTTGTTTCACGCGCAAGAATGCGTGATCCAGCGCGGACCTTTCGACATTCACGGCCCTGGTCAACCGAGGGAAATTGTCCGACGATGTTATCAGAAACGGAATAATTCACGCCGAAATCAACTTGCGTCCGGCGACGATGAATAGATTTCATTAATCATAAAACGAAAACGCGTACACCCGGTTTCCCCCGATGATCCGATCGAGCAATTCAATGGTAATAATTGCTCTCTGTCAGTCGCGAGAGCTGGCGTTTTATGTTCCGGCAATTTCCAAAAGCACGCGATTATTGAAATGTTGGTTTCAGTAACGTTACTACAAATCATTATATTCTTGTGAAATTGTCCTCGGCTGTTCGCTAAGATATGATATACGTTCGCTGGAAATTTATCGTGCAATTAAATTATTTCGCATCTTACGAACTCCGAATACATGCGAGCAATACGCGCGTGAAATTTAATAGAAACTCGTCGAAACTTTCGTTCGATTTGCGAATAAAATTTTCGAGGAACTCGTCGTACGGTAATAGAAAAGACTAAAGCCACGTTCGTGATAAATTATCTTCGGCGAATCCAGAGAAATGCTTCCTGTACGCGTTTCCATTTTCACGGAAGTGTATCATATCCTTCTATTCTCGTACGTCGCTGTATAAAATTAAAGAAAATGATGCTGTTTCGATAAAATAACAACGCAAAAAGAATGAAGATTTGAAAAATGCACGCACGGTTTAAAAATTGAGTTTGAACGTGTATTAATAATATTAATATCTAATGAATTTTCATTAGAAACCCATCAAATCTCGAACGCTGTTAGCCATTGTACATTACAAAATACACTTTCTACTTCAAGTTCCTCCTTTCCAATCGATTTCCCAAGAAACTTATCTTCCAAATTGCGTCACTCTCCTGGTACATTCGAAAGTGGTTCTGGCACAGTGTCGAGCACGTACTCCTCTACTTTTTCTATCCTTTTTCCACTTCTTATCACGTATCGAATTCGAAAGCGAACACGGAAAATCGATGGGAAAACATCGAAACGAGGCAACTGCTGATTTTCAGACTCGCTTATCGGTTCGTTGCGTCGTTTCAACTTCAAATGTACGTGGGGGTGAGGAAGTTTTATTTTTTTGGAATTTCTTTCTGTGCGGGGGACCATTGTCGCCTGTTCTGGTCAGGTTTGGGACTGTATGTTGTTAGCTGCACGTTTCCAAGCATAAAATATAAGAGTACGATTGTGTGTGTATGCAAAGACGAAGATATTTTGAGGGTAAGACTTCATAGCGTGCAGATATAGCAAAAGCTTGACATCTTTTTCTCATCATCTTAATTTTTTAATGGACATTATTTTTACTTCCAACCACGTAAGTTCAAAATTTCTATGCTCTTTTTCACCCCTGCATGTATTTGTTACTTTATTACTTTCGAGGAAGAAGGATTGTCCGTGCATGTCTGTGCATCGTTTTCTCGGAAATATCGGTTCCCCGACGGTTTCAGGGACTGGACGCCAATTTCTTTGGCACGTGAGCCAACCGCTCTAATTTACTCATTGCAGGCAAGCGCAACTAGCCTTGCCAGTCGATTGCTATTCGCCACGCGGAGAAAGGAAAAGAAACAGAGAGACGAGTACATAGAAGTCGGTCGTTGCTCGTGTTTGCTATGGTAATTTCAGGTTGAACCGCGTTATCACAATTCCGTTATTTGCGCCTCTTCCAAGCTGGTATTTTTGCCCACGCGCACATCATTTCTGCGTTTGCTCACCGAAAATTCCGAAAAATCGTCTCGCGCGACGAAATGCGTCGCGAGTAACTCTGGAGAGTATACACGAGTAAATTTAATTGAGTTTTGTTGGAGAGATACGTATAGGAAGTTTCATTCCAGAGAATTTTCTATGAATTACGAGATTATAACACGCAATAATATGTCATCGTTAAAGAAAATAATTTGATAAATATTAAATAAAAGAATTAATTATTTAAATATATTAAAATTTATTGTTTTAATACATTTAAATATAATTTAAAATTAATTTATGTAGCATATTTATGTAACATAATTTATTTATGTAACATAAATTAATTTTTTCATTTCTGGAGAAAATTTATTGTCTTTAGAAGGACGAAATTTTTGAAACTGTACATTTTTTACACCAGGGCAACGGGAATATGTCTACGTAGAAATTTACACAACGGGATCAGTTACGTGTGAGAAAGTGAAGTTCGCTACTTTTGTCGAAGAAATCGGCCAAGAGCACGAGAAACGATGAAATACGATTCTTCGAACTGTGCGAGTCGCGTTTGTTGAGGAGAAGAAATTTCGAACAATCAGTATCGTCGAGGCAACCGGGAAATTAATTTCAAAGATTAATTCGATATCCTCGAATTTATACCACTAAGATGGATCGCAACAACGTGACAATTGGTAATGATATTAAACTTGGATGATTAAAAATAATCCGCGGATCAGTTCTCCAATTTATGTTTCGTTGCAGGCAGAAATGGCGTTGATTAATCGCCCGGCGGCTTCGCTCTTCGCCTCTTTTATTCTTTCGCATCCCTCTCAAGGCAGGCAAGAACGTCGCGGAAAGGGAGGCAATCATAAAAAGCTTTCATCGTACTTTCATTCATAACTGGTGGCGAACCAACAAACTATCAGCGACGAATTCCCCTTTTCTCCTTCGCTACTTTTTTCTGCTTTCTTTTTCTCCTACCGACGTCGAAAGGAACGAACGAGAGGAGAGATTAACGACGTCCGCAAACGTGCAAGATTAGGCAGGCAATGTTCCTCTTACGGAGAATCCACGATATTCTTCGATATTCTTCGACTTCTCGATTTAATATAACATAATATAATATAGTATTTAATATAATATATGTAATATTAAATCATTTAATAACATTTTAGTAATTTTTATATACTTAAACACAGAACAAGTTTTATTATTTTCTATTTTTTATTTCATCATTTATTTATTAATAAAATTAAATTTTAGAAAATTATATAATAATTTTAATTAGAAATTTTTAAATTATACATTTAAATTACGAGCATTAATTTATTCAATATTTCCATTATTATTTAGATCACTTTGAAATTATTTTTCGTTCGGAGGTTATTTCCTGCAGGAGCTGATCAAGCTTATTCAAGTATGAAGAGATGCAAGAAAATAGAGAAGTAAGATATGAAATATTGTCGAAAGTTTGAGAAAGAAAACGCTGTATTCCTCAATCACTCTCCTTTGCCAATTTTTCTGAAAGTCCTACAAAACTTCTTGCCTTCGTTTATCAAACTTTAGATGCTAATGAAGAAAATGGCGAAAAAACAGCGATGACTTCGATACAGATATCTCGTCGAAAGCGAAATTAGATCTGCTAGTATGTCTCAAACTGGCAGACATAAATTATTTCCAGAAACGTGATTTCTCTCGGCTGCAGCGAAATTTTCTGTGATTGATTTCGTCCGACAAGTCGAAGGAAGAGAGAGTAACCAGCGAGAAAAGGGTCCGTTACTCGAGTCGAGAAGGCGCACGATTAATTAAACCGACCGCGCGGTGACCGGGGCGAGTTAATTAATAAAAAAAGAGACGAACAAAAATAGCAATGTACTTCGTCGACGCGAAGTAATTTTCGTTATTGTTCCAACTTTCCGGTTGATTATTCCCGCCGTTGTCGCGCGGTGGCGCGAATTAAACCGGAGGAGGAAAGAGTGGCCGCAGAATCGAATTCGACGTCCGGACGGATCGATATCGCCGCGAATGCAGAGTTAACCGATAAAACTACCCTGACAACGGAATGCAGGCTAACTTCCGCCATTGTTGCAGAAAACTTTAATCAGGCCACCGGCAGACTAGAAAGAGAGAGAGAGAAAGAGAAAGAGCTGTGGTCTTCGTCCTTCAGTCGAAATTTCAAACGTTTCGTTTCGGACAATGGAGAGGATCGACCGATGGATCATCACGTCCTTCGCTTACCGATCTGCCGCCAATAGTAAGTGAACAACCGGGGCTCGAATCGGTTCGATTCGAAGTGAAAGAAACCGGCGTTTCGCCGGCGGGCGCCACGGATCACCGAGAATGGGCGGAGGGAGGGAAAAAAGGAGACGAAGGAAGAAGCGAGCAGAACACTGGTAAACCGAAGCGACAATAGGAACGGTAGCAGTCGGCGAGCCCCGTTAACGGGATCAGGAAATCTGATTTTCCGATTCCCATTCAGGCCACTTTTTCCCACCGTTGAATAGGACAGGCCACGAGCAGAGTGAGTGAGAGGAAGAGAGAGAAAGAAAGAGAAAGAGAGAGAGAGAGAAAGGAGGATATGGCCGAGCTACCATAACGAGGATAGACAAACAGGGGGCGATAGAAAAGAAAAAGTCAGGCAGAACGAGATAAAGCGAGAGGAGCTGGTTCAACTCTACGGTGGTGCTCTTCCTCTTCCTTGCTCTATATAACTATAGAACTCGTCGTTCTATACACATGCACACCGACGATTGCTCGTTCCTGAAAATATCGTAGCGTTGAGAGAGAGAGAGAGAGAGAGAGAGAGAGAGAGAGAGAGCACGTTTCGAGGAAAAACCACCCCAACGGGTATTGGTGGGCAACAGGAGTATTGATTTTCTGGTACGATACGGCAACAACGAGGTGGAGCCATCGCAGCTCCAGTGGTAGCACCGCCATATTTGTTTCCCCCAGGAAGACCAGGGAGAGACTGCGGAAAGCGGATTTTCCAGGGGCTTCTTCCAGTCGCTGATCCATCGTCGATTCACGTAAGTACAACCAGTTGACGGCCAGACGGTTCGAGCCCGCGCTTCTCGCCCTCCATTCACTCGTAAAGCGTTATCAACGCGGTTTATCGGCACACGCGGCACTGCGTCGGCGAACGACATGCTCGCTCCGATCTCCGCTGCGGCTCTCTCTCTCTTTGAACAAACGCTCATGTAAACAACGTGCAACGACTGGTTTGACAGGTGGTTGTCACGGGCCGTGTGATCGTCAGATCGTCGGTGGACGACGACGCATCTTTAGCTTTAAGCCCGTCTTCGAGTGCGAGAAACGCGCGACCAGGTGGGTCGGATTCTCCACCACTCATTGACGCAGTTCCCTTTTCGCTCGCGTTTCGCAATTTTTCTGTGAAAGATAAATCCGCGTTCGTTTCATTTATTCGAAGGACGCTAGCTCGTCTTTCGGCAAAGAAACGAGAAAATGAGAATGCAACGACGTGCAGTCGATTGAGCGTAGCATGCAGCAGGCTGATGATGATCGTTAACAGATCGATCGACTATGGCTATTCTTAGACGCAGCACGTGGTGATAAAATTCCATGCACTCGCGTTTATAATGCTCGCTTCTAATTCCGGCGGAGGCGTATCGCACGTCCATACGTTTGTGTTACCGTTGTCGTCCCTTTTTCTAATATTTTTTTTTTTTAAATTTGGAAATAACAGTGGTTTCTCGTGTGAATCGAAGCTCCTTCCACTTTGGAATTTTTTTCTCATCGATGGCTACGTCGTCGTAACCAGTGTCGACAGAACGTGATCTGTTTGTACATTAATGCTTGATTAGATTGATTAGATCGATTAGATCATATACGACGTGGATTGAAGTAGCACAAGTGCTCATGGTCGTGTTCATGGTTAGATGCTTTCTTGTTTTCCAATGGAAACCTTATCTTTGCCATCTTGTGTGTCTTTTCACCACCGAAAGAACGGAAAGGAAGTTTTTACACCGTAAAATAAGTACAAAAGCAGAACGAATTTACGTCAGGTGACACGTTGATAACGAGTTTCGAAAGAAAATTTTATTTTGGCGAAAGAGTGCGACAATCTGATACTTTACGATTTATACCGTTCTCGTGATACATTTTCATTCCGTAGATACTTAAAATTATTATGCTTATTCGTCATCCTCTATACTCTGCATATTGTCTATACACTATATTGTCTACTATATAGAATAACATTCACTTCAGTACCTACAGCGTAACGACAATCGATACAAAATCTACAATTTTTCGCGGGAACATTGAAGAAGCCTTTCCCTTGAGCTGGCGCAGTTCTTCGACAAGTAAAAACATCGAACATATCGAACGGGAGATTTTACGCGCGAGGACAATGATTTCTGGCGAAAAGAGGCAGCTGTGACAGAAATTTCTCGGTGGTTTCTCTCCCTGGAGCGTTCGTTCGACTCCGAACGAAGCTTGCAAACGAAGCGGGCGCGCGTACTCGCTCGAAAACTCGCAGAAAAAAAACAACTGCTGTTCGCCAGGAAAGTACCGAGTGCTCCTCATCGTGCACGTTCACGAGCCCGAGAAATCGGAGGAGCGGCGTGCATTTGCCCCGAAATATTTATGCCACCAACGGCGGCGTATGCGAGTTTCGTGTTCGTTTAACGAGCGACACGACGAAAACGACACGGGGGACACAGAAAAGGGCGAAAAAGAAAAGCGCGGGCTGCTTTCGTTCAAGAAACTCGAGACACGAACGAAGAAGACGCGGCAGCCATCAAGACGTCGAATTAACGAGCAAGTTCCTAACCTTTCGAATTTGACGGAAATTTACGGAGGAAATTGAGTTAAATTTGAAACAAATTCATCGCGAGAACTTGGAGCGAGTCTCACAAAAATATACGAAGATAGAAATTGTGGAAGTTGGACTTTTGCTAAAAATCGTCGTGAGAAGACGCGTGGAAGATATCGGAGACTTTTCAAGAACTTTTAAAGGAGCAGAAACAATTCCAGAGGATCAATCGGGAAAATTTCTTGAGAGAGAAAAATCTCTCGAGGGAGGAGAGAAAGAAGAACGAAGGAAATTCGTAATCGCAGATGAAACACGCGCGAGATTTGAAAGAACACACACACACATACACACAAGGCGTAAAACAGCAGGCGCCACACCGTCTGCGGCTAACGCTCGATAAACTACATTACGTGCTAACGCGTCGTGGCTTCCACTTTTTCCTCCGCCTTCTACTTTTCTTTCTTTCTTTTTCTTTTCTCCCGCTCCTTCGTCTCCTCTTCTTTCGCGCTGCGCCTTCGCCTGGAAGTGTGTCAGCCGCGAACGAAGGTCCTATCGCCGAGGAGGAGAAAACTGTGTCGCAACCTCCATGGACGGCATCGACTTGCCGCGAATTAAAAAAAACTGGAGCGTACATGTTATGGAAAGCGACCGGCTGATAATTAAGTGGTATTAAGGGGAGGCGGGAGGGCGAATGCGTTATCGCGATCTCAGCTTTAATTTCTCCCGGCGAGGAGAGAGAAAGAGAGGAAAAAAGAAAAAAATAAGCCACGTTTCTGGAGTCGGTTCCTGCTCGCGTGTGTTCTCGTTGTATTTCACGAGCATTGTAAAAAAAGAGCCTTTTCTACCGCTTTAGATCGCGAGTCGTCGAGGAAAGTACTACGACCCCGCGAGAGGGTCCGGGTAATTGCAGCAGTCGTGAATTTCTCGCGTGCTCGCACGCATCGCTTAATATTTCACGAAAATTACACGAAGGGAAATCTGGTAAAATCCCGTCTGACAGTACGAGGATTTCTACGCGAGTTCAAATTTACGATTTCTTTCGCTCTTTTTTTTTTTTTTTGTTTAAAGAAGAAACTAACAGTCCTCGTGAAATTCTTTAGCGAGTCGAGTTATGAATGATAGAAGACGGTGAAAATTGAAGAGCTGTCTACGTATCGACGCAATTAATTACGCGTTAGTGCTGTGAACTTTGTGTTTCTTGTTTTTGCTACTTTCTGTGTTTTGCTTTCTGTGTTTGCTTCTGCTTTCAAACTGTGTCACCTGTTCTGTAAGCCCTATGGCGAGGAAAACTGTGTCACAGTAGCGCCGGTATGGTTCGTGTCGTACATCGATAAATGTCTCGAGGAAAAAATTATCCTGACCTACGTGCCGCGTATTGTCGATGGGAAACTTTGCCGCTAATTGCATGCGGATCTTTTATCCTTCAAATTCGAATTTGTTAATCGCTCTTCGAATAGAAAAAGCGCTTCGTTCAATTGCTTCCTTCTTTACCTTTTTTTAGCCAGTCAGTGCCAAAATTTGATCGAAGATTTGATTGTTAGATAAAAGTTACGATTCAAACTTTTTTGATGAAAGAATGTTTTGATCGAACGAAACGAGTACAAGTCCAAAGGCAATTTACATTCTGGCAGATCTTACGAGAAACAAAAAGTGAAATGCGCAACGATAATCCAGGTTTCTTTGAAGCGTAAATTTTCCGACTCGTGGAAACGAAGGAAGAGTTCGAAGTTTCTCTTTGACCGAAGTCTTCGCCTCTTTTTACAATCTGTGAAAACGCAAAATCCAGAACTGAATATTCAACAGATTTAAATTCCTTGCAAGATATATTTGTTTTGCGGAACAACGACTTGAGAAGTTCATGCCCGAATAAATAATTCATCGGCGGATCGTGAAAATAAAATCTTCCCTCCATCTTTTGAAAACGACCGAGCTCTCCTCGAATGATCGAGGAAAGATCTTATCGCGTTTGAATCTTCGACCCAGTTTCACCTAGCACGCATTCGAATAAAGTTTAGAGTGTCGCGTTGCACTTGCGTGCAATGTTGGTACATCGATTTCTTTATTCTGGAAATATATCGAGGAACGTGTAAAAAAAAAAAAAAAAAGGTTTCGAATCATCGATCCTTTAACTCAATAACGTACCTTTAGATCTGAAATGTCAGAAATACTGAGAATCTCGAGGATAAAGAGAGATAATTCTCTATTCTTCCTTGAAGAATTGAATCAATTTCTATAATCGCTGATTAACTACAGAAACCCAAGAAACGTGCAACTGTAGATCTTCAGAAAGAAGAAAATCACGATCCTTGCCGAATTAATCTTCAGTCGTGCAAGAAAAAGTGCAAAATGAAAGGAAGGTGAAAGAGAAAGATTTGATCGCGAGAGGGAGAGAGAGAGAGGGAAGATTGAATTTCTGGATTCGCCGGATCCCGCCATCTCTGGACGATTATCCTGCAACAGAGAATGGCTCCTGATGGCAGGATGGTACATGAATGACGTCAAATGCGGCAGTATACGGCGTCGTTGCAGTTCGAGGAGGCGCATGTGCAAGTCATCGATCGATGCGCGACAACCGCTCGAGCCGCGCACCTCGCACGAGGCGCAAAGCGAACGCGAAAAGCAGAACACGCGCGCGACCAGCCTCGTTCTGCTGCAAAAAGAACACGGTGACGGAACACGGTCGCGAGAAACTCTGACGTGGATATGAACCTCGACGAGATGGAAGCCACATCTTAAATCTCGTCGAGAATATCCTCCGAAAATATCGTTGGTATAGTGATACACACTCTGCGATAATACATCTTCCTCACTGGGACCAAATTGACGGAGCCGGAGGACAAAAGGAAAACATCAAACGAATGAGTCGTCGAAATTCTTGAACAAACGTTTCCGATGGAACGGACCGTTGGTGGTACGTACAGTCTACAGGCAACCTATAAATTCACATACTGACACGGAACGTCGATGCCTTCGACCGTGTACATCTCGTAGATAGTAATAATTTGATCGTCGAGGATGCTGCGACAATGATTCAGGGAATCCACCAACGCAGAGTGTAGTCTGGATGTAACCAGGCTCGACGTAGGATGTAAACTTTCGGAATACATATATATATATATATATATATACATATATACATATATCGGGATCCACTTGGCGAATTGAGCGAATCGAGCTCGACAGAGACGGCAGGATGCCGAAGCAAGTGCCAGAGGAGAACCTGGTGATTCCGCCGCAGGACGGTCGGATCTGCGGGACCATTTGCATCTGCCAGATGACGGCGGTGTTGTCCTCCGTGGCTCTGGTCTATCTGACCGTGGCGATCTACATGCCGAGCACCAGAGCGTTTCAATCCGGGATCAGCGAGGTGCCGGTGATGTGCACGACGATACGGGCGGTGAACGCCGACAACTGTGAATGGGGTAGCTGCGGCGAGTGGTGCCTGTCGAAAACGTCCGGGCCGTGCGTGCAGATTCACGTGAACCTTCGTAGAAACGGCTCGGCGATACTGCTGGCCAACTGTACCAACACAACCAACAAGACCTGCTACGGTATCGATCAGGAGAACGCGAAGAAATCGAAATGCATCGCGGACGAGTGCCGTAACCTGACCGGCACGTTCAACTGCACGGCCGGTGTGTGCATCAACATCACGGACGCGTTCGAGTGTATATTCCACGACACGGACCCGCCGTTGAAATGTTCCGGCAGACGCGGCAAGATAACCTGCATAGACATAGACGGTCTGTTCAACTGCAACCGGGGCACCTGCGAGCGTATCAGAACGCCGTACAACTGCGACCGCAGATGCGTCGACATCCCGACCAGGAACAAGAACATGATCCTGCTGAGCGGCGACAAGGTCTACCTGAGCCAGTGCGAGCGAGCGATTGACGTGGAGTCGAACCGAGAGATCTGGCACGAGGATCGTGGCGACATCATGATGGCGTCCTGCTACGGGATATTCAACTCGACGTTGGGCGTCGAGGCTGTCGACTGCATCAACGGCTCCGTCTTGGAGAAAGATCTCCTCACCGACTTGACCAACTTCACCTATCTCTCCTATCTGAATATATTCGCGACGAAGCCGTTGGACGAGACGAGAACGGTGGCCCCGCCTGAGCAGGATCTCATCATAGCGAACGAAAGTCGCCTGCTGATCAACCTCGAGGGCTGCGTCAATACTCTGCGCGAAGAGTGCAAGGAATTCCTCCACCTATACGGGAAAGACGGCTCCGATCACAACGCACGCGCCAGGTTCCCGTGTTACTATGCCGAGAGCAACACCGGCGTCGTTGTGTCGCGTTTCAACCTGGAGAACACGTACAAGGAGTTCCTGATCGCGTTGGTGTTGCCCAGCGTGTTGTTCGTCGTCAGTTGTCTGACGTTGATCTTTTGTCAGAGGACCGTGGTCGTCGGAGACGACGCCAAGATGAGATTCAAGGGCACGGTCGGTGCCGGACTCGCGTCGATAGAGAAGAGCGCTTCCGGTAACCTAGGGGATGCTGGCGGAGGAAACTCTGCTATGGCGCTCTGAGATCCGTCACGTAAGAATCGTTGAACAGAAACGAGATAAAGATCATTGCGTATATATATATGCTATAGTGTATATATGCTATTTGTATATAATGCCGAAAGGTGTTCTAGAATGATTTATGGCTTTTAGAATATATACTTTGAAACTTTTTAAATTTCCGCTCGAGAAAGTAAAGAGTTACTCGAGCTTTCGAACTTTATATTCTGATTATTCTGCGTTTTAAAAATGTACATATTTCGTAATATCATAATATTATTTTCTAATATTCTGTAATATCATAATATCATTTTCTAATATTATCTAATATCATTTCATAATATCATTTCTAATATTATCTTTTGTAATATCATAATATCGCTTTCTAATATTTTGTAATATCATAATATTACATATCATTTTCTAATATTCTGTAATATCATAATATCATTTTCTAATATTTTTTAATATCATAATATCATTTTTTAATATTTTGTAATATCATAATATTGTTTCTAATATTCTGTAATATCATAATATCATTTTCTAATATCTTTTTAATATCATATCATTTTCTAATATTTTTCAATATCATATCATTTTCTAATATTTTGTAATATCATAATATCATTTTCTAACATTTTGTGAAATCTTTCTATAAGAATTTAGCAATGTAACAATACTATAGATTATGCCCTTTAAAGTGATTTGTGTCGAGTTGATCATCGAATGCACAAAATCTGCTGCGCGATCGTTGCATAGTCGTCAACAGGAAGATCATATTTATGTATGTAATTCAATTTAATTCAATTTAATTTCAACGAAGAGCCAATTACAGCTGTCGCCTTGTTTCAATTTGTTCGATCAGCCTGACGGTGTAACGAAGTATAATCGATACTCCAATACAGATTTAAAGCAAGTTGCAACGACAGTGTAACGACAGGACTTTTATAAAAGATTCTCTCTTCTGTTTGCAGGCATTCCCCTCCTGGAGGAGAGTCCGGCTCGTCAGTCGATATTCTCCCTGCGCGGGCACTATTAAGCTGTGGGGAGGGGGGGAACGCGTGGTTAAAATTCTCATCTTGCAAAAAATACAAAAACTACAAAGCAAAACGTACCGATACTTCTGCAAAAAGCACAAACTATCTTTGAAAAACGAGGAAAAGAAAAAAAAGAAAGAAAAAGGGAACGAGGGAGAGAGAGAGAGAGAGAGAGAGAGAGAGAGAGAGAGAGAGAGAAAGAGACAGACAGAGAGGGAGCAAGCGGTCAAGAACAAGTACCAAAAAAAGAAGAGAAAAAAAAACGAGACTTTTCCTACCTGCACTGCCTGCACGCAAAAAATAGAAAATAAATAAAAAAAAAAAAATAAAAAATAAAAAAAGGAACACTTCTCGTGAGCGCACGTGCTTTTTTGTTCGAATATCCGCGTCACCGCCTGTGCATGCGCGGATGAATCGCTTGGAAAAGTTCGCACGACCGGATGCGCGACACAACTCTCGCCTGTCTCTCTTCTGCCGACAAGAACACGGAGAAGGATCCTGAATCTGGACTCGACCAATTCATCTTTCGGATACGACGGAAAGTAAACAGATAGAAAAGAAAACAACAGACAATTCGGCGTCTTTTACACGTGACACAAGAGATTCGTCGGTAGCTTTTAAGTGTCCCCCTTCTGATTGATTCGCCGTGACAGTAGATAAGAACCACTTATTACGTATAGCTCTGCTAAGTAAACTCGAGGCTAAGCAACTCTTATTGTAATATCATACTGCGACACTGCAACAAAGAAAAACCACTTTGAGAACCGAAGGACGTGCCTTGCTGGTAAATGATCGATCCGGGGCGATCGTTGCTGCAACGACAAGCCTGCGAGAAAAGATATCTGGGAAACACGTCGCTCAGTGCATTCGAAAGTATTCGCATTATTACGCTCGTCGCATAATTAATTCTCGTAGCGAGAGCAGGGACGAATTTGACAATTACAAAACTATCTGAAGAACTACTTGAGAAAGAAAGCATTCGTCGCGTAAACCGCGTGAAGATAAGCGATTCCACGATACGAGAAGGGTCGGGAAGGAAGAATTTCAGAAGAAGATCGGACTCGGTGTCTTCGTCGAGGCGACGAAAGCTTTCCTTCGAACTTGAACGAACAGGGTCCAAGCGACCCGTACAAGAGAGCAATCATTGATTCCGACGAGTCGACGGTAATCATGGGCGCCCAGGAAGAGGACACGAAATCCAGCACCATGGGTGGCGTGCTACCGGTAGTGGAAGTCGCGTCCCTGGTCGAGAAAGCCAAGTTCTACACGTCCCTCTGCCTGGGCAGCACAGCCATTCTTGCCGTCTTCGCCTTCCTTTTTCTAATCCCTTTCGTCGTCGAGCCGGCCATCTCCACGATTTTGGCCGATTTCTCTCCTCACGCCGTGGCATGCGTCGTCACTGACCACGTCTACGCCGAGGGACTGAAGAATTGCTCTTGGGCAAGCTGCAGAGAAGGTAAATTTGCGGGATTTTTTCGCCCCAACTCTGTAGTAAACTTGGTATTCTGTTTCATTCGGTCATCCCGAGTTTTGACACAAAGGCGTGCGGATTTCTAAGTATAAAAATTCGTCCAAAATTTGTCAATAATTGTAACCTCGTGCCCCGCACGTCGAGAATCTTTTGCCCCCAAAATTCCAATAAATTCTCCCAGTTTCAAGTATATTTAAGTATAATAATGTAAAGGCGAAAGAAATAATAAATTTATCACTTCTCAATAATTTCTATCCAGTGATACTCGTACCGACGAGCACAAAAAGAAAGCGACGGAATTATTGTGTATGTACGGTTTGGTCACTCGTTATGGTCCGCAATCAGTTGCCAGTGGTTAAAGTAGTTTTCCCAGCAATAACAGGCCGCGATAGATTTCAAAATTTGTACACGTTTTCGTCGATTTTAATTACAACGTGTGATTGATATTTATTTGTACGTGGATCTGTTAATGGGTTTTCTCGATCGCAGGTTGCACCAGCGCGGCGCTCCGTTGCCATCAGATACGAGTGAACTACACGAGATTAACATTCGAAGAGTTCACTGCGAAACCTTTGGGTTCCATACCGTGGGACGTGCCGGACACGAAATTCTTCGTGAACACGGAGGGCTGCGGTTACCCACCGAGGGTGAACTGTTCCGATTTTGCCAAGAAATACGGATATTCCAACTTGGGGAAGATATTCCCCTGCTATTACAGCAGGACAAACCCAGAGACTGTCGTCGCAAGGTATAATTTACGTTGTAATTACACTCCCGTATTCGTGACAAACGACGTTCGACGGAAGCACGAAACATGCCATGTCCGCAGCAAATCGAACCTAACGCTGTCATCTTGATTGTCAATATCAATCTTCGTGCCCGTGGGAAATTACGTGCTCTGCTAGAAAGCTCACCGCGAATAATTCCATTCTTTAGAAATTTCACTGTCCACGCGTCTTTGCCACCAAGATATCCGCCACCAACGACGAAATTACACGCGATTCTATAATTAGAAAACGCTACGAGACCTCGTTTCGTACCGTGTCATTTTAACGAGTCGATCCACGTGTACTTTCTGTTCGCCAATCGGGTCGTTCTTTGAAGCGAAACTTTATATAATTGTGGCACAACAGAAAAAAAGAGAAAAGTTCGTAAAGACGAATCGATTTCTGTTAGGTTCTCGTGAATGAATTAGGCCGTTCTTTACTTAGGCGTTCTTACGAACGCAGGATGAAAAACGTGAGAATGTACACGGATCTAGAGAGATCTGAAAGTTGGATAAAAGTGGTATCTCGAAGTAAAGAAATGATCGTGCGATGAGTTAACTCGGTTAACAAATTATCGAATTATATCGTAACACTGTGGATATGTTTGTAGGTACTCTTGGGATGAAAACCTGAGGCATCTAGTGCTAGCATTGGTGGTGCCTACAGTGCTTTTTGGAGTGTCCCTCGGCGTGTTGTGTTATTGGTACTGTCCACCGATGGGCAAAAGTTGCGGAGGGCCAGGTCGTAACTTGATTGACAAGTACGCGAGGAAGGAAGAGTAAGTAACGTGTATGTATGCAGTGCCCAGTGAGGCTAGAAGAACCTATACACCTTATCTGCGTTCTAGAATCGCTTCGAGGGATTATCATCCTTTTTCTCACAATTAACAATAATAAGATTGTTTCACAGTGCCATTCGGTACAGTTCGTACTCGTCATGACAACATAAAATTTTATCGTCATTGTAGAAATTTAAAAATCTCAATATATTTGCAAGAAACTAGCATTCCAAATTTCTCGTTTTCTCTTCGAGTGAAAGAAATAACTCCTCGAAGCAATATGGTTTCAGTTCGACAAAAGAGGCCCTGCTGTATTTTCTATCACAAGTTTTCTGTTGCATTCGTACAGTATCCTGGGAGAGGATGAGTTCGAGGAGGACGAGGAGGAATACTGACTGCTGCCAAGGGCTCACCCCCCAGCGCGGGAGTGACGCCGATGCAATTACTGAAAAATCCCCGTGGAGCGTGCTCCACGTTGTAATATCAAAGCGATCGTTCGAAAGCAATAGCAGCGTCAAGGAAAATCCGCAGCAACGAACATAGAATGCAACTTGTTCAACGTAACTCGCGTCAGCTCCTGTCTGACCCTGTTTACACTTCTACTACTTCCGATCGATCTTAGCCTATCGCGATGCAACTGCACTTGCGCCTAATCGATTGCTTTGCAATTAAAGGAAATTTGGGTAACCACGCTGACTTTTTCCTCCTTTTAATCTATCTGTCTCGGGACCGTTCTCTCGATTCTAATCAAATTGTTTCCCCTCAACGTCCCATCAACTTGCAATAAATCAAAATTAACGTTACAACACCTTTCGTCGCGAGCAAAATGATTCCTTTCTAAAGACGAAAGCGCGAAACAGGCCGAAAATTAATTTAAGATGTCGTTACTGTGTTCGACCGCACGACGTCGGACCGTTCATCAACAGTGTTATCGTATTTTTCGAAAGTAACGTGTTTGCCCCTTACGTGAATCAATATACGCGCGATATTTTTACAACCGAGTTGCCGTGGAAACGATCAATCCCGCGTAACTGTCGTTCGAGTCGCGTGATCGACGCGACATTTTTTTCGATGTCGAGCGTACTCACTTTTCCGAGATTTTTTATATATGACGTGCAATAAATTGTAATTGTGAGAGGAGAGAGGAAGAAAGAGAGGGTGAATTTACGTGGAGAAGTAGATTTGGTTAAATTAATCGAAACGGCGAGCTCGGTCTCGATCATCTACCAGTATTTTGGAACATAACGATGTTCAGAAATTGTAATTTATGATGTAACAAGGTGCGCCTTCCTGCAACGTGATAACTTTTTAACGTAAGGAACAAAAAAAAAAAAAAAAGAAATATTCAAGTGGCACGTTTCTCAACGCAGCATTCGTTCGTAATAGAATAAGCGATGTAAGTAATTTGTAAGTCGTGTTTATGGTAAAATGACGGGTAAAATGACGTTTGAGACGACGGATGTAAGAATGCTAATGCAAAGAAATAAAAAAACGACGAAGCGTTTTTCGAAGCAGCACAAGCTAACGGTTTCACGTTGTTTCGAGCAATATTTCAAACAGTCGAAGAGAAATTTGGAAACGTAAAATAATTCTGCGAAACATCATTTTACCCAGATCTGCGTGCATACGAGTTTGACGGTCGACGGAAAAACCGAGGAGGAGAAGCTTCGTACGTTTATGGAAAGAGGAACAATCGATTCGTCGTGCATTTCGACAATGAAAGAAAAATAATCAAAATCCTGTGCAGGCTCGTGTCACGCGAGTATACGCGCCAGTACGGTCATTTCGGCGTTTCTACTTTGAACGTTTAAAGATTAAAAGCAGAGCAAACAAAAATAAATAAATAAATAAATAAATCGTTAATTGTATTCAGCGACGGAGGTTAAGGAGAACGAGACAAGGAGAAGGGAGGGGGAGATATTTTCGACTTGGAAGAATATATCAAAATATAAACACGTGGATCGTAGTGCTTTCGCGTGATGAACGCAAAGATTAGACAAAGAATCCAAAAAAACACAGCTATTTTTGCAATGCGCGAGTGTGTGGGCGGGAGAAAAGGGATTCGTTAGTTGAATTTGTAAAATTTTCAAAATTCTCGAACGAAACGTGAGAAATGCAAAGGCAGTGACGCGATCGCCTCCAGGATACGTCTTCGCACCAAAAAAAAAAAAAAAACGATAAAACCCGTAGGTTTAAGTTTAGCCGGTAAGCTAAGTCTGTGAATATAATCGATCGTCGATTAGCAACGAGATCGGTTATAACGATTGTTACAAATTTTTTACGCGGACGCGTGTCGTACCTCGTGGCTCTAGATAGGAACGAACAAATGTATATTTGCGTAAAGCGCAGGTGCACACGCATGCACGCATCGCGCGTCGTAGTTTATAGCGTTGTAGATATCGGTTTTTCAGTTCGGTTTTTCGAAAAGGACGAGCGATCTGCGTTTCAGCGAGCTGCGAAACAACCAGTGACCCAGCGAATGGCGATTGAATTCGCGAGGCAACGATTCGTAATTTTTTATTTCAAAATGGTCTAGAAACGTTAGAGCGATCTATCTGCTGTGATAGCAATGAATGAACTTAGAGACCTTAGAGACCAGACGCACATTAATTGATACGAGAAACTGCATGACAGTTTAAAAAAAAAAAAAAAAAAAAGAAAATGAGTTCAAAGTAATTTTTCTTCTTAAAGAAAGATACGCAAATGTATACATGTATTACATTCCTCTCGTCCATATTTTGTGAAACGACCTGTAAAAGTTTGCAAATAATTCAGTTGAAGTATTTACCAAAATGTCATACTATCTTGTTTGTCTAGAGTAGCAACATGATTGCATGATATAAATAAATCGTTAGCTTTACACGTAGGTGAAATAGTAGCGAGCTGGGCGGTTGTTTCGAAGCGTACGGGAACTATACGTCGCGAGCCTATACATCTAGAATGGTTGTGAATCCTTACTCGGCCTTACTCTAGGCGTCCAGCAAGTTGGCCCGATTCGCCTCGAGTGCGATGCGAATTCCAACGGAGCCTGCGTTTTGGCACTCATTCCCCACTCAAAGCTTGCTAATCGATTTCCGTTTAGCGCGCGCCCCGGCGATCGGTCGATCGGTCGATCGATCGGTCGATCGGCCAGCGCGTCTTTCGAATGAAATTCTCGTCGGACGGTGTGAACGAAATCTTCTCTCTTGCGCCTTTCTGCGGTCACGTGGAACTTTTGCTCAAAGACGCTCGACTCACGGAACGATATATGTATATAGTTGGTTAAAAATCCAATCGATCGATGCGAAACCTTTGATGAAAATACTTTTCGAATGAGACACTGATCGACAAACTATTATATAAATTCTATTTTTCTTTCTTTTTGGAAATATGTTATATTAAAAATTTATAGTGAAAAGTTTCCTAATTTACATTTACTCTATTCGTAGTGTAGTAAATATTTTCGAAATTAAAAGTTTTATTTTCTACTTTGTTTCAAGAAATAATAAATTTCAGTAAATTCATAGTCCCATACGCCGATCAGTGCGATACGAGTTGAAAATCTCTTTAACGATCAAACATGAAAAATTCCGAGAGTTGAATCGTTGAACGACAGTCGTCAAAATTATTGAAACGTCTCCAAAAATTACGAGAACTTTCGACCGTCGTATCGCTGTTACAATCGGATCAACAACGCATCGTTGCTTGGATCAATGTACGCGCGAGCATCGAGAATCGTTTCGGAAAACTCAAGCACAAGTTCGTGGGCTTTATCATCCACGAGAGAAAGTGCTCATTCAACGTCAACGCACTTCCATATCTCTCATATCAGATCGGATTTAGTGCCAATTCGTTAGTCGATTAGAACCTCGCGGAATGATCATCGAGTTAAGCGTATTTAGAATCATCGGTCGCGGGAGAAGACGTCGATACAATTAGATAGATTATACGAAAATTCTTAGGAGAATAAGGTATTTACTAAAGAGAAAAGAAAAACAAAGTGATAATTGAAAAACGACTTTTCATTCAGACAAAGAGCTGAAAGGAAACGTGAGAAATTAATGGTTAAAATTTGAATCGATGAATTTCAAGATACTTCGCGAGCAATGGCGAAGTAACACGAAAAGGAAAAACGAAGAAAACTGCACGGACGGTTACAGATTAGAAAGCGGCGATTAATTGTAAAAAAAAAAAAAAAGGTATCTATTTCTATCGATACTTATGTACAATACGCTCTATTCGCATGTTACTTGATTATTCTAACGTACCTGCACTTATTATAGTTAAGCTACAGTTACATCGATTTCCCTTCCCATTTTTTAACCCACTCTGTCTCCTCGTTTCTTTCCATCCCCTTCTCGATAAAAACATCTAGCTTATAGAAGTTTCTCGATCGTTAATTCCTTTCCCCTTTCTCTTTCCTCTCTTCTTCTTCTTCTTCTTCTTCTGACTTCTTCTTCTATTACTTATTAATAATAATTCTCGATAATCGACGATACGAAAATTTTACGAAAAATAAGAGAAGCAATGAACGCTCTTCGAGAAAGCTTCCCCGGTTCTTTACTCGTGAATTTTAAACCCGATCGAAGAAGACATTATTGTTCACAGCGCTTCGTGCGTACCATTGTAAGTCTTGAATACATTGTACATAATATATTATATATAACGTGCTCGTTCTGCGATACTAACGGACTATTGTAAATAAAAGGTTGTACGATTTCGTTTGAAATATACAGAAACACGTTTTTTTTCTTTTCCTCCATTTTTCTTTTTCTTTTTTCTTTTTTTTTTACGAAGTCGAAATTTTCCGTTTCCCATTCAAATTTCATGCACCAAAGAGTCAATGAACATTCTTGTCGCGTCAGTTTTTCTCCATAAACGTGAAAAATTTTATTTCGAGATGAAACGAACACTCTGCATTCGAGTGCCATTTTAATGCTATTTAATCGCAAACGTATTCCTCGCTCCGACCAATCTAGGTTTTCGAAAATATTTGCAGAATCGTTGAAAAGAAACTAAACAATTTACGTTCGAGTTTCACACGTCTTAAAAGAGAATTCTTTTCGATTTAATTTAACATCAACAAGTTTGATCCAAACACTGTCAATCAAAGCTCGCGATCTGTTTCGTGTTAAGCGAATGTTTGTTCACACTGAGAAAGTTCACGGTAGCACGATAGCCTCTTGGAGCTTCCAGAAACTTTGACAAACATTTGTACTGCATTAAACCGTTGAAATTGTGATTAAAATCATTACGCTCGCTGGTGAGCGAATCCCTGGATTGTTTACTGAATTATGCAATTACGTCAACGAACGAGAAACTTAGGAACTGCAGTTGCTACAGAAACTACAGGTAGGTGCAGCTTACACGTAACTTTAGTGAAACTCCGCGATTATTCGAGACACTGTGAATTTAGAATGGAAATTGTGCGTTAGAGACTTCTTGCAAATATATAAAGTAATGGAGCAATCTTTTATTGTATTATATTATATAACATTTTATAGATTTGTAATAAATGTATATTTATAAATATAGGAAGTACTAAAAAAAGAAAAATTATTCGTTTACGTAGCATCGCAGTTTGAAAACTTTAAAAACCTCCTAATTCAATATCTTAGATTACCCGATAATGAGATTTGTAGCGTGACGATTGTAGTTGAATAACTGCCAACAGCCTAACACATGAAAGGCAACAGTTCCATCTTAGTAACTTTGAATATTTTGCTAATATTTCTACCAATTTATTTCCTGATTTCAAACTTTCCTGAATGAAATATTAACTTTTTGATAGCAATTCGAAGCGACTGTGGAAACTATTCTGGCAATGACACCTTCGCGAATGTCTCTTTTGGATAGTAACAAGTTCACATCAATATCAGCTGATAATTATTAGCACGTATAGAAAGACGAAATTTGAATTGAAAGTTAAACACTTTGCTGAACACCCTGTACACATTAATGAGTACATATAAAACATTTTACACCGTTTATCTACCTAGAAGCAGAGAGCTAACGAAAACACTCCGACACTCTCACCACCAACATCTGATCTCCGAAACGCAACGACGTCCGTCAAACCTCGACATCAGCGTGAAAAGAAAAGGAAAAGCAGAGGCCAGCAAATTAATTAGCTTTTGCCACGGGCAGACGTATCGAGGGGTCGGAGCATAGGTTTGGAGGCGTTTTGGAAAGTTTCGAGCGCCTTAGGCGAGCTGCCGTCAGTCGGTGGCTGCCGACGAACGTAGAGGAACACCGGCTAACTCCCATAAATTCGCCGGAGCTCTCTCACGGTGCTTCTCAAGGCGCAAGCTCGGTATGGGGGAGCTCGCGAGCCATACACACTCGACGGCCAGCCTTGTTTTCAAACAGTCGTCCGGATTGCGTTGGGTGGTTCGCGGTCGTTCGACGCGGTCGTTACAGGGCGGCAGAGTTCCCTCGCTCTCTCATCCAGTCGATGTCAACGCACCGACACACCGCGGAAGCAATGACATCGCGAAACATGGATGGAAATGAAAACTCGAGCAGCTCGCGCCGTTATTGACCGCCCGTCCGTTTCGAAAGCCACAGCGACCAGACCACACCGCGGCCGAATCCCGCTGTTATCGATATCGCGTCGAGGGTCCAGCGAGGATCACCGTGTGTCGTGTGTGATCGCGTACGAACGAACTTGCAAGAGGAAAAGAAAAAAGAGAAACGCGAACAGAGTGAATCTCGGCGAGTCTGGTTGGAGAAAATCCAAATGGAAGGTCTTCTGTCGCAGGTAAAAGTTTGACGATTGTTTGTTTGTGTTTGAATCGATCGGAGATTGTTCGATCGAAGTCGTGTCTTCGCGCTTGCGGGAGGACACTACTTTTTTTCAAAGGAAGAGACAGGTGATATTTAGCCGAGTATCGCCGATCGAACATGTTTGACATTTAAAACAGAAGTCTCGAAGGTAGAAAACGTGGTCGTACGATGTTGTTTGGAGGACGTATCACCGTGCACAGAAGTTTGCAATATTCAAACGACGGGAATCGTATCGTCTCGTAACACGTTTTCAAAGTTTCGCGCGATTTCTTCTGGAAACTGTAGATTCTTAAGATTTTCACCGTCGGTTGTTGCAATCAATAATTCGTATCGGTCATTTTCAATTGAAGTAAACATCTCACGACAAAAATGACGATCTTTGCAAAATTAGATCAATCAACTACTCCCGAAATTGTCTATCTTTCTCGCGCGTAAAAATTCAAACGAACTCAAAGTTATTTAATTGTAACATCGCTGTAAAAACATTCGCGTTTATATTTGGAATTTCATTTTTTTAAATCTCGGTAACCGACACACCGCTTCCAGAATATATTTAAAAACGGCGACGCGCCGCGTTAGATCGTCGATAGCGTGCCATACTTGGCATAGTAAATATACCACGGTATTCGTATGCTAACATCGATTCCCTCTGCTCTTCGAATTCCCTTTGATGTCACCTTAAGCATCGCCATCGGATCGTCTTGCCGTGAGAACATTCAAGAAACCCTACAACTCGGGCCCGTTTACCCGAGCTTGAAAGTTTCCCTGAATCGATATGTATTATTCTCGAATGATCGTTAAGCGATCGTCCCTTATGCAGGTAATAGGATTACGAGTATCTAATTGCACGTCATCCAGCGGAGTGCACCTCTCACCTGTTTACACTAGCGCTGCACCTAACGAAGTTAAAACCCGGTAATTGCCTCAACTGCATTAAGCTTGATAGGCTTGAATGGCACGAAAAAGAAAAAAAAAAAAAAGAAAGAAAGAAACAAAGACAGCATAGAAAAACATAGGGGAAGGGGCTAAAAATCATCGAAGTCGAACACAGAATTGAATTTCTTCTCCTCAACAACATTATGGAATTTAATTCTACGAAAATGAACGATCGATTTCGCAACGTTCATTTCGCGACGTTGTAAATATTAATATAATTCTCGTTAACATGGTTCGGTTCCATGAATCGAGTCGATAATTTCCAAGATTCGCTCGAGATATCGCGACGAGTCGAAGATCGATTTTCCGAAAGGCTACCGGAGCATCGCGATACGATTCCCTTAACGAGGGACCGCGTGTAAGGCCAAATGCCTGGAAGAGAGCTTCCGACGAAGAGCGAATCGATAGAAAGTTTCCAACTGTTCGCGGCTGTTCTAGAAAACCGGCATTCGTGAACTATCCCTTTCGCAATTGTTTGTTATTTCGCAGTTTCGGGTTTCGATTTCGCGGCGGTTCGAGCAACGACTCGCGGCTTCGAATTTGGTGCGTAATTCGAGCCGAGTTTGTTTGATCGCGTGCCAGTCTTGGGACCATTATGTAAAATCAGCCACCTTACATAACCGGAAAATCAATGTTCCACGTGACCTTTCATACTTGGCTGATATCGTTTAATCAAGGATAAACCTTTCTTTTTTTTTTTTTTTTTTCATTTCGCACAGATGCTGCTTCGAATTGCTGACTCGATCGATCGATTTATCCAAGGACTTAGTAGATTCAATAGAGAGAAAAGGAATAAACAATGTCGAGCGCGTGTGTCCAACTCGGTTACGTAGAATTCTAGCCAACGCGCCAGAAACTCTCGAATCGATGAAAGACGACCCGTGTTCTCCGAGAGAGAGGAATGTTCGTACCCCAGCGGCGTGCAGTCGAGACACCTGTTGTGAAGCTCGGACTTGAGCTTGGAAAATTCAACAACCGAGGAAACTCTCTTCGAGAATAATTCATGGCCGCCGGGATCGTAAATTAAATTACATCCTTAAAGGGTTCTCCATCGGTTGTTTCTCCCTTCCTTCGCGTGGAAATAATGAACCGATCGGGTGCAAATAACTACCCACCGTTCCTTGATTTGTTGCAGGATGAGGATCGACGACGCTAATAAAGTCATTATTTCAATAAATTCCCATGAAATTTTCTTCGATATTACACTCGCGGGACTTGACAGAGAAAGTTTCTCCAGGAATGATATTTCGTGTCTGTTTCGAAAATAATACGATACAACGAATTCCTTTTCTTTTTTTAACCTCTTGCGCTGGAACGACGTGCCACGCACGTCGAGAATATTTGGCCCAAAATTGCAACATTTTCTCAGTTTTAAATATATTTCAGTATAACGCAGGCAAAACAAATGATAAGTTTATTACTTCTTAATTTCTGTCCAGTGATATTATACCGACGACTTCAAAAGAAAAAGAAAGCGACAAATTATTGTATACGGTTTCGGTCACTCGTTATGGTCCCGCGAATCAGTTGCCAGCACAAAGACTGGGTTAAAGACTGTCTTTGATATAGTATAGTTATATTATCTATTTGGTGAAATCAATTTATTGACAGGAAATCACATTCAATTTTCTCAACTAACAAGTGGATTCAGTTTTACGTTTTAGCCTTTCGACCAATATAGGTTAAAATCAGTTTACACTTATCTTTCAAACGCTTTCTTTTATCACACGCCTTTGATCCTCCCCATTACGTGTAAATAAAACACAAACCTTCAGGAAATATACATTTCACAAATTTATTTACGAATTTATTTACTCGTCATTATCGAAAGACGAGTCGTTCAAACATTTCTATCTCTTTGTCATACCTAAAGATTCCCCAAGAACTCAAGAACTGAAATAAATTCCTCCAGAATTCCTCAAAGACATCGAAAACTCTCTAAACCTTCGATCGACGATCTAAACGAAGATAAAATTCTTCCCCCCCCCCCCCAAAAAAAATCTATTTCTCAAGCTTCAAATTGAAAACTGACGTAAATCGATCGCGTTTCCTCTTTTTCAGAAACCTACTAGCCGTCTGTGAACGCCGGTGAACCGTGACGAAAGATGCAGCGCCGATGACAAACAGAGCTTCCCCCTATCGAGAAACAATTCCTGAGAGATCATCGCAGGCTCGAGGCAGATCCTTTCCTTGATGAGAAGAGACCTTGGGCTAATCCTTCAGTTCAGAGATAGCTGGTTGGGAGCACGATTGTCGGCACGGAGGAAAAGAAAGAAAAGCCAAGCGGCTCGCGATTGATTGCTCGCGATGGGTCGGAAGCACAAACGTCGCCTGATACCGGAACAGGATCGCAGGATATGCGGCAGTATCTGCTTCTGTCAGTTCACCATTGTCATCAGCTGCGTGGCGCTGGTTTATCTGAGCGTGGCAATCTATATGCCGTCCCACAGGTAAACGACAAGGCTGCATCGATTAATTGACCAAGGCCGATAGTAATTAAGTTACGACTCGTCCGGCCTTAATTTCCTAGAGGAGATCTATAACTTGCACTCTATGACCCCCGGCTTTAACGCTCTATAGACGGAACGTTGTTCTGTTGTTCATCGTTCGAGAATGAAATATTATCATTGACGCAGTCCTTTCTGTTGCTTTTAATCAAACACCGCGGATTCGTAATAATTCTGGACTTTCTTGCAAAATATTATTTTCAATATTATTATATTAATATTATATTATATATTATATTATATTATTATATTAATATTATTATTATTAATATATTATTTCCAATTTTCGGAGCTGAGAAGTAACAAATTGTAGGTATACGATTTCAGTCGTATTTCAGTTTTATTATTAAAAATTTGTTTCGACTGTGCAAGTACGAGAAAATCCACTGCTACTATAATTGCGGAAAAGTAACAGAAATATGTACATACGTAGCAAATTACACGATATTACGAACGAATTACGTTCGTTTCACCTGTTATCAACTCTGTTTTTCTCGTAGAAAGCAGATAATTTCGTATAATTAACATAGCGCTACCAGAAGTTGTTAATAATGTCTGGATATTTATCAACTGTATAGTATACTGAAAAGGTCGGTGCAATTTGTAAGAACAATTTGTTACGCGATGATGGGTTGTAGAGCGTAAGAGATGTAATTCGAATGTTTCCATGATCTCCAGAAAGGAGATTTGACATAGGTTAAAGGTCGCGAGTCTCTAATCGCGAGAGACTTTCTCAGAGATTTTCTTTTTGGTCTCAATGAATTATGAATCACGTTCCCGATCTGGTTACTCCGTTTCTCGATGTTTATTCATATTTCAAAAATGTGTTTCGATCGTTGCTGGCTTTTCAATCGCTCGGGAGCGATCCTGACGCTCTGTCAACGAATTCTTCACGTAGCAAAGCTACGTATTCGCGTAATGCAAAATTTACACGACTCTCGGCGAAATACTAACGAACGCGACGCAATTAATTTCCAGAGCTTTTCACGCGGGGATCGATCCTGATCCGGTCATGTGCCAAACCATTAACACGACCTTAACTAATAATTGTGGCTGGGCGAGTTGCGGGGAATGGTGCTTGACGAGAACCACGGGATTTTGTCCTCAGATCCACGCAACCGTACGGAGAAACGGGACCGACATCGTTTTCAAGAACTGCACGAAATTCAGCAGCATATCTTGCCCGCAGGTTTGCCACTTACGCTCTGATTACGTCCGATCGGAAATCGAGATTTTCTAGAATGACACGAAGGCAAGCTTAATATTAAAATTTAAGTTTCGCCAAAGTTAACGAGAATAATGAATATGCAAGGGACATTTTCATGGACAAACGAAAGAAGTATTAAAAGTTTGTGAAATTCACTTGCAACTATAACGTTAAAAAAGAAAAAAACGGGATTGAATAATGGACTGAGAAAGGTTGATAATGAAATGTTGCGTTCGCTCGACGTTGGCCCTTAATGGATTTACGCGTTTTATGATTGCTATTTATGAATATTTACTGAATATTTAATGTCGTTTTCCAATTTCCTGGCAAGGAAAAGAAAAAGAAAAAAATAAACGAAATTTCTTTCACCGTGTAAAATGATTTTCTTCCCTTCGATACGCGAAATAAAAATTTAATCAACATTTACGTTCGTTATTTTTCAAGCAGAGGGATCTTTGAATCGCACGAAAGAGAAAATTTTTAACCGTTTTCCACAGGGAACTGACGATTGATCTAAACTCGGTGGAACAAGCGAGCGAGGGGAATAAGAGCGTATATGGCCAGACACGCTCCTTCAGCTTGCGGTGTGAGCACTGCGTTATAAATTACTTTCAGCAAAAAATTATGCCAATTAAAATTCGTATATATTTAAAAACTCATCAACGATATCCTGGCTCCATTAATAATCAAATAATTAAATATTTTCAAATCACTTTTATCTACCTTTACGCGAGAGAAACGCGTATATTTTTCGCAATTTCTCAATCCTCCTTCTTACTTTCATTCAAATTGAAATTGAAATTGAAATTGAAATACGCGCTGTATATCTCGAGACGTAAGAAGCGTGCAAGGTAAACTCTCGCCGTCCGTGCATCGTCGAACGTTTTCTGAATTTTTCACGTCGATATCGGCCCTTCGATCGCGATCGTCGAAGCGACTACGTATAATAATTTCCGGGAAAACTTCTCCTAGAGGAGTGCAACGCTCCGGACAAGCAAATAGCTTTCTTTGACAGGCTGTATGCTGTTTTCCCGCGGGAGATAGAATAAATTGATCGGAGCAACTCTGAAAACTATGCTTCCCGCGAGATCGTGCGGGAAAATAAGTTTCTCGAAGCAGCGGGAGATTGTTAAACGATAGACGATAGATTTCACTTCGTGAACAACAATTTCAATTTTCCATTATTCTGATCGCTGAGAATCGTTGTCTTGTTAAAAGTAACGCGTCTTATTTTGATTATTTCGCTCGTAGTAATTACAGAGGTAATTTCTCACTGTGGTTTCAACAATTAATTGAAAATAACGACGTCCGTTGTTGTTCGCGAAGATCGCCATTAACAGTTACTCGACTTTTCAAATGGAATTTTATTTCCATTGTCGTCAACGTCAGAGTCGATTTTTAATCAACCAGCAACATTTTTAATCAACCTGGCTAGATGGAAGTAGTTCGATGAGCGTTGCTTTAATCGAATTAAACGTGAAAAATTCAGTTACACCGGCGAAAGGATCCGAGCACCGAGAGGGGGAGCGTTTCAACGCAACTATCGCGCTATTTTACGGTGGGAACTTTCGCTAATATAGTCGAAAGCGTGAGTGCGAAGCTAGAAAATAAAAANAAAATTAAAAAAAAAAAAAAAAAAAAAAAAAAAAGAAGGAAGAAGAGTTATCGAGCGTGAGTGTGTCGGTTTCTAAAAAGGATCATAGCCGGCGAATAAAAGTGTCGAGTGAGAAAATGGCGAGGAGCGTGACTGACGGAAGTTAATCATCGTGCTGACTAAAAGATTAATTACTTAAAATTCTATGTCCGCGTGTATATCATGCTCCGTTGTCCCGGTGGAAGTTTTTCGACAAAGCCAAGTCTTCGTTCGCGCGAGACACAAACGTTGCCGAGTTATGCTAATGTAATGAACATAACCCGCCAGCCGGTTATACTTCGACGCGCTAACCTCGTTATCCGCTACGTAATGCTTCCGATCGGGTTCGTCGTCTTGAATTACTTTCTAATGGCGTGTTCCACTCGCCTGCCACACCTTTTATCGATCATCTTCGCCTCACGCATCGTGATTTAAAGTAGACCGCTTTTCGCCTATTTTTATTTCACTGTAATACCGAACATAATATCATATATGTATAAAAATGGAATTAGAATCGAGTCTCAATAAAGTTAATTCTCGCGCTTATGTTTCTCGTATGGACGCGTAGCTTTTCGAAGAATTTGCCCTCGTTCGTCGAAGAGAGCGTGACAGAAAGTAATGAAACTAATATAGAACTAGACGTCAATCATACTGAATTTCTATCTACGAGAAACGCACGTCGGACGATAGAATATAAATGACTCTCGAGGGAGCTTCTCACGGCAATAAAGAGAAACGAGTTGCGCGATACTTTTATACTTTTACAGCGAAATTTTTGTACGACCTAGCTAACTAATTAACGATTTCGACAGTAACATAACTTTCAATTAATGTACATTAATGTACATTACGTATATATATGAAATGTATTTTTTCTACAGTCTGATATTAACAGAAGGAAATGACCTTTGATCCTTGAATTATAAAACTTCATTGTTTAATACCATTGATTCGTTGGTATATTCACATAATGTATCTCTCTTATTCCTCCGTATTTTCATCTCCGTTTTATCAAATATGTGAATCATTTCTCGAGAAGTTAAAAAGTTCTTCGGGAAACCTATTGACCCAACAAAACCCTTCTATTAACGTACAATAATATATTAATACACACAATGTATATATTAATATACATATAATGTAATTAATATAATCTTTTTTTCCTACTCAAATTATCCCAATTAAAGTCGAAGTTAATCTGTCGTTTCAGGTGAACATGGCGTCCCTAAAGAGGTACAATTGCAACAATGGCAGCGAGTGTAGCGTGCTTTCGGGAGTGTTCAACTGCAGCCTTGGCCACTGTGTAAACATAAGCGAGCTGATGTTGTGCCACCACAAGGCCGACGGCATCGTCGTCGACAGCGAGAAGGACAACATGAAGCTGAATGGCTTCTTCAGCTGTCAGAGCTCGAGGTGCACGAAAATCAAAAGCCCCTTTAGCTGCGATCGTTATTGCTCGAAGATCCCTACGTCAGACGTGAACGTGTACCTGATGCAGGACGACAACGTCATCACCGCGAGATGCGAACGCGGCCTAGCCCTCAACAAAGCAAATGGAAATCTGCCTGGCGTTAGGTTAACCCCGCCTGAACAATTCTGGGACGATCGGAACGGAAGTATCGTTGCCAGCTGTTTGCACGTGAACAAAGAAGTCGACGAAGTAAGGTAAATTTTCAGACGTATCAACGTGACTATTAATATTCACTTCTAATTAATTTGGTGAACGTTGAAACCTTTGCAAAATGCAGCGACGCAATTTATTTTATCTTTCGCTTGATTGTTTTTTGACATTGAAATGATGGAACTTTTTTTTATAAAAATATATTGATAAAATAAGTTGAAATTGCATGAAATATTTAAATTTCAACCTGTTTCCCGCCTTACATTTACTTATTATCACCTTCATACGTATTAATTACTTTTATAATTACCTTACGTATAATAATGGCTATCAAGTTCGTCAGTAAAATTGAAAATATAGTAAATATAGTAAATATATTCTTTTAATAAATTTCTTACGTCGCGTGTTAAATTCGAGATTAAGTCGAGCTACTCGAAAGAAAATTGGAGAAGGTTTTCACGCAATGGAAAATCGAATTAAATGTAAATCGTTCCCCCGATAAATTATATGTAATACATGATGAACAAGTAACTTTGTGTTCGAGTAACAATGAATCAAACTGTTGCGCCTACCTTCGTGCCACTTATTTAGTCGATACTCTTTAATGACGTCACCTCGCGACAGCTAAGATTTCGCGAAGCCGGTGAAAGGTTTGTGTAACGCTTACCAGTGAACTCGAGAGAGAGCTGTCTAGCGACGTAATTAAGACGTCAGAGAGCAAACAATCACGTGCATCCATTGTCTCTAGATTAATTCGATCGATGTCTTTGCGTTGCTAATAATCGTTTTAAATTCAATTGCATCGACGAAATACTTTACGTATTCACAATATATATTTTCTATTATATGAATCTTCGAAATAACACTCTTTCAAGATGGTCATTGACGAGTAAAATATTTGAGACACACGAGGAGAACGTTATCGTCAATAATAAATAAACGAGAAATGTCAATGTTTTTCGACTTGATAGTCAACAAGCACTGAATAGCAACAGTTGTTGAACAAATGTCAAACGTGTGGCATTTGATCGAAGGTTCACATGGTTCAGTAAGATGTCATCTGACATTTGGTTAAGATAACGGATCAAATTTATTGGATCAACAGCACGTTTTCATTACTACACGATCCGTGAATAAGTGATAAAATTTTGTTTGAGAAGGCATACGAATTAATATCATTAATGTAATAGAACTATTATCTATTATATTAATAGAATATAGTAGTATATATTATATAATAGAATATTAATATGATAGAACATGGTGGGTGTATTATTCAGTATCCAGAACGCCTGTCTAGAACGATTCAACTGGTCAGCCAGAGAAGTTCGATGTATTTGGCCACGACGGAGGGGTTAATGCCTCCCCGGGGCTAAATGGGCCGGGGTTCCCTTCGTCTCTATGTATTTTGTCCTTGTGTATCTTGCGGCTTTCACTCGCAGCAATTCGTGCCTTTTCAAAAAAGCAGGAAAGAGAGAGAGAGAGAGAGAGAGAGAGAGGAAAGGCCTGGAGGTAATCGGAGAAATCGCACAATGGACTGACGAAAAGCTGTCTTCCTCGGTCGTGCAAACCTACGCGATAAAACGGCAATTTGTGTCCTCCCTTTCCGAGTCGATACTCGATTCCACCGGCTCTCGGAACGAGCTGGGAGAACCTCGTTGAGCGTGAAATTCCTGAACGTGTTAGCTACCGTGAATCATGTTACAATACATATTCGTGGAACTGTAGAACAATCGCATTAATCCGCGCCCCAATTTGTACCAATAGAATTCGTCATCGCTTTCCTAAATTATTTTGCACGGTACACGGTTGGTAAACATGAAATTTCTGATCAAGACACCTGTACTTCAAAGCTCTATGTTCCTGGAAGTGTTCATGGCAAAAAGTTGGTGAAACATGAAGTCTTTAATGTTCAATTGAATTGAAGTCTCTAATTTTATATTACCGCGTATTGTCGAACGAAATCAACGGTATTTTATATTATTTTCAATCCTTTGGATATTTTAAATATTTTCGGATAAACGTGTCTGTTGTTATATAATTTCCTATGGCAAGTGTCGAATTATTTCGTATCATTTGTGTATCACGCGTTTCCACATATCCTGATTCTTTAGGTCTAGAAGACGCCGATAAGGGCATTTCCATGGCAACCATTGATCCTGCGGCTCTGCCCACCGATTCACCTCTATCTTTCTAGTTTGTCCGACTCGTCTCGCGTTTTCCGCGCGTTTCTTTCATTTCGATCCTTCATCCGTTCTCTTATATCTTCGTCGGAGGTTGCGCGGGCGCAGATAAGAAAAGGGGGTCGACGAATGTGAGCCACTAGAAGAACACGGAGAAAACTTCTCATACACCGAGACACACGAAAATAAAAAGAGTCGTTCCGAGAGACGTGTATCCGAGCATTCGCGGTCGGAGGGAAGCGAAATTTCTCTCGAGAAATGTGTTTACGAAGGAACGTTTTATCGAGGAAGATAGCAGGAAACGTGGAATATACCGTTCCACTTTACCAATAATTTGTTTTCTGGATGAAACCCGACGCGTGCGAAAGTTGCACGTTAGAGAGAAGGGTGTTCAATTGATGGTACGATTCGAAAATTTGCAGAGAACACAAATATTATTGTTTATATTGTTGTTATATTGTTGTTTACGCACGAAGCTTCAATTTCGAATAGATTCGACTACACGCGATGCGTTTCTCGCGCTTGCATTTCTCTACGTGTCTAACAAATACGAACGAGTGTAAATTGTTCTTTTCAGATCAGCACGTTCGACAATGAAAACTCAACAATGTCAACTTAAATTTCTTTCATTAACAGCTCTTGTGTTTCTGTCAACGTAATCCTGCCCTAAGCATTACGTAATCCTGCCCTAAGCATTACGTTCTTCTAACCGTTCTTTTTCTTACCCCAAAATGAAACCCTCTGCAAAAAGATATTGAGAATGTAGTATTTCTCACATTTGCGATAGCTAATCAGCTTCGAATCATGCCAGCAATTTATTGCCAAGCTCATGTGTATCGAGTGTTCAGTATCGATTTAATCAGAAACGTTGCGCCCCTCAATGTTGTTCCATATTTTTCACGCAATTTCACTTCCTTCAGAGATGTATCGCTAACGTGAAATTTGCCAGAGAACTTCGTCTCAAAATACGACGCGTATCCTCTCGCGTATTTTCTGAAATAGCCGCGTCGCAGGCTACGTCGTTTCATAAATCGTGTTTTGACTTCTTTCTCGCAGGACGGAGGATTGCGTGAACGGCACCTTGTTACGGGATATACCGGTGCCTCAGCCGAGCATCAACTTTACGAGTTTTCTGCATATATACGAGAGGAGTTTAGAGTATCCTGTGGATCCTGCGAACGTCTACGTACCGGCACAAAGATCCCTCACAATATACAATAGTTCCCGCCTTTACATCAACTTCGAAGGTTGCGTCAACACCCTGAAAGGGGAATGTAAAGATTTCCTCGCCACTCACGGCCGAGATGGCGACAATCAGACGGCGCAGAGTCGATACCCCTGTTACTACAATCAGGTATGCTGTCCCTCGCGACGTTTCATTCCGCTTCAAATTCATGCGTTATCTTTTTTTTTTTTCATCTCTCTTTCCTCTTCTTCTCACTCTGTTTTTATTGCTTTTACATAATTTCGTTGATCATTCGTTAAGTTCGTAAATATTCATTTTAAATGTTCTTTTTTTTTTTTTTTTTTTAAACAACCTGCTTGCTGCTTCGAACCGCGATTCCCGCATGCACGTTTCTGTCTCTCTGAAAAGGATGTTTATACGCACTGATTTACAAAGAGAAAGGAAAGAGAAACGTACAAAGAAAGCAGTACAGATCCCATTGAGAAGTTTTTCGATTTTATAATAGTATTCGAAACTACACTCTGTTACCGAGAAGCAAAATAACGAGAGTTATCCTACCATTACAAAATCCATTCGAAAGGTAAATAATATTCCGCGCGAAAGGTTCGCCAAGCTTTGAAACAGAGAAGCGTTGCAGCCGCGGCAGGATAATTTCGTTAGAAAAACAACACATCGCTGCTTTCAACTCGTAGTCTAATCAACTTTTCAATTAAATCGATCCGCCAGCTGGCCGGTATATACATTTTAATTCGTTTCGGACTCTGATGGAATCGGCATCGAACGAAATGAAATTTTCGGCGGTAATTTCAACAGGCAACATCGAGCAGGAATTATGGTGAATTTTCGTGCAATTAAACTTTTCGCTATAACTACGACATTCGACAATTAAAAAGAAAAAGAAGAAAAGAAAGATGTTTTACGAGACAAGAGTGTTATGTAATAGTCGCCTCGTTTTGTACCAACGAAAGGCACAGAGTAATTCGATTTAATGAGTAATTCGAGTAGAACTGCCTTTTAATGAACGCGAGCTACGTGTTTCCCCCTTTCTTTTTTTTCTTTTCTCCTTTCTCCTTTCATTTCTCCAAAAGGAAATACGTTACTGTCGCAGTCGTTGTTCGATTTTCCTTAATTGGATCTTCAACGAAATTAAATTTGTAGTGGAAAGTGTCAGGCAACTCTTAACGATCGGTTCCCTCGTCTTCCACTTTCACGAATTAAATTACAAAGTCCGACGAGGCGGGCTGCATTTAATTATTTCTGCATTTTTTTTCCCCTCCCCCTCCCGGTCGAACTTCCGTTCCACGGTTCCACGGGCAAGTTTCGAATTGTATTATAAAAACGTTCCATCGTAGGCGCGGGCTTTCGTCGAATTTTTAATGGAACACCCTGTGTGTTCTGTTTTACGCACGACCTCGACATCGAAACAATTTCAGCCGATCTCTGTGTACAATATTTCGGAACGACTGGCGATAAATTATCATTGGAAATAACGCTCGTGCGAGTGTCGTAGAAATCGTTCGATGTTTAATTAATGAAAACACCGGTCAAAGCGGGATAATTGGAACGAGCATTAATTCGAAATTAATGTCAGTGGTTGTTTTGCCCAGAACGGAATCCTTCCCGATGTCCTTTTTCAACAATTTTCTGTGCAACTTGAATAACGTCAACGTTTGAAATTGAATGATGTAAGCGAAATTCCTGGTATCTATTGAAATATTCCGAAAGTCTACGAGAAACAAAGAGTCTCGCGAGGTTAGTGACGAGAAATAAGGTTCGGTTAAATTTATTCCCGAGAACAATGCTTCCATTTGAGGAGGAAAGGAGACAGAAAGAATGTAAAGAAGACCAGAGGAAATTCCACGAAGAAGTTATTTCATTCTTCATCAAGAATTCCTACCGCTGGTAACCTAAATCTTAAATTTCTTCAAAACCGGCACTTCTGGCTACCTTTGCTTTTACATTATCAAGAACGTCTTTTCAACGTTTTTTTTATGTACATCCTTTTCAGTAAAAAGACGCGGGAAATACATCAAAGAAATCGTAAACTACCGTGCCATTACACAGCATAGTGTGTCATAGTGTAGGAGATGTAGCAACGACATACATATATGTACGTTTGATGCTTCTCTTCAATATGTGACGATTAGAAGGTAGAGTCTGGAATGATTTACACCTCAGTTTTCACAATTATTGGATACGTTGATCACCTATTTATAAACAATCATTAAGATACATTCAATAGATGGCAACATAGAATAACAGAAAAAACACATGGAAACCGCGTAGATATTCTCAAGATACATTCAGTCACGTTCATCTAAAATTTACTCTGCATATCTATACACCATTCTTTCAATCCCCATCACAATCCCCATTCAATATCTTCGTTTATCTCCAACTCTCGAAATGCAATTCGTACCAAATATTTCTATTTCACAGCCATAAATAAACACCGCGCGTGTTTCAAGCTAGAGCTGTGGCTCTTAAGAAAAGAAATTCGAAATTTTCTTGCACTTTAGAATTGAAGAATCACGATCGAATCGAATTATCCGGGCTCACAGTTGTCTGGCAGTTATTTCGAGCCACGCGCCACGAGGCAATTGCTCGACGTGCCCACTTCCTTTCTTCCGGTATTTCCCCCGCGGCTTCTAATACCATTTGTTGCAGAACAACTCGTTCTTAGTCGTGGCACGATTCGATTTGAACAAGACACGGACGGAATTGCTGATCGCCATCATCGTGCCGTCGGGCCTGTTCGTCATCAGCCTGACGACGCTCGTTATCATAACGCGGTCGGTGCAGGTCGGCGACGACGCGAAGATGCGTTGCCGTTACTGCGTCGACAAGCAGGAGGTCGAGGGCGAGGACGAAGGACTCGTCGAGGCTACGCCATCCTCGTCCCAAGGTCAGATGAACGAGAACGAGATCAAAAGCATGGCGCTCTAGCAGTTTAAGCCGAGCACCGTGCTCCGTTACGAGAGAGTGCCGTTGATCGACACCGACGAAGCTGAAGACTCTTTCTGAGGTGCAGGACGAGCGCTGCTCCAGATCTCGATTAGAAATTTCATCGGCAAAGTGAACAACTGAGTCGACTCTCAACTCTCCCCGAAACAACTTTTCAGTACAATATCTCGCGTATTTTTCGCGCAAAGTAATGACCATCGAACGTTACTGAATTTCCTCTAGAAGTTAAGTTGTCTGGTGTGGACGCCGCTTAACGAACCTCTCGTTACTTGCGGAACGAAAGAAGAAAGTGTAGATGTGTGTTAATGTTTGTGTGATAATTGAATGGCAGTACTAAGGGGAAATGTTAAAAACGAACGTTGTGCTCTAATCGTGCAAACGCTTCAGCTGCATCGCACTGTTTACAAATTGACCGACTGAAACGCTTTCCGCAAACGATCATCGACTCGATCAGCCGCCATGTATGTACTTTCGCGAAAGTATGAAACGAAGGAGTAGAGACGATCGACAAGCATTTCATGTAAATATACGGCCGTAGGATGAGGGGGAGGTGCACGCGTGTTTAATTGGTTTTGCGTGGTCAATCGCATTTTTGAAAACTGAAATTAAAAGTGAAGACTGATTTCCTTTATTCGGTGACGTACAATCGCTTTTGCGTCCAGCGGATTTTTCTATCTATTTGGACGAACAAATTATCCAGCGTATGTTGAGTTCGATTGGAATTTAATCGATTGGCCAGTCCGATTTGTTGTTTGTAACATGCGGTCTCTCTTCGTGCACTTTCCGTAAGAGCGCACAATAAAATGTGTTCGAACCGAATACTACATCGTTTCCACTATTATTCGATCGTAGAAGATTTCATCAGTCGTTCGATATATCACGGGAAAAACCAGAAGGAAATGCTTGGTGCAGCACAAATCAACGGATAATAAATTCTCGATTCTTCGAGCGAATGTTAACACATTAAAGATCGTATTTTTCCTCTTTTCACGATTAAAGAGACCAAACATAAATGACTCCAAGGATCTTGCATCAATAATAAATTAAATTGAAAATAATTGTCAACTGAAAGTGACAAGACAAAAATTCTCCTATTCTTTAAAATCTCCGTAAAATTATCGGCGATGTGTTAAAGCGAAAGCTTGCGATTAGAATGGATCTTTAGATCGTCTTCCCGGCGGAGAGAAAAGACGGAGGTACGAGAAAGATAAAAAGTTTAAAAGTAAAAACAAGAAAGTTCAAAAGTTACCCACATTAGGGGCCAAAGTAACTACATAAATAACTGTCTAATCGAATGTTTGTATAAATCGTATACGAATATTTTACATTATCACCGTTGCCTTGAACAATTTGTGACTGCTTTGACTAATCGTGCTAACAAAATTATGTTCAACGCATGTATTGATATGTAATTTGTAAAAGATTGCAGGCTGGTATATTGGATTATTAGATGTAGAAAAAATTCTATGCCCCTAGTTTTATATTCAACGTAGAATAGCTACTTATTCTCATGTTTCAAAACTGGAACCTTTTCAACTCCTTTCATACAATAATTCATCTTGTCTTTGTATCAGGAATTTTTTAGACACAGAGAGGCAGAACTGTTAGAACGCATAAGTAGAATTAAAAAATTTTGAAATAATTTCGCAGAACAACGTATGCAAGTAAATACATAAAACTATGAGCGAGTAATTTTTTTTCTACGCCTAATATTTTCACTTGAGAAAGTACCTTTTACTTTGCCTTGAATAGTTGAAAAAGTAAGATTATTAGTGAAATAATCTCGGAACCTAACATAGTTAACCCGTAATTAAAGGAAGTGGATTTGAGTCAAACGTTCGAATATTGTATCATAAATCCATAAACACGCGACGAGTATTTTCTGACTGTATACAATAAATATATTTCGTAAAGGAGGATGTAGAGAGAAAGTAGAACGAAAAAAAGAAAAGAAGGCACCAATGATAAAATATAGTCGACCGGTTAGTTGTAAAAAATTCATGTCTCTCGTCCGTGCGCGCGCGATAATTCAGGGCACGGACGAAAAATACCGCGATGCTTTCGATGTACATGGTAGATTAGAGAGAAAAAAAAAATTGATTCTGTAAAAGTTATTCGTTAGGTTCTCCAGTTTTCGAGCGTACACTGAAGCCGACTTAACCTCGGTTGATCTCGAGTTTCGACTGTCAACGAACGTACACTTATATTTCACACTTGATAGTGTTGTAAAGCAAAGAATATAAAAGCGTAGAATATAACGTACATATATAATAAATATATAATACCTATGTATATTTCATTTCGAACATTACGACTGCCTATTATGATGAAAATTATGGCGTCGTTCGTTTGCGATGAATGCAACTGAGACTTGATCAGAGGGTTGAATTTTTTTTACAGGCTATCACAGGGTATTTTTACAATCGTCAGAATATGTATCTGAGATTTTACAACTTTGAAATTGATACAGTCTCGTTCAATCTTCAATCAAATTAGCTGCGAAACGTTGAGTTTAATTATCAGGTCAGAAATTTCATTTTTCGACTTTGAATCGTGCTATTGGAAAAACTTTCTAATTCAATCGCGGAAAAAATTCTTAATTCATCGACGGCATAATGTAATCGTAAATGAATGACGCCATTCTTTCGCTAGCATGAAAGTTTCTGTTCATAAAATAAATGTAAATATGATGCGTGTATTGATTATAAAAATAACAAGAAATGATAGTTGTTGTGTGAATAAATGTGTCATTCGACAGTTGCTGCTTCAAGCTATTCACAGTATAACGAGAAACAATTTACTTGTTGTAACATATTAATATTCGATTGAGCAGCAACTAATTTTCGATCATTGCATTATGTTACTCTACTGATTGAAACATTTTAGATTAAATTTAATTCATTGACAGTAGAGAACAAAGAAATATCTTCTTGACAATTTTCAAATTAAAATCTTATTTAAAGAGGACTTTTATGTTTGACAAATATAGATCATAAGCTGGTATACAACATGTAGACAAAAAAGAAAAAATTGTGTTATTGACACAAGTAAAATATAAACAATTAATAGACTCATATACATTTTCATATTCGTCACAGTCTATGTGCCTTCTTCCGTTTACGCTGAAGTTGATAAACTGTAATCAATCGTGTCTTCGAATAGCGTAACTCTTTCGCTACAAGTTTACATGAATCAAAAGCATTCCTATTGTGGAGGAATGTCTCTATTAACTTTACAGGGAACAATCAAATAAAACCTTTGATCAACTATAAATCTAGACGATATTGTGAAACGAATTAAATTTCGATGAAACAAGGGGCAAAAGAATTTTTTCAGCGAATTAAACAGCGAAAGAGTTAAATAAACTGCGTCTATAATGTATTAATGTAAATTGAACGGATCTGTACTTATACGAACAGTATATATATATATATATATATTATATTATATGATATATTTATGTTATATCCGTTTATCGTCTGAATATATTTGTAATAACATACATGTATGAAATAATACAACTTATATGTGTCGTTTATAATAAAATAACTGTTTATCAAATTTCTAGTTATTTTATATAACTTCTATTCCTTTAAATCTGTACAAAAATATTTCCATTCGAACGTTTAATTCGACACAAATTCATATTGTTGCACTTACTTCGGTTATTAAAGAAACGATTTGTCATGCATTGCATAGGACGGAAACAAGCGTGCATGTGAAATGTACACGCGATCATAGTGCATTTATACGAAGCAAAACCGATAGTATAATGAAACGATTAATTTTTGTTAGGCAATAATTTAGATTTCCAACTGTAAATATGTCAAACATTTCATGGTGATCCTTGAAAAATTAGATCAGTTTAATCGTCGTTTGATATTTTTTACGAATCTCAAATTATTGTTTTTCTTTAGAAAGAAAGAACGAAATTAGACTGAATGCAGAATGCTTCATACGCCAAACATTTAAAATTTGATATTTCTTCGCAGCATCGAGAACGATGGTGTTGTATGAATAAAGTACAGCTTCTATCAGAATTTATTAGCTAACATATTTTCGATTTCGGCTAACTGAAAGCGAAATATGAACAGAAATAAATATTATACACTTCCTTTCCTCTGCTTGTGTATACCTGTTATATTCTCGACGCGTAAATGTAGATGAAATACTTATTGGAGCTACAGAAATACGTATTTCCCATTCCCTCTCTCTATATTACGAGCTGTTTTATAATTCTAATTGAATCCTAAAGTTTACTAGGTGAAAAATTACTGTTCGAGAGTTTTCACGTTTTAATGAATTTTTCGATTTCTTTCAGAAAATAACGTAAGCATTGAGGACAAACGTACAATAACGTCGTCGTGAGTTGCGTGTCTTACTGCATTTCTTGTCGAGCACACATCTCAAAGAAGCTACGGAATAAGAAACGACAGAGCGATTGCATTTACGATATGTACTGGTCACTTACTTCCACCGTGAGTGAACTTTTTCCTCTTTGTGTGATAAATGAATTTTTTAGAATTAAATTCAGCCGAAGAGATAAAGTGAAATTTAGTCAAAAAGAAAGAAACACGTAAGAGTAGAAGAAATCGATATAACATTTCCAAGTTCATTGATTATCCTGATGTTCACAGCTGCTCTAATTTTTATATTTATGAGACTCGATGATCAAATTTCAATTAATTACTATGCCATCACTCTAATAAAAAAAGGAAACAAACTCGAGTCCCGCTGACGGCTGTCAGAATCGGAAGTAGGTCGAGATCGAGTACGTTCAACGTCGAATCAACGTGTCAAACAATCGAATTATTTTAATTCGCTCGTCTCCCTATAGCTCTTTAATTACAAATACCAATTGGTAATGACATTTTTCATTTTTTAATGTATTATATATTCGTGACCCAAAAAGAAAGAATATTCATACGCTAGATAAAGTCCGAACCTTACACGAAGGGTTGAAACCATCAGATCGATACAGTAATGTAATCAAAGACCTTGGTGAAATCTACACACATAACTACGCCCTAACGATTGTTTGAAAGAGAAATTGCCTATTTCTTTTTTTAACCACAAACATAGTCGTCATTTAATAATTACGAAATATTTCTGTGTATAATTCTGATGAAATGAAAATTTTAGAATTGATTGTATAAAACGAAATGGGCGTAGTGAGTAATTATTACTCTGTGAAATGAAATTTGAACGTGAATGAAAGTGACAGAATTAATTATGATATATTTGAAATTTATTAGTCGTAACACTGAGATGATCTCCACTAACGGAAAATTTAATCAAGTATTTATGACGTTTAATCAAGTAATTATTTGTTCTACATTCTAATCTCTCTAAAAAGAACAAAATGATCGATAAATAAAAATTAATCTTTTCTATTGTTGTATTTGATGTATCACTGATATGTTAGTAAAAGGACAATTTTAATCTCTAAGAATAGTTTACGTGACAGAAAGAATAATGTTCAATCTTCCTACACATTTCATCCACAATTTCATTTTCTTTATTTCATCGAGATAGGAGAAAAATTTCCGAGATTATTTTTAATATTGTTCTCTTATTACACCGATCGTTATTCGTGACTGTGCAAATAGAAACTTGTTAATGATAAAGAATTTCTATTAATAAATACGTCGAAATAAATCCAAAATTTACAATGTTTCACTTTAAATGTTATTATTTCAAATATTCAACTATCGATTTGAAGAGTTAGTAAAAGGAATTTCAAGTTTCAAAGAGAATTTAAAATTGGAATTTTTCGCTATACAACCTCGTTATAACGTTGATAAAATGGCTTGGAAAAATTCGTTATAAAAAGATAGAATCACTGAAACAGATACGTAAGATACAAAACAAGATATAAAAAAGATATAAAAAAACTTTTTCTCTCGTTATTCCCCTAAATCACACAGAAATATATAAATCATACTAAAGATAACTGCAATTAATAGAATATTGAAATACAAATTTCTATGCATCATTGATTAATTTAAGCAAATTAAAATTATTAAAAAGTTTCTTTATATGAAACAAACAAACTTGTGTCAAAGGTCTAATATTTTATTCTTCAAAAAATCAGATTCTATAAGAAAAAATTTTATTTCTGTAATGTGAATTCGGAAAGAAGAAATTCGTAGAATGAGCGAAGGAAATTAATTCTGTTAATTGATAGATCACAGATAAATATATCTTCTGGCATAAACAAGAATCGGCTTTTGGTCGATAGTAAAAAATAGAAAAATCGTTTGACGAGTTCGTTCAACTGGCACGAATATATATCCCCTAAATACGACAAAAATTTGTATTGTTGACAAAAATTCAGTATTTATTGCGATTATGAAATTTTATCATGTATCAATTTATTTCATTTGACTAAAAGAAGTATAAATATTTGCTATAAGTTTCTTATCTACTTCATTAAAATTATGATCCCATCTATTTTTTTGTAACATGTAATTTTCGTAGAATATCGAATGATCTCTAAATAATTCATACTTGTTTTTGTACAGGCATGCTAGGGAGAATATTTTTAATCTATTAAAGTTATAATGGTGAACAATACGATATAAAAGAGAACAGATGGGGGATCTGGCAACGTATGTACATTTTTATATTCATTATATTGTAAGGTGTGCATCCGAAATGAATTAACCTACTTTAAAAAAGACGTTCAGTGATGTTGATGATCGATAATAAAATACATGTTATCCTATCTAAGCGTGTAAATCAATAATGACATCTTACCATTGATACTATTTGCAGACGAAATAAATAGTCACGATAAATATAAAATTTTATATGAATTTTTTATTAAATATCTACTTAAAATCTTTCATACAACATATGCATAGAATGATCAGAAAATGAATTTCATATTTCTTTCATGTTGAAACTATAGTGAAATTGAATCGCGTTTGAAACGTGCGTAAAGTGATCTAATATATTATGTATTCAAATCACGAGCAAAGTATAAGATAAACTTATCATTTTGTGAAAGTCTTTAGAGTTTTATATTCCAAACACAAAATATGTTCTGTAAAATATTAGGTTTTATTATACTGCAGACAAGAAATAAGATAAATCTGATGTACATTTATGTTGTTTTATATATATATATAATTTTGATATATGTGACATTATTTATTCTACGTACAATAAATTACAGAACATTAAGATGTTAGTAGTGGTTAGAATTCAAATTAAATTTAACTATGGAATCATAAATAAATTATTATCGTGAACGAACTATAGAACATCTTCATATACTATAGATTAATTGAATAATTAGTTGATTGAAACGGTAATTTTAAGATTACTATATTATTAATCTCTTTGCGACTCTAATATGATCCAGTAATAATTATATTATAGTTTCATTATTATCATTTCAACATAACCTAATTATTATATATGTATGTATCTCTACGTAATTTATAATGCACATTAATAACCTGTAATTAAAATTTCTCACTGAAAATTTCATATTAAAGTACATATTTTCGCTATTAAACAATTAAAATCATTCAAACACAAATATCTCAAAATTATTTCAGATAGTTTTAAAGAATTGTACGCAATATTCACAACGATAATAAATCTCTTATAAATTCTCACCTTCCTCTGGAAACTCGCCTGTTGCCGAGTCTTCTGCTCATCTATTTCGTACAAAGGGATATGAACGTTTCACTGCACAAAAACGAAAACATCTATTTTGTTTATATCTTTCAAAATTTCCCGAATAAACACCGTATGCCCGTTTCTTGGATGTTCGTTGATTGTTCTACGACGCGAAATTTCGATTCTCGAGCGCGATTCTCGAACGTGATTCTCGAATGCGATACTCAAGTGGAAGGGGAAACCGAAGCTTCCGGTTATTCGTGATGAAGCAATGGTGGGGAGGTTTTCATTAGGAAGTCGCGGCGGCAAGATATGTAATTTCGTTTGACAAGCTTGACGAATTTGACGTGCTTAACGTAAGTATTTATTGTGTAACATTGTTCATTGCTATTATTTTTCTATTTACACTTCTGTTGGCTTTGTTCAATTAATGTATCCTTGTACAGCGAATCGTTAAGTGTTATGCAATAGAATCAAACGGTCCTTTAGCTTTCTTTTTATTGTTCTTTCCTCAAGTGCGTGTTTAGAGGTTAGAGTTACCGGTTGCACTAAACACTCAAATATTGTTTTATTTAAATATATTCAGCAACTGATTGTGTTGTTATTCGATTGTTTCCAAGTTTTGGTTTACTCTTCTACAGATTATTGGTTGCGAGATTGATTTCAAAGGTGATCGTAATACCACACCGACGCCATGATAATTAAATCTATTCATAACAAACATAGACACTCTGGGCCATGGGCACGTTTCTACTGTTCGTTATGAGATTACAGGTAATATTTCGTACATAATTCATAAACAGAATATGTAAAGAGATATCTTTTGGCGTACTTTCTATCTTTCTAATACATCTCTATTTTTACAGAATGTTTGTGAACGGGCACAATTGCTGTAAAGTCAGTGTTTGTTACGTGGTAGCATTCT